GGATTTTCTTAATTAATTCAATGAAAAATACCTCGACCAAGGCACTTCGGTTAAGTATAAAGCATTTACAAAAAAACTATACTACAGGAGTTATTTATACTTAGTAGTAATTATTTGTTATATTGTAGTTATTTATTTATATGCTGACCATTGCAAAACTACGGCTCAGTATAACAAAGGCGGACCTGTAACAAGGGCAGAGGTACTAATCTTGGAATTTTGAGTCCAATATGAATTTAACAAGTAACTTTGGACTAGTAAGGTCCTTGATTTTCCTCAAGACCTCGGCGGGCCAGTAGTCTCCAAGTATACAATAGTCGGTGAGCCCGTCTCTCGCGATAGGTGATGGCAGCAGGGGGCATAGGATTGTCGATTTTCAGGTTCAAGATGGCCATTCTACTATAGGGTCGTCGCACCTGGGCCAACAAAATACTTGTTGATTTTCTTCTAGCTAATACTCGCTGAGGAGCTTTATATAAGGGGACCAAATCCAGCCGGATAGCTGCGAGCAGCTTATATACAGTATCTTCCAATTGACCAATTCCCAGACCTGCTATACATGCTGAGGCAACTACCACGGCCTAGATCCTATTCCGTAGTAGCGCATGGCTTAAATATCCTGCTCCTTCTGGGAAGATGAGCAGAAGAAGTCGAACCAGGAGTCATTGCCACCAAATCTTTTGCGACCAAATCTGTTCCCGAGCAGGGGACCGCACACACAACCGCCAATCTGGTCGCAAAGTTGTAGAAGGTTTTCTTTACGGGGATTCGAGCCCCTGTCGGTTGCACACTGGACGCCACCGTTCTCGAGTTTACAGTTGATATCAAGTTGCGCATTCTCTTTCAAAAGCGTTTCAGGTGTCTGCTCCCCGGGGCCAAGCGGGCGGGCTGCGCTGGCCAGAGCAAGGTTGAGAAGGACGGGGAGAATAATGGATGTCTTCATTTTGATTGGAGTATAAGATAAAGATCTCAAAGAGGTATTGATAGATAGGATTGTAGTGAACAGAATTCGATGCTTGATACTGTGTTACCAAGGTAGGGGACATGTACTGTATTTATATAAAAAGGGCTCCTATCTGAACACGTAGCCATGTCTTATTTTAGTGCTGTGTAAATTAATTGGATACAATATAGGTAATGCCAAGACAGATCCATAAATTAAACTCTAAAAAGCTACATGCATCTATTACACAGCCCTCGGTTATGTGAGAGCTGACGCATACGGCCAGGTGTTGCATTACAGATTTATAGCCCCAGTAGCTGCCTGGGGCTAATTGCCGTTTTAAGGGGCCTCGCGTTTTAAACTTCATGCAGAGTCATGCATGCGGTTATAATGCTTTATGCGGGATGTGGGTTATGGGCCAATAGCCAGTAATGGCAACACGACATGAGTCTATTGCACTATCTGGCCTCTTTACGATTATGTATAGAAGCATATTGCCAAACACACCAGACTTGACATAGTCCTTCTTATGCTACTCGTGCCCGCCCCACATATTTAGGTGGCCGGTAAATATGTGGGGCGGGCACGATTACTCGGAGCAAAGTGTACATGCATTGTTGGCATAGTTGGTAGCTACCCACCTTGTAAATTCCTTACCAGACTTCAAACTTAGAAGCCCCAAAATCCTCTACAAGGTGGTGTAGCTTGAAAAAGAGAAATGAACATGAATCGCGTGCGAAACGATTGGAGGCCCTTCATCCCATCCGAGAGCTTGGCATTACGTGACGCCAGAGGACGTCTCCCATCTGCCGATACTCTCGGTTAGAGCATGGCAAGGTATTGCCCGTGGGCTGGATTCCTTCCAAAGGGATGGAATGGTGGTATTGCCAAATTGGTTTGATGAGACATGTGAAAACGGCGCACGACGTTTAACCTGCATCGTTAGTTCTCCACTGTCTGGCACGTATGCGCGTTAAAAATAACAACATTGAAGTTAACTGATATATCTTTTAACGCTAAAAGGCCTATAATCGTGCTCTTAGTGAATTTCCCGTGCCCACAGGATTGGCGCGCAATAGTCTTCTCCCAATATCCCGAAGGATATGTTTCTGATGTTTTCCACTCCCCGTCTTGGGGAAGTCGTGTCCAACGCCAGGGTCCCCGATCCAATACACATATCTCGGCGCTTTATGGCGCCCAAGCGTCTGCTGTACCCAGCGGGCGATGCCGGCATCATCAGGCCGAGCGCAAGCCTCCTTTTGGCGAAGAAAACACGCCACAGCTTCGCCGTACCTCTCGTCTGGTAGTCCAATGACACTGGCTTCCACGACGCACGCATGAGCGAGGAGCCGCTCTTCAATCTCTGTCGGCATGATATTTTCGCCCCCTGTGGAGGGTTAGTCTGTGAGACCCTTTACAAAACCAAAGCTACCATGGACATACCTCGTATTATCATGTCTTTAATCCGGCCCGTCACCCGGCAATATCCTTGCTCGTCAATGACACCCTCGTCACCGGTATGCATCCACACGACGCCATCAGAATCCGCGCGCATTACCTCTGCCGTCTTCTCCGCGTTCTTCAAGTATTCCTTTTGCAAGGCATAGCCGCTGGTGCAAATCTCGCCACGAACACCCCGAGGCACAATACGACCTCTGGAGTCGACAATTTTGGCACCGGTGTGCGGGAAGACGGTCCCTACCGAGGTGAGGCGCTGCTCTATCGGGTCTTCGAACCTCGTGCCAAAGGTGACGGGACTCGTTTCAGTCATGCCATAGGCGATTAATACAGTCTCGAGGTTCATTTCATGCTTCAGTCTGCGCACAACTGCTTGCGGAACCAGCGCCCCCGCAGCTAGAGCCTTTTGAAGCGACGATGTGTCCCGCTTCCGCCTTTTATTGACCTCCAATTCCACCAAGAACATGGTCGGGACGCCGTATAGAACGGTGCATGATTCCGATTCGATGCTGTCGAGAACTAGGTCCGCGTTGAACTGTGCAGAAGGAAAGACGATCGAGCTCCCGTGGGTAAACGCGCCGAGAACACCCATGACCAGGCCGAAGCAGTGGAACAATGGAGGAGGGCAGCAGACTACATCTCTTTCGGTGAGTCGAAGTTGGTCTCCAACAAGTTTGCCGTTATTGATTAGGTTCCTGAGTAGATTGTTAGCTTGTAATGCTTGAAATCGTAGGCCATGTGTCTTACATGTGGGTTAGCATAGAGGCTTTGGGTAAGCCAGTTGTGCCTGACAAACAGTCAATATTACTCTTGGACACGCTGGAGAAGCGCCAGTTGGACGAACCAGACGTAAACTGTATGTTGAGCACATCACCAGCTTTCACGAGAGATTCCTTCTCCACAAGCAACGAGTCGCTGACATGGGACGACTCCGCTTTGCCAACAAAGTCATCATATGTGGTGACGCTCAATCGGTTGTCCCGGGACCTGAATGACGAGTCGAACAGCACGAGCTGTGCGTCGTCGCTACCATGCTTGTCGAGATGCTCGAGGTGCTCGGACAGATCCCCCTTTGGACCGGAAAACTGTGCAGCAAAGATGATTTTGCATTCTGTGTGGCAAGTGAGTCATTTGCTTTCATGTAAGACACGGATTACACACCGGAAAATGACACGGCTCTTTGTAGTTCTGTAGGGGTATACGTGGAATTCAACACCACTACGGGACAGCCAATGCGAGCAGCGCCAAAAAAGACCTCAATGTATTGGTAGCAGTTGCCGGCAGTAATTGCTACACAGTCTCCATGCTGGAGCCCGGCGGCTAGCAAGGCTTTGGCGATGAGCTTGCTTCGGAGCGAGAGGCTGTGGTATGTCCTGGAAATGTTTTGCCACGGAAATACGACTGCGGTTCGCCCTCCGTAGCACTTGGCCTGGGTCTCGATCAATTCGCCCAAAGTCATAGTCCATAGCGGATTGTCAGTCGCCCCCGCGACAATGGAAAGATTGGTTGGGTGGGCAAACATTGTAAGTCGCGGGCTTGCTGAATCCGAGGGTGGCGGCAACGGTGAGTAGACGGTGCTGCAGTGCATCCGTGGACAAGGTGAACCTGTGCCATTGAAGTATTTCCTCGACACCATCTACTAGTATGCGTCGGTCAGTACATTCTACTAGCAACTGCACTACCGCACTTAGTCTGTGGTTCGGTAAAGGTACGCCGACCGGGGCAACCGGGCCGTGTCCGGGTCCGGGTCCGGGTCCGGTCGTTGTCGGCGGCTTGCACAAGTGCCATGCTTCTGGCTACCATGGACAAAGGTAAAGGGACAAGCCTGCACTAGAGTATGAAATCATATTCCAGCATACACCGAGGAACCCCTTTACAAACAACAGCATGTCGAGTTTCAACGCATTGCCCGTTGCCGAGTCTTTACTCAATCTCCGAGACCCCCAGTGCAAGGAGAATTTGGAATCATGGCAGCCCATCATGCAAAAATTTGAAGCGGCTTCGAGGCATGTCACCACAGAAGCCACGCCGAGTTCGCTGATGAAGCACCAGTCGAGGGGCCAGTTACTCGGTGAGCATCTCGCACCACAGCAAAGACGTCGACTGCCCGCTAACACCGACCCTATGCAGCCCGAGACAGAATTTCCCTGCTGCTAGACGAGGACTCGCCCTTCCTCGAGCTCTGCGCGTACGCCGGTTTCCAACAAGACGACGCGCCTCCGTGTGCCAACCTGATTGCGGGCATCGGGAGCATCTGGTAGGTCCATCGACGCAACTTGACCTGTTTCTGCGCCGGGCTGACCAAGATCCCTTTGGCGCAGCGCTCGACCCTGCCTCGTCTTGTCACACATTCCCACCCAGAGCGGTGGTGCCTGGAATGAATTCACGGTCCCCAAGCAGAATCGCGTCACGGAAATCGCCACCGAGAATCACTTGCCCATTGTTGCCCTGGTGCAGTCGGTACGCCACTGTCCCCAATGACGTTTCTTGATCCCATGTCGAAAACAGCACCTGACTTCATGTAGGCCGGCGTATTCTTGCCCCAGCAGTTCAAGGTTTTTCACGCGGGCGGCCAAATCTTCCGCGACCTCGCCCGGCGGAGCCAACTCGGCCAGCAGTCATGCGCCATTGTGTTTGGATCCTCGACCGCCGGGGGTGCCTACCACCCTGCCCTGTCGGACTACAGCATCTTTGTCAAGGACCAGGCGCAGGTGTTCCTCGGCGGACCGCCTCTGGTCAAGATGGCGACCGGGGAGGTGGTGGATGCCGAAACGCTCGGCGGCGCGGCGACCCATGCCAGGATCACGGGCCTGGCGGACCAAATTGCCACTGATGAGTATGTGGCCGTTGGCAAATGGGACAAGAAGGCTTTCTAACCGCGGAAAGTAGGTTCGATGCGATTCGCAAAGGTCGAGAATGGGTGGCCTCGCTGGGACAGTGGCCACTGCCGCCCGCCGCGGCCGCTCATGCTCCCCTTCCGCCTCGATACTCGATCGAGGATATCCTCTCGATTGTTGATCCTGATATTCGTAAACCGTTCGATATGAGGGAAATTATTCTGCGTCTCGTGGACGACTCTCGGCTCTCCGAGTTTAAGCCCAGCTACGGTCCGAATCTGCTCACTTGCTTTGCAAGCATAATGGGTGCGTGTCTTTGGCTCGATGTAGCTGTTTGTCTACTGACACACTTGTAGGTCACAGTGTTGGCATCGTTGCCAACCAAGTTCCCGTTATAAACACGGACGAAGCTTCCAAGGGCGCTCAGTTTATTCGTCTTTGCAACCAGTCGTACGTGCGCAGTTCCAGCCATGTGTATTCTGACACGGACCGAGTTCTAACACAGATATATATAAGCAGCAATCTACCCATTGTGTTTTTACACAACGTCACGGGCTTCATGGTCGGGACCAAGGCAGAGCACGCCGCCATTATTAAAAAGGGCGCGCAGCTCGTGTCTGCCGTCAGTTGCTCGACGGTGCCTCACATTTCCGTCATACTCGGCGCATCCTATGGCGCGGGCAACTACGCCATGTGCGGGAGGCCCTACAAGCCTCGATTCCTATTCACCTGGCCCATTGGGCGCTGCAGTGTCATGGGGCCCGACCAGCTGGCCGGCGTGATGCAAACAATCGAGGCGAATAGCGCCAAATCAAAGGGGAAACAAGTCGACGGTGCGGCCGCGGAGAAGAGGACGCAGTCGCTCAAGGACAGTGTGCAGCGAGACAGCGAGAGTTACCGGACCAGCGCGGCTCTCCTCGACGATGGAGTCATTGACCCACGTGATACGAGAGACGTTGTTGGAATGTGCTTGGAGGTGGTCAAGATGCCGGGCGTACAAGGCGCGAGTGCTCATCGTGTCCTGGCGAGAATGTAACTTAGCAAGGGTTGAATGGAGACGTTTGTGAGTTTGTACTTGACGTTGAGGCATCTCAATACTATGCAAACATGTGAGGTTACTCATTTTGTCTGAGAAAAACTGTGCCGACTGTTCCATATCCTGGCATTGCTACGAAAATGACTCGACTACATCTACTCAATCACACAGAGGGCTCTCCCCTCGTCCACAGCATCTCCCTCGCTCACCATGGGTCTAAACACGCCCTCGACGGACGCAAAAATGTTGATTTCCATCTTCATGCTCTCCACTACCATGACCTTGTCGCCTGATTCCACCGTTTGCGCAGCATCTCTCAAAACGGAGAGCACCTTGCATGGCATGGGGGCATTGATGTGTCTGCGCTTTTCGCTCGACGCTCCCACCGTCTCCTCCCGAATGTGTTCAAAATACGAGAGAATGCTGAAACAAGTCATGTCCGTCCAAGTCCCCAGTTGAGGGACGTGGCACATGACCCTTACTCCCTTGGCTGCTTGGCTAATACCGCCTTGGCTAATGTCACTGCTCTCGGTGGCTATTTGCATCAAGAGACGATTGCCATTGAGCGACGCGTGAACTGTGGCTTCGTACCATGGCGAGAGCGACCGATCCAGGGGCCTCACGGTACGGACGGTGCACGATTTGATGGCAATCCCGTAGCTTTGCTGCCCTGGCAAGACACCTAGCCGTAGAGCATTGCTCAACTCGTTGTATCGTGCGGTTACATTTGCAGCGTTGGCATCGGGAAATGCGGCCATGTTGCCATTGTCAAGTCCCGTCTGCCTCCCGTAGCGAGGTTTGGACCAGGAACAAATGAAGGGCTGTTTCGTCAAGGCCTCATTGTCGACAACGACGATACGGCGGCCAGAGTGGCTCACCGAGTCGAATGATTGATTGCGAAAGCCTGATGGAATATTGGACAAGGGCGACACGCTGCCCGATAGCTCTCTTTTCAGTGTGGTGCCCATGAAATACGATGCCAATAGAGGCAACGCAGATGCAATCTGGGAGGCACCCTGGGCATATGGAGACGACAAGAGACACGACAAGTTGTCAGGAATGAAGGAGGTGGTGTAGGCTGGATTCGAAAACGTTTCGTGCAGTAGGCAGCTTTGTAGGAATAACTGATTCGTCCCAACGCCAACGCAGGCCGTGTCCGCGAGAACCTGTATCATCTTGGCCCGGGCCAGGGCGCGCGTCGGTTCCCAGACGACGATTTTGGCAATCATGGAGTCGAAGTGGATCGAGATGCGAGAACCAGTTTTGATTCCCGTCTCGAATCTGACAGAGCTCGTGGCAGAAACCTCGCCATGGTCTGTGGCAGGCCTCCAGAGCCGGACGATGCCGTGCCCAGGGTAGAAATCGCGTTGCGGACTCTCAGCGCACAGTCGACACTCAATCGCATGGCCCGTAGACTTTACTTGCTGAAGCGGCTCAAGCGTTGTCAAGTCGCCTCCGCCTGCAACAAAGAGCTGCAAGGAGACAATATCAAGCCTCGTAACCTCTTCTGTGATGGGGTGCTCAACCTGCAGTCGCGTGTTGACCTCCAAGAAGTAGAAATTGCCCGTGGCCACGTCAAAGACAAACTCAACGGTGCCTGCGTTCTCGTAATTGAGAAGTCTGCCAATTGTCACTGCGACATTGCTCATCTCTTTGCGCTTCGCGTCGTTCAACCACGGCGATGGCGCCTCCTCAATGACCTTTTGGTGTCGCCTTTGTACGGAGCAGTCGCGTTCCCCGAGAGACACGACATTTCCATAGCCGTCTCCCATGATCTGAATCTCAATGTGTTTGCCTTGCTCAATGTACTTTTCCAGTATGCAGTCGCTCGAGCCGAAATACCGAGCAGCTTCGGACCGTGCCGTTTCCAGCTCTGCGCGCAGTTGGCCGCGTTCTTGTACGATGCGTATGCCCTTGCCGCCACCGCCGGCAGAGGCCTTGAGCATGACGGGATAGCCAATCTCGTCCGCTAGCCTTTCCAGCTCGGCAGGCTCCTGACTTGTCCCTGCAAACCCCGGGATGAGAGGAACCGATGGCTCGTGGGCCCGGAGATGTGCCTTTGCCGATCTCTTGTCGCCCAGTGTCTCCATGGCACTTGGACTGGGCCCTACAAATGTGATGCCTGCATCGCGGACCGCCGTGGCAAAGGCGGCATTCTCACTTAGGTACCCATACCCAGGGTGAATGGCATCGACTCTGTTCTCTACTGCAACACGGACAATGAGGTCAATGTTGAGGTAAGGGTTGCCACCGGGCTGGTCTATCGAGCCGAGGCCAACGGACTCATTCGCTGATGTGATGTGTTGTGATGTATCGTCTCTTGAGTTCGGCATCTGTTAGCCACCTTGTCCAAGTTGGTAGCGCTACTCCGGGTCGTGCAATGAGAATACGTACTCGTCAACGTAAATGGCAACTGAAGTCACATTGAGCTTCCTGCAAGTGTTTATTATGCGACACGCAATTTCGCCTCTGTTGGCAATGAGAAGGCGGCTTATGCTTGGGCGTCCCTCCGAGTTCACTGGTAAAGGTGCGACGAATTTGGCCGGAGGATCCATGGTGGTGTTGGCGTCTTCAGCAAGCTCTCGAGGGCATTCGGGTTCTTTGTGAATGCCAGTGAATCGAGCAATGTCTCTATTTACTACACGTTTTCTACATTGGCAAATCTCATTTCCAGGCCGCTACATATGAAGGAGGGGTGCGGCGGCGTATTCTTCCCCGGAGCCGGAGACGGAGCCGGGCCGCGCGGGGCCGAATCGTGCACGGAGACAAGTCACTCTCCGTCCGCCCGGTCATCACACTGCTCATTAGGGAGTCTCTATTTCAAAGTAAAATATGTCGTACGCAGATTCCGTGGCGTATATTGGTCAGAAAGTACTCCGTTTATTTACCATTGAAGAAACCCCTTCATTTCCGCCTGCCGGTGCATCTCTTCTGGTCACCTACTTGCTACACCACCCATACTGCCGTCACCATGGGCTCAAACGCGTATCTACCATTTACAGAGCCTCTTTGGCTTTCCCGCCAAGTTTCTCCTTATTACACCAAGAGCCACCGGCAGCTACAAAAAATAGCACGAGAATATGTCCACACTCATATCTTGCCCTTCAGCGACGAATGGGAGAGACAAGGCTTTGTACCACCCGAGGTAAAGAATTGCTCATTTTCATGTATTTCGCCTGTTTTTATCAGTTTAGCAAAGTACACGTCAAAGAAGCCGAGTCTCATCTTGTGCATTATAGGTCATTGCCGAACATTCTCGACAAGGCTACATGGCAACATCCGTATTTCCCCTGGCAAAAGAATACCTAAACGGGCAGCAGCTTCCCGGGGGCATCCCCCCCGAGGACTGGGACGGGTTCCACGACCTGATTGTTATTGACGAAGTCGCTCGGTGTGGCTACTTGGGCGTGATTTGGGCCTTGGCTTGTGGCAACTCGATTGGCGCGCCGCCGCTCGTCCACTTTGGCAACGCGGAGCAGAAGCAACGATTCTTGCCTGCCATCCTCAACGGTAGCATTCGATTTTGCCTTGCCGTGACCGAACCCGACGGTACGTCTTGAGCCCGCCTTATGTCCGTGAGTAAGGGAGGAGAAGCCACGGATCTAATTCTCTTGTGTAGCTGGATCAGACGTTGCTGGGATAACCACGACGGCGGAGCGCAGGGGCGACAAGTATATTGTCAATGGGGCCAAGAAATGGATCACCAACGGCATTTTTGCGGATTACTGTACTGCTGCGGTGCGAACAGGAGGGCCGGGAAAGGGCGGCGTTTCCGCGCTCATCATCCCGCTCAAGGTTCCAGGCGTGACGTGCCGGAAGCTCGAGAATTCGGGCGTCTCGGCAAGTGGTAAGTCGGCCAGAGGCTGCCCGACTAGAATTTTCATGTTGGACTACATGTACGGACTGCATCGCTGACAGTTGCTGCGCTGCGCACGTTTCAGGGTCTACTTACATCGAGTTTGACCAGGTCGAGGTGCCGGCTTCCTACCTTCTCGGTCGCGAAAACCAGGGCTTCGAGATTATCATGTCCAGTAGGTGGATTGGAGGCCCTCCGTATTGCATGCTTGTGTGTTGACGACCCTCGGTGGCAGACTTTAACCATGAGCGCTTGTGGCTGGCTTGCACGAGCCTTCGGCTTGCGCGCTGCTGCATCGAGGACGCGTACAAACATGGACAGGTTCGAGAGACGTTTGGCAAGCCGCTGCTCGCTAATCAAGTGATCCGCGCCAAGTTCAGCGCCTGCGGACGCAAAGTAGACTCGGCGACAGCATGGATGGAACAGCTTGTGTACATGGAACAAGTCGCCAGCAGGGGTCAAGATGGCGGTAGAGATCTGCACATGGGCGGACTGTTTGCCAACCTCAAGGTATTATGCGGGCAGACGCTGGAATTTGTCAACCGAGAAATGCAACAGGTCATGGGGGGCCTGGGATATTCGCGCGGTGGTCGCGGTGGTCGCGTGGAACAAATCAGCCGTGATGTGAGGGTCATGGTTGTTGGAGGCGGTAGCGAAGAGATCCTTTCCGAGCTTTCCGTTGCTCAGGAGCAGCGAGCCATGGCCAAGTTGTAGACGGTCAACGGGTTTTGTCGAGCGTGTCGAGATGATGGTAGATGGAGTGAAGGCTGTTTGCTGAGACAAATGGCTACATGGACAAGTGCAATGAGCGTAAATATTTCCTGTGCAGAAACAGCGCCACGGGGCAGTTCTCCATGAGTCAAGTCTTGTACTAAAGCTGTATTCATACTTGCGCCTTGCAACATGCCACACCATCATGCCGGTCGACCCGTTGGCAACCAAGTAGATTAGCCACATACATGGAGTTGCAACAAACGCCATACAGTGGGCAACGCGGCTCGTTCACGGCAACCCACACTTGACATCTACTTCCCCGCATGTCAACCGGCTAGCTCTCGATATTTTCCGGTTCAGCTCTTCGGACAAGAGGAGAGTTCCCCACTGCCACAACCGTTGCCGTTGAACTTGTCCCCTCACAACCACCACACTGGCCATCCGATGCCCTCTTCGAGCAAGGTCGTTGGACCGTTGGGGACCACCAGGGAATGACAACATTGCTCCCATGTCTTACTCTGCTGAGCGCGAGATGAGGCGACCTCGTCTGGCATGTCTGAATTGCCGGTGAGTTCCAACATGCGTTGCCCACCTGGGGAAATTTCCAACTGAGCAACCTCGATCCACGTTGCAGGCGGAAAAAGACTCGCTGCCACGGGGAGCGCCCAGCGTGCGCACTCTGTGTCCGGCTTGGCCAGACTTGTGAATATCCAACCCATTCCACGGCGGCAGCTCCGGCACCACGGCGTTTGCCCTCTGCCGTTGTCAATGTACGTTTGTTTTGCGCGCAAGTTACAAACCTACACGGTGCCTCTCAAGCCTGCCAGCTTCTGATACCAGCTTCCATGCGAGTATAGGACGAGCTCCTCGTACGAGTTGCGAGACTCGAGGCTGACCTCCGCGCCGCACAACAAGCCCAAGTCGTCACCACCACCAACAATACCACCATCAAATATGATGACGCACAAAGAACGGCTGCCGACGCCGAGAAACATTCGTCCACAACGTCGCCGTCTCCGCCCATGCAACCGGCGCCTACCTGGGCTGACGTGCCGAGCACCGCCGTGGGAGACGCCGTCGAAAGCGACAAGAAAAAGTTCTCCCAGCTTCCCCCGGTGCCCGTACTCAAGTCACTGGCCGATGTCTACTTTTCCAATTGCCAGAACCAACCATACTGCTTCTTTCACGAAAATCATTTCCGCCGGCGCCTCATTGCCGGCGACTTGGCACACTATCTCCTCCTCGCATTCGCCGCCACGGCCGCGCGCTACAGCTCCCACGACTACTTTCGCGGCTCGGAACTGGAAGCCGTCGAGGGCCTGGCTCGGGCGGCCTGGATCATCATCCTCGACCAAGTGTTTGCCACGGAGCCCAGCCCCGACAATGTCGCAGCCGCCCAGGCGACCAGTCTACTCGCCATCATTGACTTTACTGGTAGGCAACCAATTCCGCTCACCAGACGAGGCTTGGACGCACCTTGAGTAACTAAAATGGCTGCTTTGTAGCTGGCCGACACCGCCTGGGCTGGGTCAAAATCGGCCTTGCCGTCCGCCTAGTCCAAAGCCTCAAGCTGAATGCAGAGCCGGACCCGTCGCTGCCGCCGTGGCAGCAAGAAGAACGCAGGCGCGTCTTCTGGTCCGTCTACCTGCTCGACAAGTTTGTCTCGTGCGGGAGGTCTCACCCACCGGCCATTCTGGACATGGACTGCACACTCGCCCTGCCCTGCAGCGAAGAAGCCTTTCGCATGGAGACGCCCACGAAGCTGCCGACGATTGCGCTTGTCAAGGATTTACCTAGCAACATGGCTGAGTTGGCGCAACTAGACGACTTTGCCATCCTGGTGTTGATGTGCTCTGCTCTGAGTCTCACTGTTCGGGAAACCTTTCAGCAGAACGCGTCGAAAATACCGCCGTGGGACTGCCGGAGCAACTTTGCCCAGATTAGTAGCATCCTGATGACGTTTGAAAACATTCACACTACGGGGGCGGATCACCTAGGGCCATATATTTCCGCTAGATTCGGCACATATGAGGGCTTTGATCGCCAGCGAGTCGGCCACTTCATCTGGGCAAGAGCCGTATACCACCTCTGCGGCAGTCTCCTCTGCCACCCTGTCAGTCTTCGTAGATACAGAAAATCCCAGGGCGCCTGCTTCCCGACTACGTTTGCGCGAGAGCTACTGGATCGATGCAGAGAGCACGCGACCCAGCTGAGCAATATGCTGGAAACACTACGATCTGCTGGCTGCTGCGCCCGCGGGAGCTTTCTGGGTTACGTAGCGACGTGCGCAGCGTCTGTCCACCATATATTTGCCCTATCGCCGACACCACACATTGCGGCCCGGGCAAACGCAAGCTTGGAGATGTGTCTGGGCTTCCTGGAACACCTCCCCGCTCGATGGCCAAACTACGGCATGATGGCGTCCTCGTTGCGGGCACTGAGTATAGATGGTCGGTCGGCGCGCCTGCTCATTGATCCTTCGCCTGCCGCTGTCGAAGAAGACATTGAACCGGTGGAAATTGAGCAGCTCTGGAATAGTATAGACTATGGGTGGATGACGGACCGGGCTCGGCAGAGTGAAACGGCTTCATCGCCATCGCCTCCGGGACTGGATGTACAAATTGGGGACTGGACTACTTTTTTGGAAGGCCAAATGGGGGATAATGACATGTCTAGCTTTTATGTGACGCAGGCAGAACTGATGAGGGAGGCGGATACATAGCAAGGACGTGACTATTATCCATCGGGGCATCAAGCTAGCCGATGCTGACGAATGGAGTTAAACTGGGCGTTGGTGTAATGCCTTTTTTCCCCTGATTTAGTTTAAATGATGACAAGGAATTTCTGGTGTCAAATGGTTGAGTTTAACAATTCACGTCCGCGCCCGTGTCCGCCTCCGCCTCCGCCTCCGTCTCCGCACCGTGTGACGGCCAGCCAGTCGAGACCATGGACGCCACAGTTTTGATGGTAAAGGTCAACAGTTGGTTCACCAGTCAGCTGGACCGATTCCCGCCCTCTGCATGGCCAGACGACCTTGGTATTTTGAATCTTGTGGCAGTACTAGTTACGAGCATGGGCGATCCGCATACCATTTTGTACCAAGCTGTATGAATAAACAGCTTCTATTTTATTCACGCGTACAAGATGGAGTGTCTTCATCCAATACGGCTTTTTTCTTTTTGCTGCTGGGTACTGCATAAATCTCCCTGTTAAGGGGGGCTTTGTTCTCTATTCGCTGTCAAGACAGCCACACCGCTGGAATATTGGCACGAGTAGCAAGACGAGCCAGCAGGTGTCATGTTTGGCAATACAACATATCGTTTACTGTTACTGAAGGCCCTTTTATGCGATAATGGAAGAATATTAATTGCTATAATGTAATTATCTGGTAGTAAAAGAAAGATTAGCCTATGCTTGTAGCGTAGAAGCCAACTTAAGTATTTGGCTGCAAGCTTTCTGGAGACGTTCCTCCGTTCGCGTGGACTGCTTGCTTGGTCAACCGTCGTAATGTATAATTGAATAGAACGAAGAATATGAACGGAATTTATTTTATATATTACTATTATTATTCCTATAATTATAAGCACAACTCAAGGTAGCTGTAATTCCAATTCGGCATGACACTGCGCCGGCGTCGGTGTATACGCGGCACTGGGTCACCTGCACCATGTTGACAACATTTAAACCCCCGGCATTAAACAGCCCACAATGATTATAAAGCGGGAGTTATCTAAAGCGGAGAGGAGAGGAAGAGGACGAACCAGTGTGCAGACTCTTATGGCCCGCCGGACGGCGGATTGGCAACGAGCCCCAGCACATCTCCAAGTCCTGGATTAGCTTTTGGGCTTCGTTGGGACGGTGGTGATTTTGCGTGCGGGTGCTTTCGGAAGAATGGAGCCTTGTGCTTACTGCCCATTTTGCATGCCAGTAGCAAAGTTGAGCATTCACCGTCGTCGAATTCCAGGGCGCGTTTCTGGCTACTCTGTTTCCCTTGCTTACTAAGCGAAGCTTTTCCATACATCGACGTCAACGGTGGCTGCTTGTCGAGGTTCTATGATGCTGGCTGTGGAGGGACTAGGTCATAGAGGATATTGTCATCAAACGATGCTCTATATTGATAATCTTGTCAAGTCCAAGGAAAAGGCTCGAGCAAGAAGAATGTGCAGATGGCCTTTCATCTGCCCGCGAGGCTTCTTGCTCGCACGTGATCACGTGGGACCCTCAACTGCTGCATTATGCGCAAAATCCTCGGGATATTCGAAGCTTCTTCGGGACCACCACCACCTTTGGTGTATTACAATGTCTTACTTGACTGCAACAGGCTGAGCCCTCGGTGGCTCGGTTTACACTCTCGCCTCCGGTCCCGAAGTATTTTTCTTGCAATGTTGGATCACATGTAAGCGTGCAGAGGGGTCGAAGTTTTCTTTACACCAGTCTCCAAATGTTGACTCACTACCACATGCAACTACATACTATCCAACCAACGTACCTCCTGATACAGGCAACATGCATATGGCTGCAGGCCAACACTCCCATCAGGCACTCCCCGGCACAGGAATTCCTGAACCACAATCTTGGCCCGCCTTGGCGCAAAGGCAAAAGCGTTGGGCACCAAAGGCCAGGACTGGGTGTTTGACTTGCCGGTGGGTTGTCCCTGAATCGATAAATTGCAGATTGATTACATTATTTAACGTAAAGCGAGCACATGTCATAGGCGACGACGCATCAAATGCGACGAGACCAAACCTATTTGCAATCGCTGCACTATATCTGCAAATTACTGTGAACGCTACGATGTTACTCATAATATCATCGCAGCCGCTCAGGCATCTCCTTCTAGCCCCAAATCGCCACTGTGCAATACAAACGACAGAACTTCTAGCAAGCTACTGTATTTTCTGAACGTGACTGATCCGGGGTACGGCTTGAACAGTTGGCGACCGAATCTGTTAAAGCAACTCCCTCAGCGCATGGGCTACTCAAAAGTGCTTGACACCACTGTCGCAACATTTACTAGTCTTCTAGAAACTCTAAATGGGCCATCAGCATTTCAGCAACCATCTCATAGGTCACGACAATTGTACATTTCCAGCCTCAAAGGACTACAGAGGGCTCTTGCCGCCCCAGACGAAAGATACCGCCTCAGCACTATATTCTCGGCGAGTCTTCTGGCCCAATGCCATGTTTGGATGCATCAGAATAGTACCATCGCCTGTGGACATGGCCAAGGCCTCACATACCTACTAAAAGTTTTATTGGTCCAAAAGCCAAAAGACCCATTTGCTCTAGGGTTATGCTATGCCATGTTGGCAGAAGTGGTAAGTCCCATGTGATAACATCTTTATACACCTAACATGCATGTGATTGACCCTGAATACCAGGTTGAAGAGGCTGTTTTTAACCCCAATATTCAGCTGTTTCCGTGGATCCAGACCTTGTACACTCTGCCTGGGCCGCCGCTCTGGAAACCCTCTACTTACACCGCGACTAAACCCGAGCTCACAGCCGTCAGTCTTGCACCCATATCAATGATTCCGGGCCTTATGAGAAACCCTAGAGAGAACAAACAACAAGTTCAATCTACGTATGACTATCTACTAGAGGTGTGTCTGCTGGTCAATAAATGCGTCATGGCTAATAAGGAATGCCCATATTTCGACACGTGGGATTTCATGCGTCTTAATGAAATACACGGCATGTGTGCCGGTAGCGCAGTTGTTCTCAACGCATTCTTGCGCACTTTTCATCCAAGCAACACAGTACTCGTTGGACAAAAGGTTGTACTTTGCGCCCAAGTAATCGCTCTTGCAGAGAGAGCTATGCACGAACGGCCATTGTGTGCACACCATGTGCCTCAGGCTCTATTGGCTGCGTGGTGTGTTACGGACGGCCATGTAAAGGCAAGACTGCGTCAGTTACTTCAAGACTATCGCGAGACGTATGCCATGGCTAGACTTGTCTATTTCGTGGCTTCTTGGCCGGAAGCTCCAGCTCAGATACAAGATATACCTTGGTTTACCATGTATGATGAACGAGGGGATTCTGACAAGGGCAGTGGGAAGGATGGACCGGTTGGAGGAACCAATGAAAGGCTAACTGAATACTGCTGCATTTTATGAGTGATGGGTACTGTCGGGGCTGAGATATAGATACAACTTTTGGCTGTGGGAGATTTGAAAAGGCTGAAAATTGCCGAGCCCAGCTTCGTTCCGCCGGGGTTTCGCAAACTATATTGAGGAAGGAATTGACACAGAGGCATAACTTTTTGCAAATTCTGACTCATCCTATTCCGTCTTTGTCGGACTACTTGTGAAATCACATCAGATCGAGTGTGACGGTAGCTTTGGTGAAATGGCCACATATGGCTAGAGAGCCACAGGCCTACCAGCAGAAGACATGTCGCTGCAGTGTTCATTATGGCGTATCGAGGTGTGTGAAAAGGGGGCGTAGAATGTTGGAATGGAAATATCATCTGGAGGGAAACGTGTAAGACGGCTGCCATTCTTGAAAGTATAACGATGGCAAAAGGGCATGAAATGTGGCAAAGCTATTCCATGTAATCCTTCCATGTTGACTGCGGCAGTCTGCCGAGCCGTCCAAAGCAGTGTTGTACGATTTTAGCATCGCAGAGGGGCTCCATGTCGGAGCATTCGAACTCGCCGGCATGCCCGAGCCGTTTCCATGCGTTCCTGTGGAACAAGCGGCATATAGGCTCAGCCTAATGGGATCGCTTGGCCTGATTTATGGTGGCGCAATTGAGTCACGCCTGCTTATTGACGCCAAACGACTCAGCATACTGCATAACGCACCTAGATGTTGCCTTTGATGAATGCCGACGACCGACGGCAGAGGACAAGCGTTGGCCATAAAAGGTCCAATAAGAGAAAAGCAAATCACGTCGCTAAGCCACCCGGAAACTTATGTAACTCCATGTCTGCAGATTAGGCAAGGATGCGAACCGCTACGCCTGGTTGTATGCCCAGACATCTGAACCAGAAATGGTAAGTCAGGCCCCGTAGCAGTTTCCAGAGAACTTTGAGGCTTTACTTTGTCGATTGAATTGCCCTCACCCAGTGTTTTCCATACATAGATATTAACATTGAAGCCAAACGCCCTCATTTACCAGTTTTCCGACAGAGGTTACTGTGTTTCCATGTAAAACATGGTAGAATTAATCCTTAACCAACACGTACATGCTAGCGAACAAGGATTAGTGCCTTTAGTGTTCAAATGTTGAGCTAGCCAGTCGCAGACCTGGGAGCCCTCGGACCCCTCGGCGTGGCCCCCGTGGTCCGGTGCCGAAAGTCGGCTTTCATCGCCGGACCCATGGACGCACGATGGGCCGATAATTGAGAAACAGTGGCCTAGTCCCCTTGATTGACAGCCGCGCCGCACAATAAAATTCTAAACGAGGATCCATGGGTCCGCGATTGGCCCGGCGTGCATAATGCATAGTATCTCGTGAGCCGCATGAAGCAACACGTTGGTAATCCACCGCATGAACCCTGTATCATATGACGAGTTCAGTCAACGCGTTCAGACCTTGTACGGATGTTCCCTCGAGGAGGAATATGTATTCCATTTCGTTCGCTTCCCGACCTGACGAGTGCCAGACCAATCGCGGCCGACGATGGGATTGGGTCCTCAGAACCGCACCAAATGGCTTATAGTTTGCCTGTGTACCATCATACAGCCACACGAGATGGGGCATAACCGCGCCAAATACCCCAGATGAAATGAATCAGGATGACGTGACGAGAGAGAAGGCCCATTTTAAAATGAATGTGTACCCGTTTAGCCAGTAACAGGACAGACGCAACCGTTTCAACTTTCAATTTCCACATAAAAAGTCAAGGGGTGGCGACGGCACGTCACCTTGGCCGCCGGCATTGCGCTGTCGTACGAATGCCTGAGATTCGAAACGAATTTTCTACCGTAGTCTTACAATACAGGTGTAGCGAGGACAAGAAGAGCATTCGCTGATCAATCATGTCCGCGCTGTACTTTTCAGCAGCTTACATGGCCATTCCCCCATCCCTCGCCAAAATTCCCCCATGCTTCATCAGACTGGACAAGGCCACGACTCCTCCAACGAGTGGCAAAAGACTTCTTGCCAGGTTCAAATAGCCCCATTTCCGGATGAGACCGGAAACTTCGCCCGCGCTTAATGAAGCTGTTCCCTTCACCGCGCCCAGTAACGACGCATTCGTCGACGACATGAATACAAGGGTAAAGGGAATGATGGCAACAACGAGTCCCGCAGAAAGCAAACAGGCCTTGGCGCTCTCCTGCCCACGTAGTGCGTAGGCGGCGTAAGAGTAAGACAGAGCCGTGGCGACGGCACATTTGGGCATCAGGGCCATGCCATTGCTGAATAGGCCATGCCACACGAGCACTGAAGATTTGGCCACCTGTTGCGCGGTAGGAACACCAATGACACTGAGGGATGCGATTACGCCTGCGGTTGGGCTCAGTACATGGGCGCATGTTGAAGCGACTTGGCTCGAGTATGCTCACCTGACATCCATGAGGAGCCGACGACGCCCGCGGCAACAGCAACGAGGGGGGGAAGTTGATATGTTGCCATTTTTGCTTTTGGAATCTTTTTCAATAGGCAGATTTCGTTACACTCCGTCACTTGGTCGGGAGAGGGTGCTTTATAGTCATCAGGCCATGAGTGTGGTGGAGGCAGTGGACCTCTACCTCAGTGAGCCGCCACCATTTTGGTTGGTCCAGGTGAAACTATTGACAAGCCGCCATGGCTTCGGCCATAACTTGGGGCGACTTCCGTACACGGGGTCAATTGCATTTGGCCGACGCACTGCGCGGCTTCTAGCGGGGCTGAGGCTATATAGCATAGAGTAACCGACCAAGAGTGGACGTGGGCTGGTTACGTCAACTCGGCCAACGCCGGGCACCCTGTCCATTGCACGGGCCGATTGCCTTGGCGTTTGCGAATGCCGTTTATAGCAAGTGTCGGCATTGCACGGAGTAGCGAGGACCGAACCGGCCGTATATATGTCCCGGCTTTGCGGCCAGTCCCCGGTTTCTCGAAACCCTGGCCAAGCAAAAAATACAGCACTCCTGTCCGCCTGAAATATCGAGCCCTTTGTCTCTAGAATCTATTTCATCAGCTGCAAGAAACTGATAAAAGAGTGACAATGCCTCATCTTGGATCTAGTGTCCTGGCGCTCGGAACCGCATCGTCGATATTCGTATCTGGTGAGTTGAGAATCCTCCACCAACATGTCATAGTGTGTTGACGCGTTGGATTCTTGGCGCCAGGGTCCATCTTTGCCTTCTCCCTCGGCGGAGTGAGTACAGCGCGTTTGGCAGCAGAAGAAACCTCTTCCCCGGAACTTGCTAGCCGCTACTGGCTCAACGTCTACCAAAAGTGCCATTACGTCGGCACCCCGATGGTCCTGTTTTCCACTGCATGTTTTGCGTGGCTGCGCTACCAAACGCGCCGGAATGTGTTTCTTGCTGCGGCTGCTTCGTGTGCGAGTCTCATCCCCTACACCATTGTCATCTTGAGCGGCCCCGAGAAGATTCTTTTCGCAGCCCTAGATAAGAGAAAAGGAGAAATGAGCCCTGAAGTAGTCGAGGTTCGCAAGGCAATAGTCCAGTGGGGAAACGTCAACATGTTCAGGGCCGTGTTTCCTCTTGTTGGTGGTCTTGTGGCGTTGGCAGCTGAGATGCTGTGATGTAAACGATGGCTTGTAACAAGTTGAGCGCCCAAATGCAATTCGAAAGGCATCCGGGTCTACATCTACATATGTAGTTAAAATGTCTTGGAAGCGTCATCATTTAAGGGACAGGGTTGGGGTTATTTTAAAGAAGACCAATTTAGCACAACACAGCAGATGACCAACCGATGTCTCTGCACATAACGATGCAGCAAACATGCAATTAAGTGTGGACGGACAGAAGCAGTAGGTTATGGACTGGAGCACCGATATTAGCCCGAGTGTGGCACGGGAAGAGGGTGTTGTTCACGCTGCACCATCTTGGTACCTGACCAAGACACATGCCAAACATGATTCCAAGCTCGGTGCCCATATATTTGAAGCGACCTTTTACCCAGGTAGGCTGAGCAGCAGTGAGATAATCTTGTCATGACAGATGGGTTAGTGACCAGAGCAGAAAGTAGCCCACGACACCGTTTCGTCTGGTATGTTCCCCAGACCTCGCATCGCACCATGGTGCAAAATAGCATCAGGTGCGCACATGGCACAAGGCATTGAGTTCCAGAACCGCGCGATAGACAAGTCGTTGTACGTGTCTATGCGTCCAGGGAATAACTCTACATCGGAGCAACCCTCTGCGGGAGACGTGGTTCCCAGGCCACCATCCGCCAACAAGACTCAGGCGGCAGCATGACAATCTGTTCAACAAAAGGAGTCAGCAACGTGCCTTGATTTGTGTTGAGAGCAGCTCGAGAATAATATATACACAATTAGTAATTCGCTTTTGATACTAGTCAGCAGATTTTGGCCGTTCTCAGTGCTTAATTGCTCTTCGCCGATTGCTCGTAGGACTTGTATAGCACCGCCGACGTCTGGTGGCATGCCCATTGCGTTGGGCCAGCTCTCTTGGCTGTCATGTCCTCGAAAATGCCTACATGCTGGTAGCAATTGACGGATGCCAGTGTTGCGACATGCCCAATAGCCACAGCCTGTTGTAGGGCGGCATGTGCTGCGGCGAGCGCCTTGATGCCAATAGACTACGAGGGCCTTCTTGTCATGGCCGTCTTGCGTTGTTCCGGATCCGTTGGCTAATGATGCGCATGCCTTGAAAGCATACACGAGCGCCGAGCCTTGTCTTCCAGTGCGGCTTGCCTTGATCCTCCGAATCTGCATTGATTTTTAAAACGTAGATATTAATAATTTTATAATATTTAATAATTTTATTAAGTCTTTTTGTATAATTAATAAACGAAACTTTATTTGATATTAGCCGGTTAGCTCCTACTGACGCAAAACTTTGGCTTTGGCTAATTTAGCTAAAACTATATACTGATTATTGCGAAAGGAATCTGTCAGGTATCCATTATCCAACTGCGTCTTGAACCACATTAGCGTGTTATTCTCCTTCCACACGGGCCAGTTAAGTTGGCCCTTATTTCCCTTGTTTGGGTCTTGATTATATAAAAAGTTAAAATAGTATTGCCGGGTGCTGCTAGTTGCGTGGGTAGGTGGAATGCCATAAAAGATTTGGATAAGATCTGACGCGTGAAATGTGCCCAAAATTGGTAGTGGGTGCGCGTACGAGGATAAAAATGACCAGGCAGGCATGTTGGGGTTTGCCTTGGCCGTCGCCTCAAGGAAGCTGCGTCGTGATAGTGTAAAAGTCATATCGCCTATAATTGCGGCAATACGCTTGTACATGGGGTACAGCGAGTTGATAGGCCCCGTGCGGAAAGGACTACCCTCGTCATCTTTTGTATATGCCTCAACTAGCTCCGATAGCTGCTCCTTGGTTGCGTTTGGGAATACAAATTGAGAAAAGTAGTTTACCAAATCATCATTTGTCTTGACGCTTTGTTGGTAGAGCGCGAATATCGTCCCTTCGTCTTCCTGGTCGCCTGCAATAATTGGCACGGCATAGTATTGACCGGTTGCGGCGAGTTCGTCCGGGCTCAGTGGAAGCACTTTGCCATCCGGGCGCGGTGGAAATGAGATTTTGGTACCAGAAAAGGAAAAGATGCCTGAAAACGTTTGAGTCACTGCGTTGTAAAAGGTATCGTAGTCGAGTTCTCGGAGGCAAGAGAGCGTATTGTTGACGGCACCGGCACAACCAGCTTCCTTGAGCACCTGATTATATGTGGCTTGTCCCTTGAACCCATCCATTGGCTCGGCAGGAATAGTCGTCCCGGAGTTCATGATGCCGCCTCGAAAGAGCGGCTTGCCCTTGTAGCTTGAGTTACCACCATAGAGAGCCATTTGGTAAAACACTGATATTGAGCCGGCTGATTCTCCCCAAAGAGTGACTCTATCCGGGTTACCGCCGAACTGGTCAATGTTATCAGCTACCCATTCAAGGCCCATTCGTTGATCAAGAAGGCCGGCGTTTGCACTACCCTCATTTAGCATCTCGATACCGGGCATGAAACCAAAGCCACCGACTCGGTAATTAACGGCCACAAAAATAAAAGGCTGCTTGTTTGCCACGCCCTCGCGTACGAGCGATGCTCCATCGTATGTGTTGGTGCTGCCGAGTGCGAAGCCGCCCCCGTACATCCAGAATAGTACCGGTAGCTTGTCGCCTGGCTTGATATTGGCCGGGCGCTGGACCGAGACAGTTAGGCAGTCTTCCTGGCCCTTCACATCCTTGAAGAATGGCAAGTCCAGGATCTGGCTACCAATACTGCTGATTATGTTCTTGTCCGCAGGCGATAGAAGCAACTGGGGGCAGGCAGCGGCTATGCCTGTACCATCTACACTATCCAGATGGCGTGAAATCTTCTGTGGGGGCCGAAGGCGCAGCGGGCCGATTGGCGGATCAGCATATGGTATGCCGTTGTATGTTTCGACTCCAGAGTTTAATCTCCCAGTAATCTTGGTGCCTGATGTGAGTTGGACCTGGACCAGATTTTGGGCCGCAGTACCGGTGCTCGTCAAGGCAAGCCCGGCAAGTAGAAAAAACCAGTTTAAAGAAAGAAATACTCCCATATTGGCAAGGTACAGCCCAGAGTAGACCAAAATTATCTATAAAGTATTAGTTTAGAATTATATAGAGTGAATATATCTTGGAAGATTGCTATACTCGGCTCCAACGATTCTATTTTCGGATGCGTATCCGATATGCTTCCGAGACAACTGCGGTCCGTGCACTATTATTATCTAGCACGAGCGGTACCATGTCACGCCCCTCTTTATATGAAACTCGGGAGCTCGCACTCGGGTTAATAGTGCTTACCGCCAGTCTAGCTTTAGACGGACTCAGCTAAACTCGAGGTAAGCACTACCTTCGCCGAGTTCCAAATAAAATAGGACATGATACTGAGGCTGTCGCACCACACAACGGTGGACCTAGCTGTTACAGGTCAATAGGTCACGTAATAAAGGCCATGTAAGCTGCTGCGCCTCGTAATACGTGAAGCCAAGCGCCTTTTATAAAAAGGCACGGCGCATACAATCCTTTCTTTTGTAGTCTAATTAAGGCTTTGTAGTAATAATTACAGAGATTCGTATCATTTAATGCTATAGTGCCTAGCTCAGCGTGCAAGAGAGGCCAACAGGGACGGGACTAGGTGTTCTATGAGATGTCCCGAGCACCGAGTAACTTCAATGTTGCCTTAATGCCGTGGTAAGTGCCGTCACGTCGTTCCGATCCGGTGGCCACATGTGCAGTCGCCGTCTCCGACCTTCCCTATCGTCGAGGTGGTGGGGACCTCGCATGGCCTACCAGACGTAGAGTCGTTCATGTCCGGCAGCCACAAAGACTATGTTATAGCTCGCGACCTATATTGCGCTCGGACAAAATAAAAGTCCCTGAACCCAGGAACAAGACGAAGGCTAGAAGCAGACTATTCGCCGAAAAGCATGAGCCTACAAGCCCTTTATAAGTAGACAATACTGACCGCAAAAAGCTTACAAACCCCTTTTACAGAAACTACTATCAGTATTAATTGTACTATAAAACTACACTCTTGTTAGAAACGGATAACCTTTACCGGAGACTCCTAGTTTCTCTACATTTTACACAAAGATATTAAGTATACTAATACCAGAAGCTCTAATTAGACTAATAAATACGCTAAGATATTACGCCCTAATACCCTTACTAGCCGTAACTCTGCCTCGCAAGTCTTCAGCCCCCTTGCAGGATTGATAATAACATCGTTATTAACCGAGTATTACCAAATATTCCTGGTCCAGGATCTGGTTATTAGAAGTAGATCAGGCCTACTTTTAGTTCCCAGCCTGGCTATTATTTCATAATACTTTAGCATAAGACGTGGGCTTGTAACCGGCATAGTTACCTCTGGCGGCTTTGTGGGCGCACTGCTCTTTCCTATTATCTTTGAACGTCTCCAAGTTCAGGTATTATTTGGATAGGCGACGCGAGCAATCGGTATATAAATTTCTTTATTATAATTATATTTAAGTAGTTAATAAAAAATAAAAAAGAGGATACTTAACAACTTATATTAATTATAAGTAAATGGGTAGCTTTTTTGGTTATATACTTATAATAAATATTATACTTATAAGGCCTTAACAAGGTAATACTACTATAAAAGGGTAAGGCTAATTAAAGTTAGCTCTAGTACTTTATAAATTATCCTTCAATGTTTAAAAGCAGCATCTTATCCTCTAAAAATTAATACTATAACCTCTATAATTAGAGGCATATTTCTGGTGAACCTCCACTTTTGTTGTAAACACACAGCCGGGCAAGAGCCCTAGGCACAGACGTTCACTTCATGTATATATAGTGGGCACTCGTCTCCCTCCTCATCTTAGAAAACCAAGGACCCTTGACACCCTTTGGGAGTATTATTGAGTCGAGTCTTTTACTCCAAGCCTTCTATTGAACTCTTGTCACACGCTGGCTCCTTGGAATCCCTGTCAGGTCAGGCTCAAAGAATTCCAGCAACGAATCAGACCGAAGCGGTGTTTCTGTTAAAATGACAGCGCCAAATACCACAGAAGTACCTTCAGATGACGATTGCGAATCCCCAATTCCGCCAACTCGGTTGCCACCGCACAGGGCGACGTCCCGGTCGATGACTCGCATGGAATACCGGTGAGCGAGCACTACTGGCAGACAGTCTCCGACTTGGCGCCCGATATAACAGGGGCTGCGAAAACTATATTGTCGAATAAGAGGCTATATTTCAAAACAGTGGTTGCCGTCATTGCCTACTGGGAGACAGCTTCAGGGCTGGACCGTCTCCGAGCTCAGGCCGATAAGCTCGGCAGACTGTTCGAAGACGATTTCAAGTTCGAGGTACTGGTCTATAAGATTCCGGACAATGTCGAGGATTGGGAATTCATCTCAATCATTGGTGGTGAGTTGCGCAAAGTCTCAAAGGACCGAGACGGTTTGTTCATCCTGTACTATGGAGGGCATGTAACAATATCCGACACCACGACAAGACGGCTGTGGAAGAAAGAAAACCGCCCTAGATCACCACAGATTAATTGGTCGATGAATATGCAGGCAATATTCAACGCTAGTTCGATTTGCTCCAAATTCTTCATCTTCGACTCCTGTCATGCTGGAGGGATGATCGACCCAACACTGGCATGGGAAACGTCGTGCGAGCTGCTCGGAGCCTGCGCAGCGGACGTGCAAACTTCCGCCTTGCACGTTTCGTCATTCACGTCCGCCTTGCTCCAGGAGATGTCAAACAATACCTTCAATGTCTGGGAGCTGCACTCTGTCTTGTGCAGCTCTGACAAGCAAAGCGAGTATAATCTCGCCCGGTTTCCCCATTATCAAGACTTTGTGGGTCGATAGAGATAAACATGTGCATCTCGAACAGGTTGCTCCTCAAAGAAGTCAGGCTCATGAACTGCACCTTCAAACCCGGCTCCTCCCTGCAACTCGCCACGACTTGGGGCAGCTCTTGGACGACCAGCTGGATATGCGGAAACTTGCGCGCAATCGCAAACGCCGCATCACCATGAGAACCGCCGACATCGACGACAGTAGCGGCACCAAGGGCCGACCACGCATACCCGTTGATGACGTGATGGAAGGCATGTCATTCTCCCGTAGTTAAGAAACTCATGGCGCCCCCGAAGCGTCGTGCGCGTTCAGGATTCTTCTCCAACTCGATGTAGAAGGAGTCAGCCGTGTCGTTGGCTAGAGAGAAGCCCTGGTGTTTGTTAGCCACCTTGTACGTAAATAACCCGGCGAGGAGATTGTACGGTCTGGTTTGGCTCAGTGGCCAACGGCCATTTCACCAGTGCCTCGACAGTCTTTTCCGCTGACGGCCACATGTCGTCGACGTTAGCACCAAGCCATTCGGCCACGCGGGAGTCATCTGCAATCAACTTGGATACTGCAGAGTGCGTAATAACGCCGGGACGGGGCTCACTAAACACTCTGTGGGCGATGCCCAGGCGGAGGATTCTGGTGAGGGCGGCGCAATCGACACCAATCTTTGCCGCCAAGTCCCCAAACCTTATTTCGCCGTTGGCAGGAACCTCGTTGGCAAGGTCGAATTGCGAGATGAGCCTGAGAGGGACCAGCTGGTTATGCTGTGACCTTGATTAGCCTCGATGAAACATGCCGTGCCAAACCCACGCGGATAGACACAAACATGATGGTTGAATAGTAGGTCCTTGGGACCCTGTAGAAGATCATTGAGCTCTTTGCTTGCCTCTAGGACAGGAATGCGCGATTGCTCCAGCTCCGGCGGCAGACCGAGGTCCACGGGACTGTCGGCCGCGAAGGATGGGTGTGGTAACGCCTTTTCACAAAGATAGCTGTCAATACGCTGTGTGTGGACGGCTACAACATTTGCCAGTTCGGCCAGGCGACTTTGCGACGATGCCATCTTGTCTATTCGCGTTGGCTGGTTACGAGGCTACGACAATCATCATCGTACAAGGGAATGCAGGCGAAGCTAGAGAATATAAAGAGGGATGGATATAACCCATCGGTCGTATGACCTTGACACGTCATTCTGCATCTGGCCGCAAAGCGGTGTTCTTAAACATGAAAGCAAGGGCCAGCATAGTGGTGAATACTATTGCTGCCTATTGTAACCTCACAGACCTTTGGTGCTACAAGCGTCAATACATGTACACCAGACTCTAGCAACATGTCCGTGTCCATCCTTTCAATGTTCTGTCATTAATGATATCATTCCTTAGCCCCGTCGCCACTGGTACACGAACGCATCGTCCGTATCATGCCGACTTGGGATGTGATTGTCGTCGTCTTGGCCAAGTTAATAAACATTACTATCCGCATGATGGGTTACAAGTCATCAAATGTGATCAATATTACTTTCTGCCTGCTCCAGAGAGGGCAGCGCCCACATGCAGCACTGTAAGCCGTAGCAGCGAAACAAATCCCACGTACGTACGTCCTTGGTGCGCCAGGTGGGATTATGATCTTGTCTACGGAGTAGTTTACAGCAAAGGCCTTGTACAGATCCCGTTTTTTCTGGGCATGTAAGACAAATAGTCGCATTTTGAACCAGGCTCAACCTGACTTGCCGAATGCGAGACTGGCGGTTCATTGGCCTCTTACTTTGAAGGGTATCTTATATAAGAGCTGCTTATAAGGAATTTTTTACCTCTAAAAATATTTTTATAAAGCCTGCTCTTATAAGTACTTCAAACCTAACCCGAAGCCTTAAACCTTTCGTACCTACTAGAATATAGTGAGGTTACATGTCTTATCGACATGGGCTCAGCTCGGTTAGACAGTACAGTTCTCTTTGTGTCCCCCCTCCCCCCTTTTTTAGTTTCGCGATACCGATCTCGTCTTTGATAGGATGTGAGAGTACGAGAAATCCGCTAATACTCACTTGTTCCCGGTTCGAAGGAAAAGAGCACAAGCTGGAGCCGCCCTCGGCATGGTCGGAGAAAAGCCCCTAATATCCGATAGAGATTCGCGATGAGGGTAAGACAGGTTTTTTATCCGGTACGTAAACTATTTCTTAACTGTTTGTATTTTGAACCCCTTTCTCTAGAGGGGAAGCCGGGAATATTTAACATCAAGATCCTCTATTGCCCTCTCTTCTAAGTCTTAGCCTCAAGCTATTGCCTATTACTATAGAGAAACCTCTTCTTTACTAGGAGGGCCTCGACCCGGTGGTGTACGTGGGCGGGGTTCCCATAAAACTCTCTGGACTCCCCTTCTAGGACGATGTACAGAAAGCCAAAGTCCACGTCTGGTGCGGATTCATTTCCAGTGATGTGGTCCTAGGGTGTGGAAATTACTGTCGAACGACTCTAAACCTACCCGCCTAGCTCGCAAATGTACTTGATAGCAATAGTTGCCTGGTTTTTTGGAGCTTAGATTAGATTCAACTCAACCCTAAGACTAGGTACTTTACATTTATTATGAACTTTTGTAGTTATTATATACCGAGGCTCAGCTTGTACATGTCCGAGACTGTGTAGCCTGGCGGGTTACATTGTTGGCGCAAATAGTGCAACTACTGGGTCCAAACCATGCAATACGAAGTCACCTTTGCCACATATGCATATTGTTATAGGTAACACACTACATGTAAGTATCAGCTGACACCCTAGTCTGCGTGGTGCGATTGAATGAATAAATAAATGTCCGGCCCGCCCGCCAATTACGTCTGGTCCCAGTTGAAGTCTTGCATCTTCCTCACAATTACTCTCCCACCCAAAGTAGCAATCACCGCGCTCTCTCACAAGAACAACGAAAAGTATAGACTCCCGAGGGGCTGTGATTATGGGTGAGAGTAAGAAGCTATTCTTGAAGTCTCAATCACGTTTCGTGCAGTGCTAATAATGCCGTTGCTAAAGACTTTAAAGAGCCGGATATTGTGCTACCCTGCATCCTAACGGTAACCCTTCATGAGGCTCCTGGCCTGCCTGCACTATATGATAAACGTCGGTATGCACTCTTGAACTATGATAAATGCGAAGTGCCAGTGGAACCCTATCTGGTATTTGCAAACGATCCTATCTTGGTGCAAAAGGATTACAATGTCTGCAAATTCTACGTTGCTCGTCTTGCAGAGTTAACCATTTCCTTCTATGTCCCTGATCCAGAAGATGCGCCAGCGATGCTTTTGGGTGTAGCACGAGTAAAACCTTTTAGTATTTCAAGATCCGCCAACTCCCGCTGGCTGCCAGTGGGCCATGATTCTGCTGCCAGAGTTCGTGTCAGTTTCGAATATCAGCGCACTTTGCAAGAGCCGAAATTTCGGTTACTAGGGGGCGATATGATACGAAGCAGATCGAGATACGTTGGAGTATTCAAGTCGGAAGATATAGGGCAAAGATATGCTGATGGGTGGTTCTCAAATGAGCACATCTCTTCGCCTGACCTGATCTCGTTCTTACCATCTCAAATCAACCATCCGTTTATCGCCTCAGTTACACATTCTTATGAATCGGAATATGAATTACACCTTCTTTCGCCGTACGTTAGCGGCGGACATCTTTTTCATCACATTCAGAATCAGCGACGTTTTGATCCTGATACATCTCGACTATACATCGCTGAGATTTTGTGCGCGCTAGAATACATTCACGATTTTCATAGCATCTTTGGTTGGCTGAAGCCGCAGAATGTTCTTCTAGACCTTTCAGGCCATATTGTTCTGTGCGGCTTCGGTCTCTTCATCCTGGAGGCAAAGAATAGAGATTCCACGACACCTAGAGTAGCTGAGTACCCGGCACCAGAGCTACTCCTTGGCAGTGATGCAACTCGACTGGCAGATTATTGGACATTGGGAATCTTCCTTTACGAGATGCTAGTGGGAGAACCATTATTTTATGACGAAAATCCCACTAATATTACGGAAAAGATCCTCAAACAGCCTCTTGAATTTCCTGGCAATATATCCACAGCAGCCAAGGACCTTATAACTCGCCTTCTTGATCGCAGGCCGCAGGAACGCCTGGGTGCACATGGAGCGTCTGAAATTAAGAATCATTCTTTTTTTAAGACTATAAACTGGCAAAAGGTTCTCCAGCGGAACTATGAACCTGCTTTCAAGCCAGAATATACACCAGGTTCTAACCCCTTATGTGGCTCTTGTAACTTCTCACCAAACCACGTATCTGGATCGTTTGAGCAACATGGTGTGCCTGGAAGCTTTGAGCCACCAGAGCCACCATCAATATTCCAAGGACTGAACAGATGGGCCATGGCCCAAGGGGGGAGGGCCACCGAGAATTCGGAGACGACTATTCAAGCGGACAATGAATGGGACTTGATATGGCAAGATTCACAGCCGCAAAGCTTTCATTTCCATAATCGTGTCACAGGGGCAACAAGACCAGTTCCTTCTCGGGCTGTTGATCCTTGCGCTACCCAGGACGCCGCAACTTATACCAACATTGGCTTAGATACTACTCCTGGTTTAACGCACAAGTTAGACGCGCTTGAAGCTGCGTTGCGAGCCGGATACGACCATGCTGTCTCGGAGCTATTGACATACAACATGGACTTGAATGTCGAGATTTTTGGCCGGGACCGGAGGCGCCCACTCCATTGGGCGGTAAAGCATAAAAACCTCCATCTAGTTTGCCTATTCCTGGAGCATGGCGCAAACGCTGATTTTGGCGGCCCTGCCCTAATCCAAGCCGTGGAAATCGGGCATCTTGGCATTGCAGAAGCTCTTGTGTCAAAAACGAGCCGAGTGGCCTGTACCCAATCTTTAGGTCTCGCCGTCGACAAACAGGATATGAACATGGCAAGACTTCTCTTAGGCTACGGTGCTCACTGTGACTTTGAAAAAGACGATCGCCCACACCCTCAGCCAACGTGGGATCAAAGTTTTATGGGCTGTGATATTTCTCGACCACAGGAGTTTAAACCCCCTCTTATCCGGGCAATTCAGAAGCACGACATTGATATTGTTCGGTTATTACTCTTGCATGGGGCGGATCCTAATGTTGCCCTTCATGATACTTTTGACTGTGGTAGAGCTGTCCAACTGGCTATGAAGGCTGAACAGCTAGGAATAGTACAGTTGTTACTTGACAGCGGCGCAGATATTAGTTTGCCGGGTGATACTTGGGAAGGGTCAGGACATAAATGTCATATTTCGAAGAGGCCAGTCTATCAAAATGTGACGGCCAGATTGCGAGCAGCCATGGCGGCAAAAAAGTTGGGCAAGGCGGCAAATCTATATGTTTCGGGATAGATTTGGCAGGACTATACTTGCTATGGCTTATCAGTTGGCCGCAGTGCAAAGGGCGGATTCTATCTTTGTAATAGGGTGTACCGAGCAGTCCCCCACGATGAATTGAGGCTACCAACTCGTTGACAAAAACTCTGACCGCGTGCTCGGCAGATTGCGTGGGATAGTATCTGGGGTACCCTGGATGAAGTCGTGTCCAAGTACCGGCAATTGCTACTTAAGTACTAGCCCGATTTGGCTAGAGGAAAACTTGAACAAAGCAACCAAGTGACGAGTGTACCCACTCTGCATGTGGCTGAGCATCCGGGGGACTTGACATTCAATTGTTGACAACTCAGTGCATCACCCTACAGCGCCATGGCCACGAGTCTCGATGAATTGACATTGAATCTACCCACGTGAACCTACCGCAAGCTACTTAAGTAGGTGGGTCATGCTGCACGGACAGCCTCACTTTTAGACAAGAGGCGAAAATTCGGTTGTTTTTCCATGTCAAGTCAATTTACCTGAGGATGCGCTGTGCCCCGCTTTGGCGGACCAGTTGACCTGCTTGTCGCCTTTGTCTTCTCAGCTTTGGTGGAAATGAACCAGACGGTCTGGTGCCGTTGACCTTTTGCATTCCAATACTGTCCTTTTGCCTTCCCTTTTCCCAAATCAGGTCCATGTCCATGCAAGTGTCCATACGTGCGAGATCCCACCCAAATCTCTCCGAGGTCTGTCAGCACCAGACATGTTACGAAAGTGAGCTATTCCCGCTGACAATTCCCTGGATAGCACGCATATCGAATTTGATGCCATGTCGTCCATCACCCCTCCTCACGCGCCAACCGAGGCCGCCCTCGAGTCTCTCCGGGACGAGTTGAAAGGCAACATGTTGCCAAACGTCCATGGCTTCTTTGCCAAGTATTTCGAGGGAAAGTCGTGGTCCACGGTGACGCAGAACAAATTCCAAGAAACGACGTCGGCCAACATGGTTGGCAAGTTGTCTGCCCGTGTCCCTGACCTCGCTCACTTGGACGTGCTGGTGGAATGGCTTGCCGAATTCCAGACGCTGTTTTTCGGCATCGATCAAGCCAACTTGCGATTCCGCAGCCAGCAGCTTAGCAACACGAGTAGCACGCCCAAGACCGCCATCTACCTCGAGACATCTGATGTCCAGTCCGCCGCAGGCAGCACCCGAGTGTTTGGAGAATTCCATCTTGACAGCGCCCTCGTCACGGCTGATGACGACGACGACGACATTCTGCGCTTCTGCGAGCGAGCACGGCACGTGTTCAAGACCCAGTCGGCTCGATGCTTTGTCCACGGGTTCCTCGTCCGTGGTGCCATGCTGGAGCTCTGGGTTTTTGACCGATCGGGGGCCTACAGCAGCGGGAGGCTCGACCTGGCACAGGAACCGGATCTGCTGGTGCGCGCCCTGGCCGGCTACACCTTGATGACGGACGAGGAAGCGGGCTTCAACACCCTTGTAAAGCGCCTTACCCCTGAGTCGGACAGCTACGTCACATTTCATCAGAGCCACACGTTCCGCCTTCAGCCAGAGTTGATGGCAACAGCCGACTACATAGTCGGGCCCGGAACGACGTGCTATGCGGCCTCGACACGGACAGCCGGGGAACCAGACACCGTCATCAAGTTTTCTTGGCGAGAGGATCAAGAGCCCACCGAGGTCCGTCTGCTGAAGCGGGCACATGAGCGCAACGCCTGGGGTGTCATCCAGCTCTTAGATCATCAGGACCTGGTGAGCGTGGCCGACCTTCGCCAGGAGATGGACTTTCCTCGGCCGTTTGCCAACCGGATATTGTCCTGCGTCGCAACCACCCCTTTGGGCCGACCGATCCGACAGTTCGCATCGATCCCCGAGCTGTTGGAGGCCCTGCGCGACCTTGTCCGGGCTCTTCACTCTCTCTACGTCAAGGCGAGGATTCTCCATCGCGATGTCGCCATCAAGAATCTAATCATTGCCCCGCACCGCAGCGCCGACAGCCCCAAGGGTGTCTTGCTTGATTTCAACTTTGCCCTGGATCTCGACAATGTCCGTCCTGTGGAGCCCATGGTCGGATCAGATGGCTTCATGGCCATTGGTATTCTCTCCGGACAGCGACACACGTATCGGCACGACTTGGAGTCCCTGTTCTACGTGTTTCTCTGGATCGCCATTGCCAACGACGGTGTGCACGACGAGGCGAATGACATACTCGAGGATATGCCAAAGACGTCACGGCTGTGGAAATGGTGCAGCATGGACTTTGGTGCTGTTGGCCGGGACAAGGCGGCCGACATGAGCCCCGAGGGCTTTGAAGGAATTCTAGACGAGTTTTGCTCCGATTTTGCTCCTCTCCGGGGTTTGGCCAGTGAACTGCACGCGCTGCTCTTCCCCGTGCGCCAGGGCAAGATTTTCACGGGTACCAACACGGACCCGGCGGCTGTTGAGAGGCTCCATGATGGGATGGCGGATGCGTTCAACCGGAGTGCCCTGGCATTCCAGGGTTAACATTGGGAGTCTCGAGTCTCGACCACTTTCAGGGGCACCATTGGTTACCATTAGACTACTACTAGCCCGCTGTTGTCCAAATTCATGTTGTCGTTCCCTGTATCAAGGGTCCCACGCCACCGTGACTGGTATCAAATCCTTGGTTCCCCAGGCCTTCAAATGGTGATTGAAAGAGGCACGGGGCCTGGCAACGTGGAAAGCAGGCCAGAACGCCCACCGATGGAGCGGGGATAGCCAGAGACCCTGAGATTTGAGGCTCTGCTTGGGATGGAGTCCCGATTTGTAGTGGCGGCCACCCTCCTCATCAGCTATCAGATTTTTGACTCGATTCATCAACTTGTTGTGACAATTTATGACCTGTCTTGTGATGGCTGTGCCGTCACCAGAGACAGGGGCGACTTTCACGGCCAATCGCCGTCACTTGGGCTGACCACGATATGTACCGCTGTACGGAGTAGCTTGTACTTTGCACCCTTGATCCCACAGGTACCTCCTTGTTACTGAAATCAGCCTGTGAAGTCGTATTATTTTATAGAGATGGTGTAGCTTTCAGCAGCTTTAAAGCTAAAACCGGCAATGCTTCTTATTGGCTAGACATGCACAGGCATCTGGTTGAGGAAAGATAAGAATCGGTCATGCTCCAGTCTCCTTGTCAAACAAGACAAGCACGGTCAACCGCCCACTTACAGAGTATTGCAAGTTCTGCAACTCGCATCTTGTTCCTTTTTCCTTTATTCCCCAGCATTGCCATCACTCCGGCCGTTGCTCCGACATGATGGGAGTGGTCAAGAACACCTACCCCCCGGCGTCACTGTACAACCGGCTCCCTTTCATCCATGACATGGGCCACGTCGCCGAGACATACGCAGACCATCTCAACTACCTGAGAAACCTCATGGACACGCACGACATGCCGCCAAGTGTCTGTGTCAAGCTGATTCACATCCACTTCCATCTCAACAATGGCGAGATCTTGGCTGTGCGCGAGTTGAACGCGCCGCCGCACGGCAAGATCCCTTTCCTGCAGCCCACGACGCCCGACGTGGCAGGCAATGTCTACGGCTGCAACTACATTGTGGACGACGCGGGCGATCTTCAGGCGTTTGAGTACACGACCACCGAGGGAGGGCCGGACCTGGCGGCGTACCCGGCCTTTGTCGCCGTATTCTGCGCCGCCGTGGTGCAGCGCGGCATGCAGCACAAGTTCGGGCTCGCCATCAACTCGGGCGCGGCCGAGCGCGGCTCGTGGATGGAACTCGACTTTCCCGAAAAGCGCGCGACCTTTCTGCTGCCGGGCCACGTGGCCCTGCCGCAAAGTGACCGTCTGGTGTTGAGAAGGACCATCACCAAGTTCCCGAGACCCGACAACGACGGGCACGGCAACAGGGACTTGCCAACACACGGCCACATTGAGAACACTTGGGGTTCAAGTAAAGGAATCGGTCCTGATGACCAGGAGCCTGTCGATGGCGTCACAACCAAGAATGGGCTGCAATTGACAGGTGTTGCTCTAGAACCCGGCACTGCTTTCTACGTGGTGGCTTCGGCCATCTCGGCGGCTGTGTACGGAGCAGACTAGAAACGGGCTGAAGGACCAGTGTGCGTTGGATGGGTACTGAGGAGTGAATTCATCCAGTTTAGTCAATTTACATGACAATATGAGTTGCCGCCGGTTTCCAGCCATTGTGACAAGGGCTCAGGAGGGCTCTGAGCAAATAGCTCAATTCATCTAATAACAGTCTTTGGTATCAAAGATGCTTGGTTTCCCCCGAGGCTTCGTTTACCAAAGACGTCTTTAAATACAACAAGTCGGTGAGGGACTTTGCCCTAGATCCCGTCATGGTAGCCCTTGCGTAGCCGTGTGACAGCCACGAATCAGCCTCTTTTTCTTCTCAAGGACCAAGCATTCCATGTCAAAGCCAACGCGTAGATTGTAGAGATGAGCAACCGTTTGTGCCTTGCGCGCTGGCACAAATCCCATCCACGAAGCAGGGTAGGACGTGACCAACTCAACACCAGTTTCATCATTTCTGTAAAGCCTAACCTATTGCCGTCCTGGCACCAAGTAGCACATGCAACGCAGTTGCGTGTCTGCTGTCCCGCTAAACGCTTTGTTTTTCGGCATGTAATCTCCATGAGCAAAACTATTCATGGCCGAATCCAGACGGGCTTCATCATGTCCTCTAAATTGTACAAAGCTTTGCTTGGATATATTCCTGTTGGCCAACTCATACAAACTTGTCTTGTTCTTCTCTCACCATGGCCATGTGACCTGCTAAATTCTACATGGTCCGCCATTCTTTCGGGTTGTCTGTTCCGCTAAACGCTTCCACTGCGCAAAAACATGCAACGCACATCTCTGCCTCGACGAGTACATAAAAGCACTCCTTCCGGCGCCCATGACGCATTGGTTCTAGTCCGCGAAGACGACTTCGTATCGCCAGTCATTCTTATCCTCTGCCCGACCTTTAAGCATGGCCGTCAACGCACCGGCTAGCTCGACCGCTACAGGGCCAGCATCACCGCTTGGGCAATATTCGAACCTGTCGCTCGTGCTCTCCCTCACAATCGCAGAAATGGGAAGAACGCCGGCTAGATTCACGTTAGTGTCTCATGTCTCAACATACAAAAGTCCATCAACAGGCCCATGGTGGCCGAGGGGAAGCGAGTGACGGAATTTCCGCAACGTACCGGCAGTTCCCAACGCAAGAACCTCGTCAAACTGCCCGAGCTCCGAGTATTTGACTACCCTCCGCTCCACCGTGTAGCCCAATTCCTCGGCAATGACCAAAACGCTGTCGCTGGTTACGCTGTCGATGATTTGTGTGCTGTTTGGGACCACGAGCGTGGCCCGGGGGCGCTCCTGGTCATCACCCCCCTTCAAGACACCCACGAACCCGCTTGTGCTGAATTCTTCAATCTCGCCCTGTGTCTTGCTGTCCAGATGCAGCGTGATAGGGAAGCCCTTTTGCTTCGCCTCCTGGCTGTACTTGATGACGGGCGCATAGTTGCCGCCAATCTTGGCGTAGCCGGTGCCGCGCGTGGCCGCCCGGTCGAAATTGTCGAGAACGAGGCACGGCACCGGCCGCACGCCGTGGTATGTCGTCGCCGGCTGCGCGTATATGGCCAACGTACACGTCGGGGACGGCTCCAATGCCAACTGGGGCGCGGAAGCAAAGATTACAGGTCGGAGATAGAGGACGGCCGCAGAGTCGCCGGGGCCGACGAATTCCGCGTTGCCACGGACAGCCAGGGAGATGCTGCTGAGGAAGACGTCTTCGGGGACTGCGGGCAGGCAGACGGCTGCGCTTGACTGCACCAGACGCCGGTGGTGAAAGGTTGGGCGGAAGATGGTGATGGTGTCGTCTGGGCTGCGGCTGGCTTTGAGGCCTTCGTAGGCTTGCATGCCGTAGTTGAGCGCGGGGGACAGGCCGTGCACGCGCAGATAGGGGTCCTTGACAAAGGTTGGCGCCGTCCAGGTATTCCTTTCGGAAGACCAGGTGGTTTCTACATGGCCGTTGACGATATCGGCAACCGTCAGGCCCAGGCGGGCCCAGTCGATGTTGGGGAGTGGTGCAGGCGGTGGCATGGTGTATGTCAAGATGGCAAGTTGTGGCGTGTGTGTGATGTCGGTTGATTTGGGACAATTTTGACCATATCTTGATCTATATATCCCAACGAAACTGTCCAATGGCAGGGAGATGGATGCCACGCAGATGAGCAATCTTTATCCGTACCGGGCTTGACCTCATACTTCCGCTGAGTGAGAATCTCTTATGCCGTATTGTTTTACATGACTTCAATTTTCGTAATCCGGGAGTAGCCAGCAGGTCTGATTTAGCCTCGAGATGTGCATGCCTTCCGGGCTGACGGACACGTTCGGAAGGTTTCTGCAACATCAGGGCAACGCGTACACCCAGCAGAGGCTCACATCATCAGCATACGCTGGTGGTGTATGGAGTGCAGAGTACGGAGCAAGGTCAGCTCACCTTGCAGGGACCTAATGCAATGTAAGTACTACATCTACTCCGTAAGGCGTGTCTGTAAGCGCGAGAAGCGGTTGTACTCCGTAGATTTGCGGCAGGATCCGACAAGGGGTCCCTAGTATTACTTCATAAGCGCCCAATCAAGTCCAGCATAACACCAGGGACGGCTGACATTCCCTGTACACGCAGCTAATCCCTGCCATTAACAACGCCCGCAAGATCCTGCGCTTTTCGTAATGTGCAAAGAGGAGAGATGTGTGTCATTCCACCAGTTGACATCTGCAGGGCGTCGAACTCGATTTTTAAAATATTGCATGTGGCTCTGAAGGAGTATCATGGCCAAAGACATAAGATCGAGACACACGGCCACTCTTATAAGCTGAAAATTGGGGATGTTCCGCCAAGGATGCATCATTTTGCCCCATGGCTAAATGGTGGAACCTGATTACCATCGCGACAAGTAGGCATTGCCACACAGGTAGCATGTCCTGGTGTTTGGGCTAGATCAAAGTTTCTAGCTGCCATTTTTCTAGGTAGTAACCATGTATTTCCGCAGCCTGGGTGTCATATATCTCTTGTCCCATTGATGGCACATGTGCCCCATGCGATTTATCGCAGCATCACAACAAGCTGCATGCACAAGGTTTAATCGGACATACTGTATGATTGGCAATACTGCATCATCTCACAATGCCAAGCCATTGCGTGTAGTACCCAACACCATGAAGGACAACTTAGATTAACGTGTTGCGTATATACACTGGATGACTGAGAAGATCAATGTATTGCATTTGCATTGTATTTTGGTACTAATCTAACCTTTGATTTCTAATCCTGTACATATTTCTGCCTTGTATACCCAATAATTGCATGTTATGAAATAGATTCCCGGCTCCTATCAACTCCAGTTGACCTTTGTTAGTGTTCCGACCCTGTGTCGCCTGTCAAGTTCCCTCATGGAATGCTTCTCCCCTGTGCTGCCTTTGCGTCTTTCCCTTGGAGATGTCTACTTCAGCGACCCCCAAGCCCCTTTAAAGCAAAACCCCGGGTGAAAGATTGTCATGGCAATCGCAGCCAGCATAATCATCGGACCCTCAAAAATCATAAACAGAACCTCGTCATTTGCCAATTTTCCAGCAAAGCCTTCCTGCAACTCCGCCAAGCGGTACACACATCGAATAAAAATTGCTATCGTTGCGATTCCGGTCGCTGTGCTTGTTAGTTACCGCCTCACACGGCTTGATAATAGCTTCGACTTACCCCACGGAAACGCCTTGAACATGGTTGACGTTTTCAGCTTCATGGCCTTTTGCTCGTAACCCCCATTTGTACCTCTTAGTCTCCACCAAAAGTCTACTGAAAGGATGATGAATGTCAAAAGACTGGCCACCTGGAACGATAAACCGGCAATCATGACATTGACGCCCGTCTGTTTAAGGCTGGCGTCGCCGTCGCTGGCAGCAAACGCACCACCCGTCGCTTGTAGGACCAGACTGATGACATCACACGTGACAAAGATGATGGTATAGGTGCGAGGCGCAAAGCGAGCCAGGTATGCTCCGTGGGCGACAATGAGCCGCGAAAGGGAGAGGTAAATGGCTGCCGATAGGAAGGCGGGACCAATTGTTAGGCAGATGAGGTACCTGTTCCTACATTAGCACAAGTCCTTGGGTCGCAACGAGCAACGTCGCATACATGAGAAAAGGGTCCATCTTGAAAGGGTCATTGTGCATCTGTACACGCCCTACATATCCTACGACCTCGAGCACTAGGCCAAGGGCCATGGAGATGGAGAAGCCCCATGTTCGGTATATGATTCCAAGAACAGACTGGGCAAAAAGTACAGCGGCAAAGATGATCAAGTAGGCGAGGTTGCCGCTCTCGGAGGGCTGGTACTGGACTTGTGCATAGGAAAGCGAGCAAGTGTCGATGCTACATTGGGAGTAGGGAATAATGGTGCCGTTGAGGCTAGGGACCATGAGCGTGCCCGAGGAGTCGGTATGCGCAGACATGGCAAATCGTAGCGTAGAATGGAAGAATAATTGAATGGAGCCGTCAAAGGTGGAATAGGAGAAAGTCGTGCCGTTTTTCTGCTCAAAACAAGAACATGTTGGGAAAAGGCGTATCGGTTGGAGACGATGAGCCAGGGCGTAGGTAAGAGAACTTAAACGTGACGGTAAGCCTGCTAGGCAAGAGGGAGAGACGTGTGCAAACGTAACTGTATACGTAAATCCTGTCGTAAGCAGCGTAAGCAGCAGGGGATGGGTCTACGCAAAGGACGACGAGGGCAGCGTGATCAAGCCCTAAAGGTGACGGCACACGAGTGGGTATGGCAGCCCGATGTGGAAAATTTTGATCTTGGTATCCCGAGCAAGATGAGGCGCCCGCTTTTTCAACCAGCATTGGACAGCATTGGAACGTTTTGGTTGCGGCTGAACAATGAAACCGCCAATACGCGTCCTGGACAAGTGCGAAGCGGCACACGATGGGCCTCGGCGGCTGGCGGCTTGTCTCAGCCATGCCTGGGCTGTCAGCCAAGCCCACCGAGTGGGGTTCAGTCTGCGGCTCGTGCCGTGCATGTGCTCCACTCTTTCTTCCTTCATTTAGCTCTACCCCATATTGACGTGACGTACTCCACGGGAGTCACCCGAGTAATCACGTCTTGCTAGACGAAGCCTGTCACGGGTATAGAGTAAAGCGTCTTTTAGAATGGAGTGTGTGTGTAAGCACAAGCCTGGTGTATTCATTCTCACCTTTACTCGACCTGGTTCTGTCGCGTTTCTCTCCTTTGTATTGACTCCATATACGCCCCGTATCCACTTTAACTGTGGAGTACTCCGTAGTAAAGTGCGGAAATGCAAAAAGATGTAATCCACGGTTTCACCACAACGCTCGATCCTTCTTCTTACCACGGTTTGAGATGATGGCCATCGGATCCAGGTGCTCAGTGTAGCAAATTCGGTCATGTGAGCAATATTGCTTTTGTTGCCATGGGTGAGATCCTGGCCTATTTTCGAGACTAGCTTCCAGGCAGGGTAATGCGTACAGTCAACTACCCTATAATACTTTTCGGCAACATACATTGGCCTCGAGCAAGAAGAGCCAAGAAATAAAAGCGCTTTATTTACACGTCATCTAATATGGCATCTATTTGGAATTACTACAGACAAGATACATGGAATCGATTTGACATGGACAGAGTAATTAGCTGAAAATAAAACTGCCCAATTTGGTACGGCATCGATGCATTTATGACCAGCCGACGTCCGGCTCCATCACCCAGGAGCGCCAACTGCCACGTTGGCTACTTGGCCTCACAAGTCGCGAGACTTGAAGCGAAGGAATGGCCCACTGTTGCTTCGTCATCAGCGTCTGACACTCATCACCTTGCATGAAACTTGATACGTGGCCTGCATTCGGGTTGGACTTACTTTTTTGACCCAGTTATATGATCTGCCAGCGGGAACTCTCCCGAGAACCCCCAGCCTTTGAGGGAGTCATTCTCGCTCGTCAGAGTAAAGTCGAGCGTATACATTGCGTAGGCAACTGTCAGGCTGAGCTCGATCATGGCCATCCCCTTGCCCACACAGCTTCGGGTGCCAACAGAGAAGGGGCAAAAGGCTGCGCGGGCATCGTCTACGCTCGGTCCCGTAGTGCCGCTTTCGCTACGCAGCCATCGCTCAGGGCGGTACTCGAAAGGGTCCGGGAAGTACTTTGCATTGTGATGGATGGCGTAAATTGGCACGCCGGCCTCCGTACCTGCAGGCAGCGCCCGGCCATCCACGGTGGCGTCGCCGGTTAGAATCTCCCGAGACAACGACGACCCTGCCGGCGGAGACATGCGCAGGGCTTCCTCGATGCACGCCCGGAGATAGGTGAGCTTGCTCAACGCCGGTCCGGTGCGAATCTCGTCGGGCGAGGCAAACGCCCGGCGCACGTCCTTCTGCAGGCGGCGGTAGGCACGAGGCGTGCTCGCCAGGTAGAAAAAGGTGGCTGCCAGAGCGGTAGACGTCGTGTCGGCGCCGGCAACGCACAACGTGGTGCTCTCCGCCAAGATCTCCTTCATGGAGAGCGCATCGCCAGTGACGGGGTCGCTTGCCGACTTGAGAGCCGAGACGACGGTGCGCGTCTGCAAGCTGCACTCGGTGCCCAAGACACGGCGCACGAGACCGCTCACAAAGTGTAGGAACTGGTTGCGTGCTGCGATGGCCTTGGGGAACAGAAACCGGTCGATTCGACCAATCTTGATGAGGATGGGGCTTTGCAACAAGACACTCATGCGCACGTTGGATTCTTCAATGGCCCGTGGGATGATGCGATTTTGAGGCGATGCGAGCAAGTCGTAGCCTATGCCGAAGACGACGTCGCCCATGATGTCAAATGTAAGCCAATTGAACCAGTCCGACATATTCATCGACTGTGTCCAGCCCTTCTGCCCTTCTTTCTCGGTACTTTGTGGCTGGGCTTGGATCGGAAAGTCGGCATCCGTGATCAATGCGAAGCACTTTTTGATATGCGCCAGCAGCGTGGGTTCGTGAGAGCGCAGAGCGGCATCCGATAAGCCCTGCGAGACGATGCGGCGTCGACGAGCATGCTCTTGCCTGTTGACCATGGTCAACGTGTTGGCCGCACCATGGCGGAGAACGCGGTAGTTTGGGCTCTTTTGGAAATTCGTGTTCCCAGAGTATATATCTTTGAGCGCACCCGTCGTGTTGAGATTCAGTCTGTTTGGGGCGTATCGAACGCAAGGACCTGTCATGATGGTCAGTACAATACGCCGTTGCTTTTTCTATGCGTCGAGGCGCACCGTAGCGTTCATGTTGCCTCCACATGTCGACGTGAATATCGCCCTTCCAGGCATGGTAGGCAGCGTACAGGTCCGTGACTCTGGCCAGGAACGGTCCAGGATACTTTGAAAGAGGGTGGAAGTACAAGCGTCGAATGCATAACACTGTTATCTAGGCAGCGTTAGCAGTGCTAGCACTTCTTTGTGCTTGTTCAATTTGTCAAGGGGCTCCTACTGAGGTGATGACCACCACAAGCAGTACAGATGCCAACAGGAAAAAGATTTGCATGTTCATCATCATCATGCTGAGGATCTCTGCACCCCTTTGCGCGGTGCGCGTTAGGAACAGTATACGGTTCTGAGTATCAAGCTTGACAGGCTACCAGGCCACGGCAAGTCTGAGTGAATCTAAGACTTAGATGTATCCAACACCCCAAACGTAAACCTTCTGGACATGATTCTGGGGCCAGTCTATGTCTATAAGCCACAAAAGTATTGGCCCTACTCTACTATCAGAGAAAAAACATCAAGACTGTCCAGGCCACGAAGCAGAAAACTTCTCTTTAGCATGGGCGTCGAGAATGCTGTGGCCTGACATGTACTTCCCTTTATGGTAATATTACAAGTCGAACCGTAAGCTCACGCCCTGACCCTTGCCGCATGACAAGCTCCAAATGTCGTCACGAATAAGACTCTTATGCCTTTGCTCACACCTGAAATGGCGTGTAATATCTGTGGGGCACCGACCTAATATCTTTCATGCTAAGGCGACACCTTGTCATAAGCCAGTGTCAAGTCATCCGACAAGGACTTGGACCTCATGCATCAGCAGTTGTCTGTATTGTAAGCGCAAGTGAATCTGGTTTGTTTCGAATCCTGCCAAAATTAGCTAACACCTGCTCAGCAAGTAGTACCAAAAAAGACATCCGTATTTTCCACCCCTGGTGGATGCGAAAGACGTTGTCCCAAGTGTATTTTGGTCATCGATACATGATTTGAATACTCGCAACAGAACAACAAATTTACTGCATCATTTTTATTCGATCCTGCAGCTTGAATTCCACTGTTAGAATGCATCCAGCAGTTTCTGCGTCAGAGGCGGCGCTTCAGAAAGACAATGAAGTGGCCTGCACGCTTCTTATTGAGCTTCTGGCTCATCAGTTTTGTTATCCCGTCCAATGGATCAAGACGCAAGATCTTATTCTGGGAGACCAGGAGACGAACCGAGTGGTGGAATTGGGCCCAGGTAATACATTGGTCAAGATGGCCGAACGGACTATAGCGCAAAAGTATGCGCAACAAGACACTGCGGCAAACATCTCACGACAATTGTTAAGTTTTCAGCAAAATTACGATCAAATATCCTACGAACAAAGGACTGTAAATCCATCATCACACGAAAAGACTGAAGACGCATCTGGGGGATCTGAGCCGAAGCCCAGCCCTTTGGTATTGAGTGCTTCGCCCCAACAAAGTGCGCCAGCCACCGTCGTTCAACAGTCTACTGTCATGGCAGTCGAGTTGGAAGATGAGCCAGCAAGGGTAATCGATATTACTACAACCATTGTCTGCTTGGGCCTAAAAAAGCCACTGGATGGTATTGATACGACCAAGTCCATAAGGGCGCTTTCCGGGGGTCGCTCGACTCTGCAAAATGAGATTGTTGGAGATCTTGGGGCCGAGTTTGGTGCTATACCAGATGGTGCGGAGGACATGTCCATCGACGATTTCTGCTCTTTAGTGCAGGGCACCTTTGCTGGAAAGCTGGGGGCCAAGTGTTGCTCAGCAATCGAGAAGATGACATCACACAAGTTTAGCGGATCATTCCAGGGTTCCGGAATACGCAAGTATCTCAAGAAGCAATGGGGACTCGGTCCCGGCCGTCAGGATAGTGTACTACTCGCGGCTTTGGTGTCACAACCGCAAGCCAGGCTACAGAATCATGACGAGGCCAAGGTCTTTATCGACGGCATAGTCCAGCAATATATTCAAAAACACGGTCTGGTCCTACCGGCTGAGTCGAGCTTTGCAGGTCCCTCTGCGGCCCAAACCATGGTCGGCGTTGAGGTCCTGGACTGCTTGGAAGAACGGCAAAAAGCAGTTCTTCGGGAGCAACTCCAGCTCTATGCCAGGCTCCTGGGCGTTGACCTTGATGCCCCGGAAGCTGCAAATGCCGCACTTCGCCAACGCATATCGGAACTGGAAGGGCAGTTGGACGAGTGGAATACTGAACATGGAGAAGCTTATGCATCTGGTTTGAAACCCGTCTTTACACCACTGAAAGCACGTGTCTATGATTCTTGGTGGAACTGGGCCATGCAAGATCTCATGATACTGATTTCCACGGCCACATCTGGGAGTCTGAGTGATATAGAACCAACCATGGATCGCCTGAAAAGAAACCTGGTGCAAAAAGCTCACCCGAGGCTCGTATGCGCGATACGTCACTTTTCAAGTACAACGACAAAAGCCCATGTGGCTGAAATCCTGCGCGACGTCTTATCCCGATGCCAGACGTCCGTGAACGAGATGCCGATGGTTTACTGGCACGACCAGTCGATGGCCCCAGTAACCACAGTCGATCAATCCGGCAAGATAGTCTACAGCGAGAGGCCTAGGGGAATACGCATTGACGATGATGTGCTTCCAAGGATTGGCCGCAAAGTTTGCAATACTTGGGAGTACCTCGACAGTCTTTCATGCACGTTGCATCGAGTGCTGGCAGGCGCAAGAACAACAGGTCTCTCCTTCGCGGGACGAAATGTACTTGTTACAGGTGCAGGCGAAGGGTCCATTGGCTGCAGCCTGGTTTCTAAATTGCTGTCCGCTGGTGCCCACGTCATTGTTACCAGCAGCTCCTACTCGCCCAGGGTGACTCGATTCTACCAACGCTTGTTTGCTGAGCACGGCGGCAAGGGCTCCAAACTGATACTCGTCCCTTTCAACCAGGCCAGTGTCCGTGATGTCGAAGCTTTGGTCACATACATCTATGACGACGGCGGCCTTAACTTGGATCTCGACTATGTCATCCCGTTCGCGGCCATCTCGGAGAATGGTCGAAATATGGACAACATCGACTCGCGCAGCGAGCTTGCTCATCGAGTAATGCTCACAAACACAATCAGACTAGTGGGAAGAGTCAAACACCATAAAGAGTCCAAGAGAATTATTACGCGCCCAGCGCAAGTGATTCTTCCTCTGTCACCCAACCACGGAACATTTGGTGGCGATGGTCTCTATGCAGAGTCCAAGCTCGGCCTGGAGTCGTTGTTTGATAAATTCTACTCGGAAGACTGGTCAGACTATTTACTCATATGTGGTGCGCTTATCGGCTGGACGCGAGGAACATCGTTGATGTCTGACAATGACATTGTTTCCGAGGGCATTGAGAAACATGGCATGCGTACATACTCGCAGGATGAGATGGCGCTCCAGATCATGGCATTGATGGATCCAGCCATTGTGTCGTTGTGTACTGATGAGCCGCTGCTCGCTGATTTAAGCGGCGGCATGGCCCAAATAGCCGACCTGAAGGGTGTTGTCACCGGGATTCGAGACGCCATCAATCAGCTAAGCGAAGAGAGGCGCATGATGAGACTTGAAGCGCTTTCTGATGCTCACGCAGTGGGTATGGAAGAGGGAATCGAAACACAAGCCAACATTGACTTTAATTTCCCTGCGCTCCCCGACTGGAAAACTGAAATCATGCCCATGGCGGACCAGCTGAAGGGCATGGTTGATCTTGACCACGTTGTCGTCGTCGCAGGCTTTGCTGAAATAGGGCCGTGGGGCAACTCGAGAACCAGATGGGACATGGAAGTCAACGGCTCTCTGTCGCTAGAGTCGTGCGTCGAGTTGGCATGGATCATGGGCCTCATCAAGGCGCATTCGGGTATTGTGGACGGAAGGCCATTCTCGGGATGGATCGACAAGAGCACCAATAAGCCAATTGCCGACCGGGAAATTAAAGAGAAATATCACGACTTTATTCGTAAAAACTGTGGTCTGCGTTATGCGGAGAGTAAACCAGATTCACCCTCATGGACGGGCATGGAGTCGCTGCACGAAGTCGAGATTTCCAAAGACCATGAGCCAGTCGAGGTTAGCAAAGAAACCGCAACCCAGCTGAAAAACATTCATGGCGAAAACTTGATCGTCATATCCAATGAAGAAACAGGTCAGTCAAAGATTGTGCTGAAAAAGGGGGCGAAAATCATGATACCCAAGCTGCTGCGGACGCAACATACCGTCGCTGGCCAAGTCCCTGCGGGCTGGAATCCCAGCACCTATGGGATCCCCGAAGAAATCATCGGCCAAGTCGATCCAGTAACTCTTTTTGCGCTGGTCGCCTCGGCCGAAGCCCTCCAGTCTGCGGGCATCTCCGATGCTTACGAGCTCTACGAGCACTTGCATGTAAGTGAGGTGGCGAATTGCACGGGATCTGGCTTCGGAGGGAGTGCCAGCATACGAAAAATGTTCAAGGGGCGCTACCAAGATCAGCCGGCAGCAAAGGATATACTTGCCGAGTCTTTTATCAGCTCCACCAGCGCATGGATAAACATGCTTCTCATGTCGTCTGCCGGGCCTAACAAGACGCCAGTGGGAGCATGTGCCACTGCGCTGGAGTCTCTAGACACTGCCTTTGATCTGATACAGGCCGGAAAAGCCAAGATGTGTTTGGTAGGCGGCTTTGACGATATGCTGAAGGAAATTTCCGACGAGTTTGCCAATCTCAAGGCTACCGTCGACGCGGATGATGATGCCGCAAGAGGCCGGGAGCCGTCCGAGATGAGCCGGCCAGCCACGTCGACTCGCAACGGCTTTGTGGAGTCAGAAGGCGCAGGAGTTCAAATCGTTACCTCGGCCAATGTCGCTCTCGAGATGGGCCTGCCGATTCATGCCGTGATTGCATTGACGCGGACAGCAATGGACGGAGCGAGTAGGTCGATTCCCGCACCGGGCCAGGGACTCTTGGGCTCAGCCGCTCAAACGCAAAGTAAATACGACTCCCCGTTGATGAGCATGGCATACCGTAAGCGTTCGCTGCAAAAAAGGTTACAGCAAGCCGCCGAGATGCGCGAGCTGCAGATTTCTGACCTAGGGGAGGAGATTGCCCATCTGAAGCGGCAAGGCTGCGCTTTCGACGAGGCCAACTATGTCCAACATCGCATGGCCAGCATTGAGCAAGACGCAAAGCGCGACCGAGCAGAAGCACTGAAACTCTATGGTAATCACTTTTGGATCCATGATGGCCGCATCTCACCGATTCGAGGCGCTCTTGCTGTTTGGGGCCTGACAGTAGACGACATTGATGTTGTTTCTTTCCACGGCACCTCGACAAAGGCAAACGAGAAGAATGAATCGTCCGTCATCAACGAGCAATTCAAGTACCTCGGTCGCACGGAGGGCAATGTAGTCCCCGTCGTCTGCCAAAAGTTCCTCACTGGGCATCCAAAGGGAGCCGCTGGAGCTTGGATGCTCAACGGCTGCATGCAGCTCATGGCTGATGGAAGAATTCCAGGCAACCGCAACGCCGACAACATCGATGCGGCACTACAGCAGTACGACTACCTCGTGTTTCCCAACAAGACAATTGAAAAGCCAGAGGTCAAGGCCTTTGTCGTCCAATCGTTTGGCTTTGGCCAGAAGGGCGCCATGGCCATCGGTGTCAACCCCAAGTATCTTTATGCGACACTGGATGAAGATGACTTTATGGCGTATAAGCAAAAACGCCACGTACGCGAGCGGCGATCAAACAGAGTGTCCAGTGAGAGATTCTGCAACAATTCGATATTTCAAGCAAAGGATGAGACGCCCTACGCTGCTGCGGACCGTTCGAGGGTGCTATTGAGATCAGAAGCATAAATTGACCAGAGGCAAACCCGGGAAAAAAGTGTATTGACCAATAATCTTGGCGCTGGACTCTAAGGCATGGGACGAAAGTCGATGGGCAATAAAGGAGAAGGAATGAAATGGGGATCGTCACTGGGAGGCGGAGACAGCTGCATACTTGAAATGTCTTTGATCTATTTGGTGAATTTTATTTGACTTGATTGTTAGTGAGATATTGGTACTTGAGTACGTAGCATATTTTTGTGCGATTGCGAAATGGTAATGGATTCAAGCACGCTACAGAAGATTCCAAATGTTACCTGGGTAGTCTTATCGCCATCTTGTTGATTTAAGTCGTATTTCCCATTGGGCATATCGAACAAGGAAGACGCAAGAAAGTTGATGTGTAATCGCCACAATGCGCCCGGTATTGAACCTAACTTGGTTGCCTGCAGGTTGTTGTTGGTCTCAAATCTTCTCACAACGAATATTCCAAATCATGACCAACACCCATGTTTTGGCGCGACGAGTGACAGAAGAATTACAGAAATCTCACTAATTTCTGCCGGTAACATCCAGCATCATGTCATGGAGCAGCCAGCACAACGCTCGGGTGCGCCACCAGTCTTGTCGACCAATATATCTCACCGTGCCCATACCTTGCACGTATCCTTGTACATTACCGACCCCTTATTGCTTATAGACATGGGGTGAGACTTTTGCACGAGGTATTTTCGCCAGGCTGGCAACACTGTCGGCTGAGCAAGTCGTGCCATGTGGCGGCTTACGCACAATGAAGGGCCCCCCTCGCCTTTCGTCTACAAATAATCAGGGTCCATCATTGAATGTTTGGCAAAACCTGCCAGTAAGACCAGATTTGTCGGCGGAAAGCACCTCTTTGGGCGAGGGTGATGAGGTGCAATGCTTGATTGGCCTCTGTCTGTCATTTGTCCTCTGCGGCCCCCAAAAGTACAAACGAGCAGACGGGCGAGAAAGTAGGATCTTCTCAATATTGGAGAGACTATGGGCAGGGGTGCCGTGGCGGACACCTGAATGAACATTGAAGGATCTGGTCCTTGGGTAGGCGACTAGGCGCGCTGACAAGGGCAGCACTGAAGTGACCTTGGAACGAGCATCGCCAAGAGAGAGTCCATTGGCTACCAGCAGACCGGGCCGGCCGCCGGGCTGCAATTCCCATTGAATGCAGCTTTGCCTGCGTGATGAGATATTGGCGCTGCATAGAATATTGGTGATGATAGTGCATCATGTTACAGGATTTGGTGGAAAAACAGATATAGAAACGATTGGGTAAGCATGTGCATACATGTATATGAATGATATTTATGCATGTCATAGCAACTGGCTGGGGGGCTGAACAACCGGAGTGGCCGTGCCGCTAGCCGCGCCTTCCGTCCAGCGGGCAAAGTCATTGACTGGACGGCTGAACGGTGCACCCGAGTGGGCGGCAGAGCCCGTCGACTAAGAGAACCGTTGACCGTTGACGGCCAAGGCCATTGGCTCGGAAGGCTATCAGGGCCCTCCGCTTACGGCAATAAGCACTAGCGCCCGCCGACGTTGCCTGAAATGGAAAAACCAACGAAACGCTAAAGCACATTGGAACATTATCTGACCCTCGTCTAGTCGATACACGTCGAGAACTATTGCGCCGGACCGCCTACCAGGCACTCGTATTAGTCATTTCGTCTTGGCATCAATGTCGACCCCCCTCGCCAGCAGCATCCGCACAACCCCGTCCCGGCCGTTCTCAGCCGCCAGATGCAGCGCTGTCCTGCCGCTGCTGTCCTTGGCGTTGACCTTGACCCCGCTGTCGAGCAGGAGCTGGATAACCTCTTCCCAGCCGCCGCGCACCGCAGCGTGGAGCGGCGTCGATCCCCGGTGGTCCACCGCCTCCAGGAACGCCCGGTGATCGAGCAGCACCTGTACCGTTGCGCCGTGTCCCTCGCGCGCCGCCAGGCAGAGCGCCGTCTGCCCAGCCCCGTCTCGCGACTCAATGTAGGCCCCGCGCCTCAGGAGGAGCGCGACGACGCCGTGGCATCCCCGGAGCGAGGCAATGTGGAGTGCCGTCAGGCCCGCCGCGCTCGTCCCCTCAATGTCGGCGCCCTTGTCGAGCATCATGCCGATGATGGACTCGTGCGCGAAGAAGGCGGCCGTGTGTAGTGCCGTCAGCCCGTCGGCCGGCCTCCAGTCTCGCGATGCGTCCGTCGAGCGGGAGTCTGATGTCGGCAGGGCCAGGGCCTGGTTGTTCGTCAGTGCTGGGCTCGCCTGCCGGTTGTCCTGCGATGCTGGTCAGTGAGCCGTTGGTGGGCGGTGCGCCAGCTGCCGTGCGACTCTTACCTCGGACCAAGAGTCTTCGAACAGTTCTTCGTACTGCCCCAGCTCGCCATGCTTGGCCAAGGTCACGGATGTGTTGACGAGGCCAAATGTTAATGAACCATCCTGCATCTGACAGGGAGGACTGTAATTTTGTAATTCATCGTATTGAGAAAATGGAACGCTTTCCCGCGATCCGGCTGGGTTGGTGCCATGTGCCGCCGAAGTGGTATTCGGTATGGGAGTGAAGAAAGGTGCCTGGTCTTTGGATCCCGGATTTGTGCCGAGACACATCTGAGACATGTGTTGGGAAGGACTGGTGTATATTGTCGAGTTTAAATAATCGCTACAGCTGATATCGGCGCTGCTACCGCTGTCGCGATTCGTATTGCCATCGCTGCTGCTGCCGCCGTGTGTGGTGGAAGTGCTGGAAGAACTGCTAGACTCGGGAGCTGAGACGGAGCAACGACACGACGGAGCATTCTCCGTCTCTAGCCTTTGTTGCTCCAGCAGCTCCTTCCTCTTCCTGCCTACAACCCCATAAGCATATGCGTCTACAGGATACAGAAACGTGTACTTGTTTCGTCTGGACGTACGATAATTGCGCTGAGCGACTCGATTCTGGATACGCCGTCGTTCGACCGCGTCCCGTAAGACTGACCAGTCATCTGATTTCTGTGTGATATCCATGGTAGGTCTGTATTGATTGAGTTTCAGAGCAAAGGTAAAAAGAAGAGGGCAGTGCCGTGTCTGGTCAGTGGTCCCTAGTTTCGTTGACTGTGTAACACCGTTTTCGAGACACCAGCGGCAAGACCTGGGGCTCAACTCTTTAAATGCGGCTAACCAAAGATGCCCTTTCCATCGGTCAAGACTTGACCCGAAACCTGGCGCATCTTCGGCGTCTGCTGGAAATGGTGTGATTGGGGGCATGTCACCCATCCACGTGGAGGCCACGGTTACCCCTGTCTGGCCAGATTTTGTTGTCAGAAAATAGAAGCCTCACAAAAGGCCTGACAGGGGAATGCAAGAGGATGGAGAATACATGCGCCCATACTCGGTAGGGAATTTGCCCTGGAAACACGGCAGCATGAGAACTAGCCTGGGCTGGGCTGAGTCAGGTTTTAGAGCTGCTAAATCAGAATCCTTCGGCATCATACGTGGATAGCGCATCTGCATTTGGGTTAGGAGAGCGACCCTATCATGGTTTTGTCTGCATAGATGCCGAGCCAGGTCCGGGGAGGGTATCTTGCAGGCGTTCACGATGTTGGCGATTCTCCACCACTCTCATTGCCACGTTCCGTCGTGCCATTGACACACCCATTCAGCAGTAGGAAACACCACAGGACTTTGTTTGCAATGCAATGCTATTTGACAGACGGGGGTAACCTTGCCAACATATGTACATACTCCTCGTTATTCTACTCCGTAGCAAAGCCATCTCTGGCAGTAGCAAGCTGGGGTAAGCGGGGCGATATCCCCATTAGCTTGGCGATTTTAAACCATTGACCAGATAGGACGGATATCCCACGCAATGTACGGAGTCATCTGTCCTGTTGCGCTGGAATAGCACGTGGTTTGTTCGAGAGGATACCCCCCGCGAGGAGGTTGACAGCAAAACGGCCTCGCTATTGGTGGAACATCGCTCACAGTCGTCAAGGAACCAAACGACTGAAACCAGGCTGATGATGGTACTCGACATCATCAGGCTAGAGCGCTTTGGGATATTCGTGCTTGCTGCGCTGCAGGGGCTGCTGGGTCAGTGGTACCGCACATGAGAGTTCAGCTCAGCCTCCGACTTGGAAACGGCGGCGATTTTGCTATTTAAAACAGAGGGCTGCCTGCCGTCAGTTTTTCCCGTCACCGTCACGTCGTGTCTGGTGGAACCCAGCTCGTTCTCGGCATGCATGTTCGAGAAAGCTCCGAGTGGCGCTCCTCGATGGCCAATGGCCAGGCATATACGGAGCAAGAGGCTCTCAATCGCTCGCAAGGGACTCGGGATAGAGTTAGAGACGGCAGCAAGCGAAATAATGGGCCTGGGGGTGATGCAGCTTCCAATGTTGCCTGCCGAGTCCATCAGGCGACAGAACAATGGCGCCTCCATCGTGGATTCACGGCCGTGGTTTGAGAATGGAGACGAAACCTGGTATTGTGACTTGTCTGGTTGTCCCAGCGTCAATACTATTATTGACTTATCCACATCAAGACGGGTCGCCCGGCACAGCTGACCCGTGCCACGTTTCGATGGACAAGGGCTCGGGTTGGTTGTTCTATTGTTTTAATGTTCCATGGACCATGACCAACATACGTTACCCCGGAAGTGTGCCGTTGGGATGAGTAAGATGCATGCATGTCAGATCCCCACCGTTGACCTTTTCGCCATGTCGTGTGCCATTGTCAACTGTGGTATTATTTTTGCTCTGCTCGTTCCAACATTACTAGTACATTGTCCGTTCCGCTTGCGGCGCCGTGACGTCGTGACGGATCCATCGAATCCTTTCCGCATCTCGTGCGCATTGCCTCTGGAGCTGGTCTTCTTTTGAACTGGCTCTGCCCGTCGAATCCTGACGAGCTATGAATTCGAATCGACACCCCGAGGAGGCGGGCGCGAGACCCCAAAGGTCCCTCCCCGACGGTCATGATGAGAGCGACGCGGCACCGCAACACCACATGGCCGATCCGTTTGCGCATGCGTATGCAAATGAAGTCCACCCTCCCTCGTATGAAGAGGCCCAGGCTTCAACAGCAGGATGCGCGGGGGACCAGAAGACAATGTTTCCCTCCGTGCGGGCATCGAGCAGCAGTCCTGGCAATCATGCCGCTTCGAGCCAAGAAACGTATGTTGACCATATTTCGACCATGACAACCAAACAGAATTTTTCTTTATTTTTTAACAATAACAAAAAAACAGGAGGCAGTTTGACCAACGTCCATTGGACCCCGATTACTCTTACCAGCTTGGCGCGTCTGCAGAACCTACCGCTGAAGCGACGACAATCGGAGCAGCATTTCGAGATACACAAGACGAGCCAAAGTCGCAGTCCTCTGAGACGGAGGGAACACGCGCGTTTGTCATTGGTAAGTGGCCACTTTAGCGTCTGTATTCAGAGGCCGGGCTGACGAGGCATGGAGACGATGGACGCGTCGAGATGCACATTGACGAGTCGCGACTCATATCTAGAATCCTGTCGACGACATTGCAAGCCGATAACCGATCCCAGGAACAAAACCCGACAGCCCGACGCTCTTCTTCTCCCGGCCCTACTCAAGGCAAACTGCCAAGCAGCAAGGTGGTCCGGCTCAATGTCGTCATGCAGGTCGTAGGATCCCGTGGCGACGTCCAACCCTTTGTGGCTCTCGGAAAAGTCCTCAAGGAGAAGTACGGTCACCGGGTCCGCTTGGCAACACACGGCGTCTTTCGCAAGTTTGTCACCGAGAATGGCCTGGAGTTTTTCGACATGGGCGGGGATCCAGTGCAGCTCATGGCCTTTATGGTGAAGAATCCAGGCTTGATCCCCGGCATCGATTCCATCGCCAGCGGTGACGTGGGGAAACGGCAGAAGGAAATGAAGGAAATCCTCATGGGCGCCTGGAGATCATGTTTCGAGGCTGGTGATGGCACCGGGCCGCCGCTGGAACAAGAGGGATTCCAGACGAGCGAAACCGAGATCCCCTTCATCGCAGATGCCATTATTGCGAACCCGCCCAGTTCCGGCCACATTCACATTGCCGAGAAGCTGGGGATTCCGTTGCACATCGTCTTCACGTACGTATCGCCACTTTGACGCTGAACATGTTGGACTAACATGTGATCAAAAGAATGCCATGGTCCCCAACGCTGTCGTTTCCTCATCCCCTTGCCAACATTGTATCAGTGACGACTGGCGAGCGGAGAGCCAATTTTCTCAGCTACGCACTCGTCGAAGTCTTGATGTGGCAAGGTCTTGGGGCCGTCATCAATCGCTTTAGAGAAAAGACTTTGTTTCTCGATCCCCTAAGTGACGTGACGGGGCCTGGAGTAGTCAGTCGCCTCCGGATACCACACTCGTATTGCTGGTGAGTTCACTTTCCCTATACTCTTATCGGCGCAGTCGTACAGCATCTTATTCATGCCCGGCGTTCCAGGTCGCCGGCTTTGATACCCAAGCCCGCGGATTGGGAGAATCACATTACCGTTTCGGGCTTCAGCTTCCTCCCCCTTTCGTCCACGTTCACGCCAGACGCGGACCTCGAGGCATTTCTCAAGGCGGGCCCTCCGCCTCTGTATATTGGCTTCGGATCCATTGTTCCTGCTGATCCCGACGGTTTGACCAGACTGCTATTTTCCGCCATCCAGCAGACGGGACAGCGTGCCCTTGTTTCCAAAGGCTGGGGCGGGCTCGGCAAAGACGACATGGACATTCCCGACGACGTCTTCATGCTCGGCAACGTCCCGCACGAGTGGCTTTTCGAGCGCGTCTCGTGCGTCGTGCACCACGGCGGCGCCGGCACCACGTCCACGGGTATCGCCAAGGGAAAGCCGACCATCGTGGTGCCCTTCTTCGGCGACCAGCAGTTCTGGGGCAGTATGGTAGCCCGCGCCGGCGCAGGGCCGCCACCGATCCCCTTCAAACAGCTTACGGCGGAGAACCTTGCTTCGGCAATCCTCATGGCCATTGAGCCGGAGACAATGGAAGCTGCCAAGGTCCTGGGCCAGAAGCTATCCGGCGAGAACGGCCGAGAAACGGCGGCCGACGACTTCCACAAGGGACTCGACTTGGACACTGTAAAATGCGACTTGTCGCCGAGCCGCACGGCGGTGTGGAGAGTGTCCAAGACCAAGATCAAATTGAGCGCATTCGCTGCCACAGTCCTAGCCAATGCGGGGATTTTAAATATGAACAACCTCAAGCGGTTCGTGACAAGAGTTGCCGATGACCATGGATGAGAGGACCGCTAACCGCGTCAGGTACCACCCACGTTCGTACCACACCGTAGAAGGGTCCGTCGATCCTATTTCCGGCGGACTGGGGGCGATTCTAGGCCCCGTTGGGAGCCTGATGATGGGCATGATTGATATTCCACTTGATGTTGCCAAGGCAGTGGCCGTCAAGTCGACAAACTCGCTCAATGACCAGGCCGAGGGCTCTCGTCCGGCACCAAGAGCCCATCCTGAGAAGCCAATTGTCGGCTCCCAACTTCATGCTGATCAAAGTCCCGCTCCCAGCTCCTTCGAATCAAGCCAGCGTTCCTCAACCACCCCAGTGGACGCTGCTGATCCCCACGAGTTGAAGCTTCCACGACGGCCTACCAACGCGGAAGCTGACCCATCCGGATCCGAGCCGGCGCCCCCATCGCCGGTACGGAGAGAATCCGATAACAAGGGGAAGAAGAAGAGCATCAAGGAAAAAGTCACAGCTGCAAAGGCACGCATCTCCCTCGTCAATTTCCCACCCCAGCAGACATTTGGCATCGGCTGACAAGTGCAAATACTAGGCCTTTGGCTTTGGCTTTTACAAGGAACTCTCGGGCAACGAACACATGGCTCGCTCCAGCTTTCTCCCCGATGTCAAGGGATCCATCAAGGACCATCCCAGCGGCTCGATAGGCTCGGACGCGGCGCTCGGCGCAGGCAAAGGGCTTGGGCGCATCGCCGCCATCGGCATGCGCATCCCCATGGATTTCGCCATGGGAATCAGCAGCGGGTTCCGCAACGCGCCCAAGCTGTACGGAGACACGACGGTGCGACCAGCCCACAAGGTGGAAGGGTTCAACAGCGGACTACAGGCCGCAACAAGGGAGTTTGGCTACGGGGTATACGACGGCGTGACGGGGCTGGTGTCGCAGCCGTACAATGGAGCCAAGAGGGAGGGCGTGTCTGGATTTTTCAAGGGCTTCGCAAAGGGCGTCGGCGGTGCCGTGTTGAAGCCCGGTGCCGGTAAGTTGAATCCCCTTGTTGCGTCGTCATGACTCTTGCTTCGCCTGGCTCCTCGATCATGGCGTCAAGGGCAGACGCGGCATGGTGCTCCTTTTTTCAATTAACGCACTTGAGTGCTTGCTAATTTGGACCAGCGCTTTTTGGCATCCCCGGGTATGCATTCAAGGGCATTCACCAAGAGATACAGAACCATTTCGGCTCAGGCCTGGAGAGCTACATCATTTCTGTCCACACGGCCAAGGGCTTGAAGCAGTATGCTGACGCATCTGAGGACGAGAAGACGGAGATTGTGAATAAATGGCATTCAAAGGAGATGGAGCAAAAGATGTCCAAGCCTGGAATTATAGACCGGTGGCAATCGGTACAGAGGTCGCGAAGGCAGTGGAAGGAAGGCGAGGAACGTGAGTGAAGGGCTGGAAATTAGTCGCTTCTATCGATACAATTGACACGACCTAGCAGTGAGGTGTCGCAATGCGTCACAAATAAAACACATGTTAAGCAACTGTTGTCGCGGCAGCTTGTCCCCGGCTAGTAGTTAAGTCGTGTGAGTTGTTCGTCTCTTCACCCAGAGCTGCAAAGCTTTAAAGAATATATTCGAGTCATGTTTTCTGGCAGTCCAGCTTGATACGACATACGAAGGGAGGCTTAGCATATCGAGGTTCGAATTATGAACAAACTTTGAAGTCTCCCATGAATTAGTCGTTGGTCTTGGCCATACAGCGTGGTCTTTATCATTGAGTTCAGTCGCCCCGTCTTTGAGTTTTATTGCGCACTCCAACCAGCACTTGTAATGGCTAGTTAGTTGGACCATAGTGTTGAAATCTTTTGTCAAAACTTGATTCACCGACTTGGCCTACCCTGCATCGATTTCCACCCATGCATTCAGTCACCTAGACCTAGACAGCAGTCCCAGTGCGTCTCATATACGTGTGAACCCTTGTAGAGTCCTCTGGGACGTCAATTAAACATTACAATCAATGAATAAATTATATACATTTCGAAGGTTTGCTCCCAATGATATGTATCTGCGAGATTCGGAACCATTTCGTCACCCATGCAGGATGCAACATTGCTTATGGTTACAAAAACAAGCACAAGTTCCGCACCTAGCTGCATCTTCAACAGCTGCAGTAGTTCTGAGCCAAACACAAGTAAAGGCTTCTAAGAATCCAGAATGTACTCTTCAGGCTGGAAGCCGCCATGATGGGATGGTCACATGCACTCATGGCCGCATGATCCGCCGCCGAGTGAAACGAAAATAGGCTACAGCTAAATATGGCACTGGGTTGTTTTGATGCATAAATTCAAATTCAAGCAACTGCGTCGGTAACGGATGCTACTATATTTTTAACACTACAGAAATTATCCGATACCGCATATCGCGCCATGCACAAAAGAAAGCAGAAGACTACCAATAATGGCAATGGCTTCAATGCCAAGAATATATTAAACACATACAAAGGAAACTATTAAAAAATGGCTACTGGCACCATGTACTCTTGTCCTGCGCTGAAAGAAATAAAATACACGATGGGTTTAAACATCCAGATCCATAATCTTCATTGTCGGTTGAGCCATGATCGCGGTCAGCATTTTTGAAAAGTCAGCCGCCAGCCCAGCCGCCTGGCCATCATGCATCATATCGGTCCAGTAAGCGATGGATATTTCGACCGAGACGCCATCAACGTGCACAGCGACGGAGACATCGTACTGTTTACACGAGTCAGTATGCTTTTCGAATCATGCACAAGGGCCAGAAACATACCTGATTCGGATCTTGTCCTCCCTTGTTTTCAAACTTCAGCAAAGGCTCTTTGCTGTCAGCAGATTCGGACTCTTCGCCCGCCCCATTAGAATATTGCATGGACATGATGGTGTTGAAGAGGCCCTGCGCTGCGCCTCGGGTGTGTTCCTTGATAGCGGGAACAAGGCCGTATTGGTGAGGCAGACTCTGTAGGAAGTCATTCCTGGTCTGTTGTAATAGAGCAAGCACCGTTGTAGCCGAATCAACGACTTGGCGGTACAAGAGCATGTGTATCAGCGCACCGACAAGGTCCATCACACCGTCAATGGGCATGTCTCGGCCCGACGTCAAATATCCAAAGACGGCGTCGTCGCAGCCTGTATACCTGCGCAGGACTAGACCCCATGTCGACTGGATCAGATTCGCCACAGTTAAACCGTAGGTCTTGCAAAAGCCTTGGATCTGGGCAAAGTCTTCCTTGAGATGGACGTGTACGGACCGCTGCTCTCTCTCGCTGCAGAGAGGAGCATCAGGACGCGGCAAGTGACATGGCTCAACAGCATCCAGGTACTGCCGCCAGAAGATGGCATCTTGGCTGGCGGGTTGTTGCTGCAGGAAGGCAATGTAATCGGAGTACATGGGTCCGGGGGCAAGCTGAAGATTGCTTTCGTAGGCCATGTAAAGGTCGTGCATGAGGAGCCGCATCGACATGCCATCGGTGAGCGCGTGACTAATGTCCAAGCAGCACATGACTTTGCTGGCCGTTGTGAAGATAGAAAGACGGTGGTGTGGCACCGGTTCGAGGAAGTCAATCATTTCTTGACTGCGCATCCTTTCCGACACGTTGTCATCGTCGCATTCTATGACGGAAATTCTCGCCGTATGCGTATGGAGAACGACTTGATCAAAAGAATCTTTGCGAGAGACGCTTGGCACAAATATGGTACGAAGGGAAACGTGTCTGTCCACTACTCTCTGCCAAGCCGTCATCAACCGACAATGATCTACAGGTCCAGTCTGTGGTCCAGGTATGACGTCGTACATGTTCCGTACGCCGTATATTCCCGGCACTTTTTGCTGAGCCGAAATCATGGACTCCTGCATGGGGGACGTTGGATATGCGGCCTCTACCTGGGATGGGTGGATGGCAAGACTGCTGAGATGGGATTGGAATTGGGAAAGCTCCCAATCCTCCAGTGAGAGGAGTGGAAAGCTGCTTCTTGTAAGCTGCAGTTCCGTGACAGACAGCCGGTTTGTGAGTGTGCCCAGGCACTCTTTGCTTTCTGACACCCATTGTCGAATCAAGTCCTGATGGTGCATGCGGCGATTGTAAGCAAACGACACCCGCGTTTTCCCCTGGACAACCTCTACTGAAATCTCAAAGAGGGAAAACCGATGCATATCTGATCCTTGGTCTTTGTGTACCTCGTTTTCCGCAAGGGGCTCTGGGCGGAGCAGCGCATCGTCTCGTTCCAGCTGCTGATAGCGACCCTGGTAATTGAGAATGACCTCCATTTGTGTGTGATGGCCGAATGTCTGTTGTCCCTGTGGCGACAAGAAGCGCGAACAGAAATACGGATAGCCGCTGCTCGGGACTTGACGCCTCAAATCTTTGGTATGCGCCAGGATTTTCAGCTCATCTTGCTCCTTCATCACCGGAACGTGCAGCGGATTCAGGGTTGTGAACCAGCCCACGATTTCTGCCGCGTCCGACTCGGGAGCCAGCGATTCTCTGCCGTGGCCCTCGCTGAAAATCGTCGGCGTCGGCCGATCGGCAAAGACGCGGTGGAAGGAGTCGATCAAGGCGGAGAGAATGATGTCCACTGGCTCCGTTTGGAGAGCCTCGTTACTGACACCAAAAAGCTTGTCCGTAGTTTCTTCATCCAGCGAGAACGCCGTCTCCAGCTGATCTTCAAAGACATTGGGTTGATTCAGCATGCCCCAAAAGCCAAAGTCCGCGGGAGGGATTTGAAGCGGCATGACGTCCTTTGGAAGGAGCTCTTTCGCGTATTCTGCCTGCATCGTGGCCCAAGTCTGGAATGATGGTGGTTTCGGCGATGAAAGCCTGCCAGAGTCTAGGAGCTGTTCCAAGTCTCGCAGAATGTGTCTCCACGAGACTAAATCTATGACCAGATGGTGGGCACAAAGGAAAAGGAGTTGGTGCGAGCCTCCTACATCGTCGTTGCTACCGATGGTGAACAAAGCAGCGCAGAACACTGGCCCTTCTCTAATATTAATGGCGCGTTGGGAGGCTTGAATCAGCGGCATCATCTCCTCTCTCCGGGACAGTTGATGCATGCTGAAACGGTGTGAATCAGCCACATCCCCAGTAATACGCTGCGTCCATTGATTGTTTTCTTCCTGAGAAAACCTTGCCCGTAGCAAGGAGTGTTGCCCAACCAACTTTTCGATGGCCCTGGCCATTTGCAGTGTGCCGATGCGTCTGGTGACACGCAGGAGGAAACTTTGGTGGAAATGATGAGACATTTCGGCGTTTGACGCAATGTCAAAGTACATCTGCTGAATGGGCGTAAGACCAAAAGATGAGTCGAGAATTTCTGGATGGGCTAGTGCAGTCTCCGAAGTTGATTTTGCCAGAAGCGCCATCTGGCTGATGGATTTTGCGCGCAGAATATGCTGTGTTGAGAGCTCGATCTTCTCCGTGCGGCATTTTGCTCTTAATTGCATTGCCGTGATGGAATCTCCTCCGAGACTCAGGAACGACCTGTCGAGTCTGACAGTTTGCAGATTGAGTACCTGACACAACATCTTTTGAATCTTGTCTTCCATCACAGTGGCGGGGATATGACTACCCTCTAAATCTTCGGCGTCAGCTGAAGTTGAAAACACATCCTCGTCCATTTGCTCAACCCATTTTGTCATCTCTAGTCGGTTCAGCTTCCCTGAAACGGTCATGGACATATGGTCCACCACCAACCAGATGGAAGGAACCATATATCCTGGCACAGACTCAGCGAGCTTCTTGCGTATAAGAGAGACTTCAAGCTGGGCGGACTCGGCTTGTATGAGTTGCGGCATGTCTCTGGCAGCTGATGGCGGAACCGACTCAAGCGAGATGATGGCAGTCAGACGCTGCTGACCAGATTTCGACTTGGAAAGCAGAATCATTGCATGCCGGATATGTCTGTCCGTGGACAAATGATGCTCAATCTCACTAGACTCAATGCGTTGCCCGTGGAGCTTGAACTGAGTGTCCTTTCTGCCAACGTAGTCAATGGTTCCGTCGAAATTGTACTTGACTAGATCTCCAGTCTTGTAGAATCGCCGATCTCCTTGCCCCTTGGCCCAGGCAGGATTCGTGATGAAACGCGCCCGAGTTGTTTCGTCTAGAGCAACATATCCGCGAGCCAGAATAGGGCCTTCGATCAAAAGTTCCCCCACACAGCCTATGGGGCATAGATGATCATGGTTGGCAATTTCAGTAATCCACATCAATGCACCAACGCCGTAGCCAATGTTTGTTGGTGGCGTGTCCGGCTCGAGTCCGCAGAGGGCGGTTGACCAAATACTCGTCTCGGCCGGTCCATAGATGTTGATCAGATGGACCCTATTCGCCCACACGGCTACATTTTCTTTCGTCACGGCCTCGCCTCCCAAGGACAAGGTCTCCAGTGTTGGGACATCGGCAGGCTGGAGGAAGCTGGCCACGGTGGGCGTCAGATAAGCCCAGTTGATCTGCATTCTGTTGATGAAAGCGGCCAGATCGTTCAACCTCTCTTCCTCTGTCGGCACGCATACACAGCCACCATATATCAGGGTTGTGAAAATTTCCCCGATACTCACGTCGAACGTGTACGCTGCAAATTGCAAGACGCGCGAGTCAGTCCCCAAACGCATTGCTTTGCCGTGAGCTTGTGCGCTGGCGCAAAGCGCCCGATGCTCCAAGCAAATTCCCTTGGGAGCTCCAGTAGAACCTGATGTGAATACTACAAAGGCGGGATTCTCGGGTCCGGCACTAGTGAAAGTGCCTGTCGCTGGGTATTTGTTGGTCAGACTCTCTGTAGGCAAGACAACGTTGACGTTCCAGCCCTGGAAAATATGTCTGTGCTGCTGTTGTGTCACAACAATGCTGGCTTTGACATCTTGGGCTATGGCTTGAAGGCGTTCCGGAGGATGTTCAGGGTTGATTGCAACGCATGCGCCGCCGGCCTTAAGGATAGCCAACATGGCGACGATGGTCCACGCAGACTTGTTGTAACAGACGAGCACCATCACCTCGGGCTTCACGCCGACTTGAACCAGGTGGTGAGCCAGCTGAGTTGACCTGCTGTCGAGCTCAGCATAAGTGAAGTTGCTGTCCGAGGCAAGAATCGCCGGGGCAAGTGGCCGAGCTGACACTTGGGCTTGGACGAGGTTGTGCATCGTCTCGTTCTTCTCCTGCGGCGGTTCCCTATTCCATGCCGCAACCTGTTCTTCGTCTTGCGGACTGAAGAAGCTGACATGCTTCAAGGGGAGACTGCGGGACTCGTCCTGATTAAGCTGTCCAACCAAATGCTCGAACAAGTTGAGCATTTTCTGGATCCGATCGTGGGAGATGATGGCAGTGTCGAAACGAACCTCGACGTCGACCTTGTCAGTACCTTGGACGCATTCCACTACCAACCCATAGCTATCAAACCCAGCAATATCATAAGGCACAGGAATCATCCCCAAAACACCCTCTGCATCTTCATTCGCTGCAGATTGAATGACAAAGAGATGCTTTAGATCGACGTAGTTGTCCAGGCTGTGAAGGTTTTGAAGGCCCACATGTGCAAATGGTATCATCTCCGTCATCTGCTTCTGAGTGTTTCCGAGATAGTCAGCAACAGTTTGCTCCATATCAAGATTCATGACAATCGGAACAGTCGTAATGGTTGGTCCGATGACGCTCTCGATGCCCTGCATGTGCAAGTTACGGCCCGAAAGAGCCATGGCAAATGCGACGTCACTACTATTCGAATGTCGAGCAACTGCCAATGCCCATGCAGCTTGTAGGGTGCTGGACATAAGCGTTCCGGACTTGTAATTGTGCGTAACCGCCATGGAGTATGTGAAGGCCTGATTTGGGCGAGGTTTGTAAGTCAGGGAGCGTGCCTCGGGGAAGCTCGTGGGCTTATCACCAGAGAGTTGTCCTTTCCAGAATGCCATTGCTGCACTTTGATCGATCTTTTCAAGGTGTTCGATCAGCTTGCTATATGGCACGGCCTTCGGAATCTCATCACGGTCGTAAATGCCTCGCAGCTGGTCAAAGAGCAACTGATTACTCCACGCGTCGTACACTGCATGGTGTGCGGTCCAGATAAAATGACCCTCCACGATGGCATACCGACAAAGGGGTCTTCCGAAATTCATGTTTTCGGCCAAGTCATGCTCCAAATATGCCTGCAGTGTTGACGCACTTTGCCATGCCGGTTCTTCTCTAACAACCACCTGCAAGTCCGTGTCCAAGATTCGTGTTCTCAGTATAGGGTGCATGTCTGCCAGTGTCTGCCACGCACGTTTGAAACGATCAAAATCAAGCGCCTCGGGGAGCTGGAACACTTTTTGAGCAATGTACGCACCGGGGTCCCGGATCGTAATACTAAACAGGCCCTTTTGTAGAGCTGTGCATGGATAGATGTCCTCGATCGCCTCAACTTTAACCTCACAAACGCTCGCGGCCATTTGAATGATATCGTCCAAAGAGTGTTCGTCTCTCAGTAGGGAAAAAGGCTCAATATCTGTCGCTGGAGTAAAGACAACGTCCTGAATGGCCTTTGCCATCTCCGATAGCTTTGGGAAGCGAAAAATGTCCGCCACAGATATCGAAAGATGGCTAGCACGAGCTTCGGCAACCAATCTCATGGCAGTAATCGAGTCTCCGCCGGACTGGAAAAAGTTGTCATTCGCGCCGATAGCAGAAACATCAATGCGCAACAAGCCGGCCCAGAGACTCTGCAACTTTTTTTCCATTGGGGTTGAGGGTGCTACCTTTTCAACATCCACTAGCATATAAGGCGCAAGCTGAGCTTTGGACAGCTTTGCAGCCATTTCTCGCATGGCTTTGCGATCGAGCTTACCGGACGAAGTAGTGGGAGCTTGGTACAGCATGATGAACAGCTGCGGCACCATGTATGGCGGTAGGGAGCCCATGAGTAATTGTTGGAGATGTAGCATGCTCTTTCGCAAATCTTCTGTGATTAGCACGAGGTTGCTGTTTGTGTCATGAACCAAGTGCTGATCTTTTTGACCATGTTGGAGAAAAGCTGCCAAAACTCGGTCCTCCTTATGTCCTTCTCTGGAGACGATTTCAACGGCCACATGTTGTACATCTGGGAGGCTCTGTCTGATGTGGTCCTCAATCTCGGACGGCTCGATCCTCTGGCCTCGAAGTTTGACTTGAGTATCTTTCCTCCCAATATAATCCAATGTTCCGTCGACGTTGTATTTGACCAAGTCACCCGTCTTGTACATTCGTCGTGGCTTCTTTTGGCTATCCGCAGCCCATAGCGGATCAAAAATGAAGGCTGCCGATGTGATTTCGGGATTTTTAACATATCCCCGAGCCAAAATTGGTCCCTCGACCAAGAGCTCGCCGACACACCCGATTGGGGCCAAACGATTATGATCGGTGACATCGGTGACCCATGTATGAGCTCCGTAGCCACGGCCAATGTTCGCCGGTTGTTTTCCCGGGCTTAAGTGGGAGTTGGAAGTCCAAATGGTGGTTTCAGACGGTCCGTAGCTGTTTATCAGGTGCACTTTGGTTGCCCATCTTTCGACAAGATCCTGTCTGATTGCTTCTCCACCGAGAGCAAGTGTTTGAAGAGTTGGAACTTTAGCAGGATCAAGGAGATCGGCCATTGCAGGAGTTAGAAAAAGCCAGTTCACTTTCCACTTGTTAATTACTCCAGTCAGGTCATTGAGCCTCTCGGTTTCAGATGGTACGCAGACGCATCCTCCAAACATTAAAGTTGTGAGAACCTCGCTATTGCTGACATCAAACGTTGAAGCGGCAAAATTCAGTGTTCGGGTGTCGCTGTCAAACTGCATGGACGGCCCCTCGGCGAGTGCCATGGTGACCATGCTGCGGTGTTCTATCACCACGCCTTTGGGCTTTCCCGTGGATCCAGACGTGAATACGACAAAGGCTGCGCTATCAGGCCGTCCGAAGGAGGGTGCAGAGATACTTAAAGTCGGTAGCATAGTCAACCAAGATGGTTCGACCACGATGATTCTGGGGACTACATCGACAAATAACTCTGCGTATTGGGGGGCCACAAGTATAAGGCCAGCATCGATGTCATGAATGATTCCTCGTAGACGACTGAGTGGGTGGGCGGAACTGAGTGATACATAAGCGCCGCCGGCTTTGAGCACGGCAATCATTGTCACGATGGTCCATGCCGATTTGTCGAAACATATTGGGACCATGACCTCAGGGCCGACACCAAGGTCGACCAAGTGTGTGGCCAAAGCGTTGGACAAGCGATCCAGCTCTTGATAAGAGAGCTGCCCATCCCATGCACAAATAGCAGGCGCATCAACAGGTCGGGAGCGCATCTGTTTTTCGATGACTTGATGGATGCACATGTCCACAGACTCGTGCTTTTGGCTGTTCCAGACGTTCAACTGCTCTAGGTCTTGGGGGCTCACAAGATTGACCCCTTCCATGATGGAAGAGTGTGATTCATCGTTGAGCTGACAAATGACATGATGAAACTGCCACAGCATTCTTTCCATCTGTCCAGTCTCAATCACATCTTTGTCGTAGCGCGCTTCGATACACACACTTTCCTCTTCGACACTGCATTGAACAATCAGCGCATAGGTGTTGAAGTCATCTTCCTCTGTTGGTAATAGTTCAAGGTCGAGAAAACCGTCAGCTTCTCCCAGTGATTGGATAACAAGAAGATGCTTCAGGTCCAGTTCGTAATCTGGCTCAGCCTCGAGACAGAGTCGACGAAGACTTTGTATCCCCACGTGCTCGTATGGCATCATCTCCATGGCTTGGTTCTGCACAAGTTCAAGATACTTGTACACTGTGGTGTTCCTGCTGGGCAGCTCGATTCTCAGGGGGACTGTCGTAATAGTTGGCCCTGTCATTTTCATGATGCCAGGAACAGGAGCGGTGCGACCAGAGAGGGTCAATGCAAGTATAATGTCGTCAGATCTCGAATACTGAGAGACGACCATGGCCCATGCTGCCTTTATGAGAGTCGCACTAGTGATGGCGGACTGCTTTTGGCGAGACAGTGGAAGACGAAGAGTTTGCACATGGTCAGCTCGAGGCTTGTATGAGGGGGACGGCAGGACAGGGAAGCTTGTTGGTGCTTGTTCTCGCAAAAGCTGTGATTTCCAGAATTTATTCGCAGACTCCGTATCCTCTTGGGCCAAGAAATGAATAAAACGGTTGTAGGATGGTGATTTCGATATAGCATCGCCCATGTACAGTTGTTTGACCCGTTCAAACAACAAGTTTTGACTCCAGCCGCTGTTTATTTCGTGTGTTAGTCATTTTTCGTCTTCAAAAAAGGGAATCGTTTAAGTAAACTTCTGTGAAGAGGAAGGAGTTGCAATCGAACCAAAGAACTTACTCGTAAAGTGCATGGTGGACAGACCAGATGAAGTATGAATCTTGTCCGAGTCCATCAATTATACAAAGCCGATGCAGGAGCCCACCATACTCAATTGGAAGCCCGTTGTCCTCTTCAAGATATGATTCCAGTGTCAAACCCTCTTTCCAAGGGTTTTCTTGTCGTAAAACAACCTGCACCGAGTTCGTGTTGGTCAGAATGACTCTCGTTCTCAAGATCGGTTCGAGGGAAATCAGCTGCTGCCACGCGTTTCGGAAGCGATTCAAGTCGATAGTGGGCGGAATTTTGAAGACCATTCGTGCGACGTACGCACGGGGTAGTCGAGTAGAGATTGCCATAAGCCCCTCTTGCAAAGGGGTGCAAGGGTAAACATCTTCAATAAAGTCTTTGTCAACCTTGCATCTGTCGGCACAATCCTCTATCGTCTCTTCTCGGGAAGATGGTTCAAGCAGAGCAAAAGAGTCTAGTTCCACTAAATCTCTGGTAATTGTTTCGTGAATCTCAACCGTCAATGCCATATCACAAAGATTCGGGTACTTGAATATGTTCATGACCGAGATGAGGATATTCGATGCTCGAGCGGCGGCAACTAGCCGCATGGCGGCGACTGAATCTCCCCCGAGTCCGAAAAAGCTGTCTTTGGCACCAATCATGTCGATGTCGATGCACAAAATGGCGCTCCAGAGCTGCTGTAGTCGTTTTTCGAGGTCCGTCGATGGCGGTTCCTTGACTTTATTTTCTAGAGAGTAGTCTGACCACTGTGTTTCCGAGAATTGGGCAGCCATCTTGCGCAGAGCTGCTCTGTTGGTCTTTCCAGATGAATTCATTGGCATCTGACTCATACGTATATACGTGGCTGGAATCATATATCTTGGCAGCGATAACGCCAAAGAGCTTTGAAGTCCTTGCAGATCTTTCTGGAGCTGTGGCGTTAAAGAAATTGGCGTACTGTCCAAGGAGTTTACGGTGCTACCATCATCTGTGTCATCCATCACAAAGAAAGCGGCAAGAGTTTTCCTGGTGGTTCCCTTTGGCACAATCGCCTCGACAGTTATCTGTCGTAAGCGAGGTTGATGGTCAATGACCTGTGCTTCAATGTCAGTCAGATCAAGTCGCTGACCGTACAGTTTCTAAGTTGCATGTTAGCGCCTGCTTTATTACTAGAGGAGGATATAAGAGGCTCAATATGCTTACAATTTGAGTATCTCCACGGCCAAGTATATGCAAGCTGCCGTCCGAGTTGTATCTGACCAAGTCTCCTGTTTTGTAAAATCTGCGATCCACCCCGGGCTGGGTGCGCGACCAGATTGGATTGCAAATGAATGACTTTTTGGTCTTTTCTGCGTCACCAAAGTAGCCGGCCGATAAAATAGCTCCTTCAATGAGCAACTCACCGACACAGCCAAGTGGTGCCAGCTTGTCGTGGTTGTTGGGCTCAACAACCCAGCCAAGACCTCCGACAACTCGTCCTATGTTCGCCAAATCTGTATCATCCAAGATATTACAACTGTAAGAGCAGGTCACACTGCACTCTGCAGGGCCGTATACATTAACCAGCGTGTCAAGGTTCCCGGCCCAAATGTCCACAACTTCCTTGGTCAGTGCCTCGCCACCTAGCTGCAAGATTCGCACAGAGGGAACATCGGCGGGTCGGATGAGTGCCGCAACAGTGGCAGTGAGGTCAATTGCAGTGGCGTTTACATCACGAATGGCCTGAGAAAGATTGTTCATTCTGTCATGGTCCGAGATGTTGCAAATGCAGGCTCCAAACATCAGCGAGCCTAGGATGTCCGATATGGAAACATCAAATGTGTAGGCAGCAAATTGAAGCACTCTCTGGCCGGGTCCATTTCCCTTGACTATCAAATTGTTCCCAAGAGCGAATGTCGCTAGAGAGTAATGGTAAAGTTGAATTCCTTTTGGAGTCCCGGTAGTTCCGGAAGAAAAGATGACATATGCGACGTTATCGGGTTGGACCGAGGCACAAGGGATTCCTGCCACAGTAGGAAGGCCATTGATGAAGCCCTGATCAACAGAGATGATAACGTCGACGAGTCCCTCCAGGAGGTGAGCGTTCTGCGGTGCGGTCACGGCTACCTTTGCACTGCACATGGTGCTGATTGCCTCGAGACGCGATACAGGCTGCGCCGGATCCATGGGAACACAGGCACCGCCGGCTTTCAAGATGGCCATAATGACAACCGTCGTCCATGCCGATTTATGGAAGCAGAATGGAACATAAACTTGAGGTCCAACACCCATGCTGACAAGGTGATGGGCCAGTTTTGTAGACAAGTCGTCAAGTTCAGCATAGGTAAAATTCCCATCAAAAGAGCAAATCGCTGGAGCGTCAGGCTGCTTCAATACTTGTTCGTGGAAGAGATGATGGATACAATGGTAATGTGCCGGTGGTAAGTCTGCATTCCATTGCAATATTTGTTTCATGTGTTCACCTCCAACCAGGTCAATGTCGTCAACTGTGCTGTTGATGTCTTTCACAATGCAGTCAATAGCTCTGCTGAAAATTAATCCAAGATTCTTGGCTTGTTCGGTCGAAATGCTCGATGTCCAATACCCAAGCGTGGTGACGATATCGGCCTCAGATACCATGACATCCAAAGTCACCTCGTATTCTGGTGGATCGTACGCTTGCAGGCCAACCACGGAGATGGTGCTTTCATCTTCCTCAGCTCCCTCCTGGGCTTTCTGGAAAGACATGACGGTGTTGAAGAGTGGTTGGCCAGCCAGCCCAAGCTCGTGCTGAATGTCGGCAAGGGGGCAGTGTTGGTGTTCCATGCCGAGAAGGAAGTCTCCTTGAACCTTTTGAAGAATATCTAAGATGGGCACATCGTTTTCTAGCCCCAATCGCGATACGAGCATGGTTATGAATGGACCGACCGCCCTTTCGATATCGCGGATTGGGGCTTCTCTTCCAGACAGCAAGTAGCCAAAACAGACGTCATTTCGCCCCGTGTGTGCCCGGAGCACGAGGCCCCAGGCTACGTGGAAGATATTGGATAAGGTAAGATTATTTTGCTGGCAGAAGTCGAGCAGCACGCTAGTCTCCATGTTGATATTGACCTCCATCTCCAGGAACTGTGGATCTTTTGAAGATCCTTGAATTGAAGGCAAATACGTCGGTTCAATGTCCCTCAAGTAATTCATCCAATATGTTAGTCCAGGACCTTTGGGGAGCGATCTCAAATACGAAATGTATTCGTGGAAGAGTGGCGCGGGCCTGTCTGGAGTCCTCCCGTCGTAAGCCAGAATAAAGTCTTGAAGGATAATGGGCATGGAGCCTCCATCAATAATTGCATGGTTGAATTCGAACTGACAAAACACTCGACCCTCGTTTGTTTGGCACAAACTCAGTCTATTTGGTGGCTCAATGTCATTGAATTCGATGGGAGCCTGGTTTTTGAACTTGTTTCCGGAGTCGGCTCCGTCGTCGTGGAATATTGAAACCCTGCCACGATAATGTTTTAGCACCACTTGATCATACACACCTTCTGTACCTACACTGGGGATAAATATAGTTCTCAGGACAGAATGTCGCTGAACGACCTTTTCCCACGCACTCGTCAGCCGATCCAGGTCGACTGAATTGGCAGACCTCGAGATAATCTCAGCTGTGTGACAATATTTGTATACACCCGTAGATTTACTCTGACTGATGAGCAAACCTTGCTGCATGGGAGAGCAAGGATAGATGTCCTGTACTTGCTCAAATGATATGCCGGTCTGAGGGAGAATGTCATTCGAGAGCCTCTCTAGCCCCTCGTATGACATTTTGATCATCGGGAAGTCACTCAGGGTATGCTGAATTGTCGCGTTGGACAATTGATCAATGCATTCGGAAAAAGAGTCTGGAAGAGATGCGATCCACTTCTTCAATTTTGGCATATGTTTCATGTTGTGGTTGTAGACGAAAGAGAATTGCATCTGATTACTGATCATCTCGGCAGTGATCTCAATCAGCGCAAAACGCCGTACATTAGGTCCAATGTCGGATGTATTTGCCGTCATGGTACGAGGTTCTTGGCGGAGCAATGCATCCGGTTTCTCCAGTTGTTGATACAGGCCAAGGTAGTCAAAACAGATTTCTACCTGAGAGTGATCAGCGAAAGCCTCCATGCCCTCCTGGTTCAGGAATCTCGAGGCAAAGTAAGGACGTCCATTCGCTGGGATAGCGTGTCGATTGTCCTTGATTTGACGTGTAAATTCCACAATGTCGTCTTCAAAAGTGGCGCTGGTGCATAATGGAAACATGGTCGTGAACCAACCCACAGTCTCAGAAATGTCAATCTCATCCGTCCAGGACTCTCTCCCGTGACTCTCACGGAAGAATGGAGGCGTCGCACGATCTTTAAACACGTGAGCAAAGGAATACATTAAAATCGATAGAATCAGATCAATAGGCTCTGTGCGAAGCGCTGTGTGGCACTGGCTTCCCATGAGAGACTTGGTCAAGTCTAGACTCAACTTGACCGCATCTTCAGAAGTATCCGAAATGTAGTTCTTTTGATGTTCCATTCCCCAATATTGCATATCAGGTGGCGTGACGTTGAAAGGGAGAACCTCGCCGGGACTTCCATGGTCCCTGGCGTTGTCCGCTTGCAGTTGCAGCCATTTCTGGTAAGGCAATGATACATGGTTGGCGATTTCCCCGGATGTAACCGCGTCTTCAAGGTCTTTCATGACGACACGCCACGATACCAAGTCAATGATGGCGTGGTGGGCAACAAGAAATAGAAATTGACCCTGACTCTTGACGCTGAATAAATGCGCAGCAAAGACTGGTCCGCGGATAAGATCCAAAGATGATTGCGCATCTTCGATGATGGCATCTATATCTTCCACTGCGATGACATTATGCACCACGAAATTGTACGTGCCTTCGACTTGTTTCAAAACCACTTGCTGCCAGGTTCCGTCTTGGCTCTCCATAAATCGGGCACGGAGCATGGAATGTTTAGCGACTACCATTTGAAATCCTTTGCGCAGCTCCTCATCTCCTATTTGTCGAGTTACATTGAGGAAAAAACTCTGATTATAGCGCGTGGAAGATCCGTTCGAGGCTAAATGTGTGGTAGCGACGTACATTCGCTGGACGGGGGAGAGGGCAAACGGAGTGTCGAAGCTCTCCTCCTGGTCATGTGCTGAATTTGCAACATGAACCACACGTAATGCGAGTTCTGAGATTCCCTTTAGAGCAATAATATCCTTCACGGTAACGGCCATCCCTCTTGACCTGCACCGTGAAACGACTTGCATGGCCGAAATGGAGTCTCCACCAAGGCTCAGGAATGATCTGTCGAGCGGGATTCGGCTGAGCGCCAGGTTAAGAACGTCACTGTATACGAGCTGCAGTTGCATCTCGTGTTCTGTCATCTCCGTTGCTCCCTGACCCTGTGACTGAACTCCGACAGCTCGGTCGTATGTTTCATCATCCATCTCAGCAATCCACTTGGACACTTGACTCCTCGCCATCTTGCCGGAGAGCATGAGTGGAATTGCTTCGACTACGATCCAAGTTTCAGGGACCATATAATGAGGCACGTGTCGGCTAAGCTGTTCTTTTATGTCTGCGACCTGTTTACTCGCCCGTTCCCGGGCTTCTTCTGGGATCAACCGGACATTGGACGTTTTAGAAGTGTCGGGCAGGAAGTCTTTCAGTGAGAGGGCGACAACGAGGCGTTCCTTGCAAGGACCAGACTTTGGTAAGATGACGATCGCGTGCTGTGTAAGGCCATGCACCGATATATGATGTTCAATTTCACCCAGCTCGATTCGCAGGCCTCGCAGCTTCACTTGGGTGTCTTTGCGACCGATGAAGTGAATCGTGCCATCAGGATTATATCGTGCCAAGTCTCCCGTCTTGTATAATCGTCTCGGAGCTCCCTGCCTTGTAAGAGGGCCCCAATCTGGCCCCGTAATAAATACCTCTGCCGTCTTTTCAGGAGCATTCAGATATCCTCTGGCAACAATTGGTCCTTCAATTAGCAACTCTCCGACGCAGCCAACCGGGACCAACTTATTGTGGTCTTCAGCATTCACAATCCAGCAGAGACCACCAACCGCATGTCCGATGTTGGAAGGACTCGTTGACGGCGTCAGGTTAGGGTTTCCGGCCGCAGCGACGGAGCATTCGCTTGGGCCATAGCCATTTCCCAGTTGTACGTGTTCGGCCCAAGTGTCTATGTCAGATTTTGACAATGCCTCGCCGCCCAAAATTAGCGTTTTCAAATTAGGAACGTCTCTTGGATCAATGACTTTGACCAGAGATGGAGTCAAGAAGGCCCAGGTTATTTGGAACTTGTTAATGAGCTTGGCTACCCCTTCATTCATCGATGCTGCACTGGGCATGCAAATACATGCCCCATGCATCAATGCCGTCATAATTTCCAACAGACTCACGTCGAAACTAAACGATGCCAGCTGAAGAACACGACTCGAGGAATCCATATTAGCCACCTCTGCCTGCGCTACAGCTCCGCTGCAGAAGGACGAATGCTCAACGACGCAAGCCTTGGGGCGGCCGGTGCTACCCGAAGTGAAAATGACGTAAAGAATGTTATTTGGACTGACTGTCGTGACGGGAGGTTGAACTTGGAGTGCCAATGCGTCGACTAACTGCGGCCCCAAGGGGACAACCTCGAGACTCGAGTCTGTCCACTGGTCTGCTTGCGCAACCGAAGTCAAGACCAACGTGGAGGCGATTTGACTAATAATATCATCGCGTCGGCCTTTCGGATGCGAAGGGTCAATGAAAACAAACGCTCCGCCAGCCTTGACCACGCTCAACAAGGCGACAATAGCCCATGCAGACTTCTCAAAGCAGAGAGGGACAATGACCTCGGGGCCGACACCAAATCCTAAAAGATGATGAGCTAGGCGATTGGAGTAATCATCAAGCTGACTATATGTGATGGAGGCATCCCAGCCGCAGATGGCGAGAGCATCCGGCTGCTGCTCAACGCGCGACTGTATAATGTGGTGCACGCAGCTGTCGATTACTCGAGGCTGCGGTTCGTTCCAGCACCAGATTGAAGCCAGGTCGCGGTCGCTGATCAGATTCAGGTCATGAAGTTTTTCATTCGGATTGAGTACAATGAGAGATGCGGCTTTGGCGAATGTTGCGCCAATATTGACAGCCTCCTCCTCGATAAGGGTAGACGTGGAATAACTGAGCGTAATGTTGAGCATGCTGTCTGAAGCCTGAACCAGCAAAACAATGTTTCCCTATAGCGAGTGAGTTAGAACAATAACGATTTACACTTGCTCCGATTCCGCACGACTTGGGATACTGACAGTGCTTTGGCTACTTCGGTTCACAGCCGCAACCACCTTTCCGGGTTGGTGGACTTGGAACACGAGTTGACTGTCCGACAGAGGTGAATTATCCCCTGTTTTGGGGGTCTTCTCAACTTCCAAGGTTTTTGTTTGAAGTTCCAGATTTCTCAGCAGGCTCAGAATCGAGACTGTTTCGTCCAGGAGAAGCTGGCAGGACGCCGGGGCGGCATCGATGGTACCGTCCTGTACCAACGACGAGAACACAACGTGGTCCAGGCCAAGGTATTTGCCAAGTACAAGTCCCCAGGCGGCTTTGAAGACGGTAGGCAACTGAAATTCATTTTCATGACAAAATCGTTGCAGAGATTCGACATTTTGGCTCAAGGCGACGTTGACTGACTGCCGCTGGCCTTGCAGGGCGTGAATGTCCTCCGTATGCGAGACAGCAGTGTGAACGCTGCCAGTTTCTTGGAAGTCCGTGCTCTTCAAGAGCAACGTCTCACCGGCGGGGGCCATGGGTGCGTTTTTTCTGAGATGTATCTATTATTTTTCGAGGGAAAACCCGGACAGAGCTTGTGAGAGGCTGGGGTTGGGTCAAGTTGGTGTTGACCAACTATGGGGTATCTAGGTTTGTGCTTTGCCAAATCCGCAAGGAATAGTTTCTATTCTCTTTAATTTTTTGTTGGGAACAGCTTCACCTCATTTGTCTTGGGTGGAGGCTCAAAACTTGGTCTTCTTTGAGTCCTGGGAAAGGGAGGGTTGTCGGGACAATTGGCATAAATTCCAACAGCAGGTACACTTGCGCGAGCTCAAATTGGATGCGGAAATGCTCAGAGAAGCTACTGCAGGTGCCCCGAACCATGTACTAGCTTCTCATTGAAGTGATTTTATTGCTCCTGGGAGTTCGCTTTACTTGCTGACATGATGACTTGTGCGTAGCACCCACGTTGAGCTTCACGCAGGCGCCTCGCAGTCCAAAGGGCACAGCGGAGCGCTTACATTATTTCATCGACGGCATGTCAAGTTGCTATTCCCAGGATTCAAATGTTCGCTCCACAAGACTGGACTGGTCTGGTGCTTATTGCCTGTCCCGTCAGCGGATACACGTCGAATTGGTCAACATCCGCTCTCAGCTTCACACCAGTCGACCCTTGTCACGCAAGCAACGTCAGCCATTTTCAGAGGGGCGTGTGCATACGACGATATGAGGTGAGCGGTGACGGGTTATAGATCCACGGTAAGCACGGCAAGCCAGACATTGATTCTATTGACCATTTACTAATACCACACCCCCTTTGGTCGGGCATGTCAGCGTACTTACCAGAGGACCATGGTAGAGGCGTGCGACACCGGCTGGGATCCAACGCGACGGCAGGTCTTGGGAGTCATGGATGGAGCGGGAGCTGAGCATGAGAATTCTCCTAGTGGCCCGTGTATGCTTCATTTCATTTCAGACCTACGCGTCAGCCTTCCTCAGCCACGTACCTCACGACGTATGTATGCAGGTTTGGTCATTGGGAGGCTCCTGTATGCTTTGCGCACGCGCACACTTTCTATCATCCGGGATCTACAGATCAGGGTGTACCCAAGGTATTGATCTCACCAGCCTGAGCAGCCCCTAGAACATCTATTTCCCCAGAGTAGACGCAGTCTGTTAGCCCACCCTAGACCGACCATCAGTCGTGATTCTGCAGGTCCCATGTGCCACCTCGATACGACAAGAGAACGCTGCGTGATTACTTTCTGTTTTTGCCCGATTCTATTTGCCTTGTAACTTGGCCAGTTTCAACGACACCAACAAACACTCACCGGGCAAAAGCGAACCTCGTTGGCAGCAGCGGCCAGGATGACTTTGCTCGTCTTTCGTCAACTCCTTGGTCGCTCCGTGGCTGGAAGCTGCACCATTGCCGCCGAAGATGATTTTGGGCCAGTCGTCGAGGGATGTTTGGACAACTTTGACTTTACGCTTCTATTCCAAGAAGCTATCCTCTCCATAACCCCGATGGGCGTGACGATTCTCCTACTGCTTCATCGTCTTCTGCATTTGCACAAGCAGCCTCAAAAAGTCTATTCTGGAGGTTTACTGCAGAGAGCTAAACTGGTAACTCCCACTCTACATTGGCTGGCTGCCATCAAAATACCATCGCCCGTCCAGTAGCTAACGCATATCGGTCAAGGTTGCATTCGCCGTCTTCACAACGGTCCAGATTGCGCTCGTTGCCATTGCAGCCCTTCCCGGCACCCCGACTACGGCAGCATCGCTGGCATGTGCTGTGGTCAACCTGCTCGGGGCGGCCATCATGTGGGTTTCATCTCATCTGGAGCATGTGCGCTCGGTCCGGCCGTCTCTGCTTTTGAACGCCTACTTCTTCTTTTCGCTTCTTTTCGATATTGTACGGGCGCGGACCCTCTGGGCAATCTCGCAGAATGCCGCGTTTGCCAGTGGCTTCTGCGCTTCAATTGGCTTGAAAGTCGTCTGTTTGGTCCTCGAGGCCGTGGAGAAGCAAAGCATTCTTCTTCCCGAATACGCCACGTATCCGTCTGAAGCCACGGCCGGCTTTTTCAATCGCAACTTCTTTCTCTGGCTGTGTCCAACGTTGATCCGTGGCTTCAGCAAAGAGCTGGTCGTTACAGAGCTCGAGGCCAACGACAGGTCACTGGAACCGAATACCCATCAGAGCAAGCTCCAGGCGCTCTGGAACAAGTGGAGGAGATGGAACAAGAAGATGTCTCACTCGCTTCTCGTGACGTATGCCGTTCACTTTCGATGGAAGCTCGCGGCGGCCGTCATTCCCCGACTCTGTTTGATCGGCTTCAAATTTGCGCAACCGTTCCTGGTTCAGTCAGCTGTCGTCTACCTCTCCGAGCTGAATGGCCAACATTCGAGAAACTCGGGCTATGGGCTGATCGCAGCGTACATCATTGTTTATGTTGGAATTGCGGTAAGACAAGCGATATTTTGATCCGCGACGGACAATGTCTGTTTCCACCTGGCCATGGTCGACTGACACTTGCTTTCCTTTTACAGATCAGCGGTACGAAAGCACAGCACAAAGCATTTCGTCTCATCACAATGATCAGAGGAACTCTGATTAGCCAGATTTTCGACCATACCCTCAAACTCAGCACATCCTCTTTAAACGAGTCCAAAGCCGTTACGCTAATGAGTTCTGATATCGAGAGAATCGGCACAGGATTGCGCAACGTGCATGAAATTTGGGCTTGCATCATTGAGATAGCACTGGCCATGTGGTTACTCCAAGGTCAACTCGGAATATCGATTATCGCGACTGGACTCGTCACTCTATGTGTGTGCTTGCCTCTCTCTAGCCCCGGCGAAAAGTAGCTCTGATCTGACATGGTATAGTCTGCACTGGTGGCGCGGTCTGGGTAGCAAAAGGTGCTGGAGACCGTCAAAGCGTCTGGCTTGAAGCGATTCAAAGGCGAGTCCATGCAACGGCAAATATGCTGGGCTCGATGAGGGGCGTCAAGATGTCCGGCCTCACCAATGACTTGTCGGCCAATATTCGGAAATTGCGTCTCGAGGAAATTAGTTCTTCATACGAGTTCAGAAGATTGCTTGTCCGCGTCGTGAATCTATGTGAGTTGCTAAGAGATCCGCTGGGTGATTGTTTTCGCATATTGACGATTTGCAAAATAGCTTTCATGTCAACCGCTCTGACTCCCGTCATTACGTTCCTCGTCTTTAGCGTTTTGGCCAAAGTCAACAATTCTCAAACACTGACTCCCGAAATCCTATTCCCCGCCTTGACACTGTTTGAACTCCTAGCTTCTCCTGTTTCCGTACTAATTGAAACCCTTGGAGGTGTCATGTCGGCGGTCGGTTCCTTCCAGCGAATCGGCGAGTATCTCGCGACGGAAGTACACGTTGACAGCAGGAACAACGTCACATACGAGAAACACGGGTCTTTTGGACTAGAAATGCCTCCAATTATCCCCAGGTCAATCATCTCGATGGGAAGACGGGGGTTAGAAAACTGTGTGGAGGTGTCCAAACTAAGTGTCGGTTATGGCACCAACGAGGCGCCAGTTTTGAAGGAGCTTAATTTTGAGATCAAGACGTCGCAAATTGCTATGATTATTGGTCCAGTGGGATGTGGCAAGTCAACATTGATTCATGCATTACTCGGTGAGATACCCAAGACTTCCGGCTCCATCCATATAGCCTTTCAAGAGGCGGCGTACTGCAGCCAGACAGCCTGGATTACGAATGGGACGGTACGCCAGAATATTCTGGGGGAACGGGAGATGGATGAAGCCTGGTACAACACTGTCATCCATGTGTGCGCCCTAGATACCGATCTTGAACAGTTTCATGGATCTGATCTGTCCATGGTGGGAAGCAAAGGCGTCAGGTTGAGTGGAGGCCAACAGATGCGTCTGGTAAGTTCAATCACTGGCTTCGGGAGATGTTGGTGTTACTGACCTTGCTTAGGCGCTTGCAAGAGCACTCTACTCGCGTAAAGCAGTCATTTTCCTTGACGACATCTTCAGTGGCTTGGACTCAACGACGGAAGAGAAGATTTTTGCGCGCCTCTTCGGCCACGACGGCCTCTTCCGGAAACAAAAGACAACAGTCATCATGGCAACCAATGCTGGTGAGTTCCCGGGTCCTCGCAACAAGGCCAAGATTCATTTGCTGAATAAAAGTCGTCTAGTTCATCGCCTGTCCTCAGCAGACCACATCATTGCCCTCAGCAGCGACGGCCGAGTCCTCGAGCAGGGCAGTTTCGAAGAGTTGCAAGCTACCGGTGCTTACACGCGCGCGCTGGCACCATCGAAACGCAAGACGGCGTCTGCAGGAGACCCCATGACGACGCAGATCAATACTCAGTTGTCACATGCAATAGCCCCGGAGGTTCCAAAAGGCTTGCAAAGACGCACGGGCGATGGAACAGTGTATAACTACTACATAGCCACTTTCGGCTGGTACAAGTGGTCAATTCTCATGTTCTTCGCTGCGTGCTACGGTCTATTGACCGTCTTCCCTCGTGAGTGAAAGCGGAATTGAAAGAGACTAAACCATCTCATTTTCATCACCTATACTGACCAGGATGCTTGCAGAGGTGTGGGTTAATTGGTGGGCAACGGCAAACGTGAAGCAGCCGAGTTCACAGCTTGCATACTATGTTGGCATCTACGCCGCCCTTAGCATTCTGTCTGTTGTAGCGCTATTTGCATCTTGCTGGTAGGTTTCTCATTACCGAGTACGGCGGTTGGACTGAACAGGCTGACAAAATGGTCACAAGGCATCTCATCATCAACTTGGTCCCAAAGACAGCCCTGAAAGTACACGACACTCTACTTCGGACTGTTCTCAAGTGCGTGTCCTCAACCCTCCAAGTTGTCATGTTTGCTAACAAGGAATCGAATTCTGCAGTGCACCCATGTCCTTTTTCGCCAAGACCGACACTGGCGTCACACTCAACAGATTCAGCCAGGACCTGGAGCTCATTGACATGGAACTCCCTCTGTCAGTCATCAACACCGTCATAAGTAAGCGTCCCTCTCTAGCCAGTCGGCCTGCTATTGCCCTACTAACTATGATTCAACAGTTTTCGCAGTCATCATCGCCCAAAGCGTTTTAATCTGCGTGACTGGCCGCTACGTTGCTGCGGTTCTTCCCTTGTGTGTTGGCATCGTCTATGCCGTGCAAAAGTATTACCTCCGCACGTCGCGGCAGTTGCGGTTACTCGACATCGAAGCAAAATCACCTCTATTTTCACACTTCCTAGAAGCCCTTTCGGGGCTGGCTACCATTCGCGCGTTTGGCTGGCAGAATGGATATCTCGAGGAGAGCAAGCGCATCCTCGAGCTGTCACAACGCCCTTACTACATGTTGTTCTGTGTGCAAAGATGGCTAGGCTTGGTTCTTGATCTCATCGTCACCGGCATCGCCGTGGTGCTTGTGTCGATTGGCGTTGAGGCCAAGGGTGTTGTTGACACAGGGCTGATGGGGCTGGCGCTGGTGAACATTGTGAGTTTTAGCACGAATTTGAAGTTCTTGGTGACCAACTGGACATTGCTGGAAACATCCATCGGTGCTGTTTCGCGCGTCCGTAGCTTTGAGCAGGGCACCGAGTCGGAGAACAACGACGATGGGCGACAAAGACAGCCGCCGAGCGATTGGCCGAGCGCGGGTGCAATCACATTTGAAGGCGTGACGGCGCGGTTTGAGTAAGCCTCTTGAACGCTGATTCTGCTTGCAGATGCTGACACTATGCGTGGTAGCGAATCACTAGAAAAGAATGTCCTCCGTGACGTGTCCTTGACCATCAAAGGAGGGCAACGCATCGGCATTTGCGGGCGAAGCGGCAGGTTCGTCATGATTCTTTTTTCTCTTCTTCCGCTACACAAAAATGAATGCTAAGGGCATGTTTTTTCAGTGGAAAGTCTTCTCTAGTTTCCACTCTGTTCCGCCTCCTGGATCCCCATGCCGGCCGCATCACCATCGACTCCATCGACATTTCCACTCTCGCACGGCATGAAGTTCGCTCGCGTCTTACCGCCATTCCCCAAGAACCTTACCTGCTTACAGGGACCATCCGCGTAAACGTGGATCCATTCGGCCGGGCATCAGATGAACAGATAATCAGAGTGCTCGAGACGGTCGGATTGTGGAAGTTGGTCCAGGAGAAGGGTGGCCTTGATGCCGTGATGACTGAAGGTTCATTCTCACACGGCCAGCGCCAGCTTGTGTGTCTTGCGCGCGCCATGACGAGAGAGAGTTGTGTGCTTGTCATGGATGAGGCGAGTAGCAGGTATGTTTGCTGATTTCTCGCCTTGCGATTTCTGTTACATCGGGTCCTTCTTCTCACCTAGTTTGCTGTTGTGTTTATAAGGATTCCTCTCCTCCTTATTTCCCAAATGAAAGCAAACATCAAAAAACATGTCCTGCTAACGGTCATTTCACTGCAACAGTCTTGACGTCAAAACGGATGCACTTTTTCAGCAAGTTATCCGCTCCGAATTTGCAAAGCACACGATTATAGCAGTAGCGCACCGCCTGGACACCGTAGTGGACTTTGATTACGTTGCTGTGCTAGACGACGGAGTGGTGGTAGAGTTTGATGCGCCAGAGGAGTTGCTCAAGCGCCCATCGGCGTTTAGAGAGCTTTACGAAGCACAGAAGGGGGAAACGATCGAGGAAGAGGATGAGGAGATATCAGATTCGACTACTGCGAATGAGAAGTGGGGATGGATGTGGGAATAATACGCTCGAAGTATTGATGGCGTTGCGGACAAGTCGGTAGATGGCGTCGCGGTCCTTTGCGGGGTTCACTTTTAACATGATCTTATTAGTATATTCCACTATGATGTTCCAATCAAGTCCTTTATTTTGCTTCATCGTTATTTTCCGCATCTTGGAAGTTACGAGTTGTGTGGCACACATGCTCCCCCCCTCGGTAGTCTATATGGCAACTGCCTTGAAACCACCGGCTAGGAATTGAAATGTATTTAGTTATGCATGTGCTAAATGGTCTGATGTCTTGGTCTAATCTGAACTTGGTAGGTCTTTCTCCCGTCTCCCGTCAGAGGGCGGCTCTCAATGCACCCATTTGATTCAGAGACAAAGCAATACGCATGCCCTCCATGTTCTTTCGGCTTAATTCGTCTTCGGATTCCGGACTCAAAATCTTTCTGCGTCGCAACATTGTCTCCGGAGAGACTGTTTTCCTTCCCTCCTTGAAACAATACTTGGAGACGACTGCAGCGATTACAACAGAGCGAGCAACTTCTTCAAGAGCCTTCTCATCTTGATTGGGACCGTCTCGAGCAGCGGACAGTCGACGACTGCCTCCGGATACTAGAAAGTAACTGGCCATGTACAGCCACTTCTCATCCCACGATAAAATTTGCGATTGCAACTCATATTTCTGGAGGGGGGAAATCGCCTTGAAGAAGGTGCAGGCGACGCCTCCCAAGGCGAGATTCACCTTTGCGCCGCCTAGCTGGAGACAATCGGGGAAGACTCGCGCCAGAACCCGCAGCCGGCTTTCGTCCAAGTCGGAGAAGTAACTCGAGTTTGTCTTGTGTAAGTTCATGTCGATCTCCATGAGAGGGCACCAGGTGGTGAGGACTTCTGGTTTGAATAGAGATTGGTGATCATCAAGCTTAGCACGGTTCTTCCACACAAGAACAGAGTATAGAGATCTTATCTGAGACAAAGGCGCATATTAGCACTAAGTCAGCTTATGACCGTCAAGCATGCAAATCAAGACGGCAGACTTGCAGGACTAACAAAGGAACAAGGGGCAAAGGATCGCGCGTGTGAGGAAATTGAGTCATTCAATGTCGGCACCTACATGGTACATGCCGGGAAGGCACTTGAGGTTTGGCCCGAATATGGCCGTGGTGAAAGTCAGGCCGACTGCTACACCGGCGACGCATGTTGACGAAATGAGGCTCATGGTGATGTAGAAAACCAAGTTATTCAGCGTATTTCAACAAGGAACTTGCCGTCTTGATCCTCGACTCCTCGACCCTTTGGTTGTGCAGAGGACTCAGTCCAAGCTGCTGTGGCACGGAAGGAGAGCACACCGACGGATTTCTGAATGTGCGGTTGTCGTTGTGCAATGCCAAAGACACCAGTATGTTTCATCGGTGCCGCGGCTGAAGGCACCTTTGACTCAGCCGTGTGTCTGTTCGGTTGCCTCAATTCGGGTGACTCGCCGAAACACGACGGCCTCGCCGTCTTTCTACTGCCAGGGGCCTATCAGCTATGATGGATATTGCGGCGGGCGCAGATGAGGCTAGGGGCCGTGGTTGCTCCGCTATCTTGCACGAATATAACACTGGAGCTAGTAGGGAGGCAGCGTTCAATGTTCCTTGTTTCCGAAATTGTTGAAAAGAGGAATAGTCTGGACGTGGAAGCCGGTTATCGCGGCCCGGATTTTCCAACCAACTACAGCTGACGGTAAGAAACACAGCGTCAGCATTTGATTTGCAGGGATGGTAAAATCACGCTTGCATGAATGTACATTCATAGTCATACAAGCTCAAGTTCACATCTGTGCCTTGCTTATGCCACGTGCAAAGCTCGTGGTGTCTTACTCCACGTAGTATTGGTAAGCTGGGCACACCCCTCCCATGTAGGGGTCGAGTAAGCAGCAGGATGGCCCAAATACCAGCCGAGAGACGTGAAAAGACTCCTGTGCGCCCGTTTCACCCCCCTTGATGAGCGGGTGTGGGTGGTTCATGCAGTTGATGACTGCCAACCGGTGCCTATGCACAGTTGCTGAATCCTTTCCTATACCCACAGCTTAGTATTCTTGTATACATTCATACGTCTATTGGTGGCTAATGCATACTGTCCCCGAATCACAAAATTTATTCTTAGCAACGAATGCCTTTGTCCTAATGCAATATCCACATCTCACTTCTACACGTGGGACACAAGGTACCACACGTGCAACTAGGTTCTGCTGGTGCGCAGGTTGCATCGTCAGCATGACTGAAGAAGAATCCCGGTCAGTATCGTTCTAGGATTGTGAGATCATAGATGCTTCGGGTATGGGTGACAAGATGTGGAATATACAAAAGAAAGGCGCTTTAATGCTGTGGTGTATTGAAAAGTAGCATGTGAGTGGATCTGTCATATTTCAGATTGCTGCCATTGCAACTTTTGTACGAAATAATCTCTGTTGCCCACACTAGTGTCCTGTTGAAGTCGCTGACCATTACTATGACCAAGCCCGACAACTCCTAGACGAAGTGTGTGTGGCATAGTTTTTGTTGCAGAAAGTTCTCCATTCTTCGTTTCTATTATACCCTCTCAAGTCATTCTTTAACCGTTTATACAGCTGTGGCATACTCATTCACAAATGGATGTCTCAGCTGCCATAACAGAGCCTCCAACACCATTCTGGAGTTCCACGGATACGGCAACCGGCTCAGAAAATACAGATTCCTCTCCAAGCTCACTCATCGTTGTTGATCCATCAAAAGCCTCACAACATATTACGCTTGAACATGGCGATTTTTCCTACCGATGGAATGTTCCTAAACCTCATTATAGCTACGTATTGCGTTCAAAAGAACAGTTTCTGGCAACAATAAGCGCAGGTGATGAAGAAGAAACGTCCTTCTCATCAAATGTTGAGTTGGTGTCCAGATTCTTGCTCCATCTGATAGAGCAGGATGAGCTTGACGGCTGTAAAACGTCCATGAAAGCTCGAGAGGAATGCATCGAAGCTCTCTTGTGGAGACTGGAAACAGATTTCCTCCGAGGTGCCGATATTCACACATTAGCATGTCAGCTGCCAGGAAATGCTAAGCAGCGACAAGTTGTCATTCAAGCATACACGGCCGCCATGGTTTGCACAAAACGCGAGGATAATCGAGCAGAGCTAGAAACAGCCCTGTTCCCCTCCTCCACCGAGAAAACCACAAGGACATATGCCATTTTCGGCGGCCAAGGCAACACCCTAGATTATTTTGGGGAGTTGCGGACTGTGTACAAAACATATAGACCCCTTATTGAGAGGTTTCTAATCGTGGCTGAGCAAACCTTTCAAGACATACTAGCAAACGCTTCCGCTGCTCGAACAAGACAATACTGTCGAGGCATGGCCATCCTACAATGGCTTCGTGAGCCACAATCGACGCCGGATCAAGATTATCTTCTCTCCGCTCCCGTCAGTTGCCCGTTGATTGGCCTCCTCCAGCTTGTGAACTTTGCCGTCATATGTCGCTGCCTCAGAGAATCGCCTGGAGATATTCTAAGTCATTTGTCTGGTATGACTGGGCATAGCCAAGGCGTCGCAGTAGCGGCAGTTCTTGCAACAGTGACGACTTGGGACAGCTTCGATGCTGCTCTCGTCAAAGCCCTCACCATACTGTTTCATGTTGGGTCTGCTGCCCAAGGGGCAACTTCTCAAGTCACTATATCTTCAAATATCTCGGCAGAAACCGTAAAGAATGGCATGGGACTCCCCTCGCCTATGCTAAATGTCGTTGGATGCCGTCTGGAGCAGCTTGAAACCTACATCAACGACCTGAACATTCGCCTGGAGCCCCATCAGCGCGTTTTCATAGGCCTCAAAAATGGTCTTTTAAATTTTGTCGTCTCGGGGCCCGTGCTGTCTCTGTATAGCTTATCTTGCATGTTGCGCAAGGTCAAGGCTACTCCTGGCACGGATCAATCCAAGATTAGGTTCTCCGCCCGAAAGCCCGACTTCTCGTATCGTTTCTTGCCTGTCTCTGCTCCATTTCACACATCACATCTACATTGTGCACAAGAAGCAGCCCTCCGAGAACTCGACACACTTCAGCTCGCCACGTCTGAGCTGAAGTTGCCGGTACATCACAGCAGCAATGGAATAGACATGAGGACTCTCAAGAAGCAAAATATTGTCCCTGATTTAGTTCAAATGATTCTTTGCGAGCTGAACGACTGGCCGTTATCGACCGCCTTCACCAATGCCACCCACGTTCTCGATTTCGGCCCAGGTGGCCTTTCGGGCGTAGGAATGATGCTGCACCGCAACCAAGAAGGGACAGGTGTAAGGGTCATTATGGCAGGCCTAGCCGAGGGTAAATCCATCGAATGTGGTTATCGATCAGAGATATTTGCCAAAAAGGTCACTTTCAGTGAGAACTGGAACCGAGTCTATTCGCCAAGCCTCATCCAACCGACAACGACCGATATGCACATCGAGAATCGAATGACTCGACTTTTGGGACTGCCCCCTGTAATGGTAGCCGGAATGACACCGACCACTTCATCTTGGGAGTTTGTTAGCGCTGTCATGAACTCGGGATACCATGTCGAACTGGCCGCAGGCGGCTTTCACAACGCCGAGCAATTGATAACCGCTATTAACAGTCTTATCCATTCTATCCCAGCTGGCCGAGGAATATGCGTCAACATTATTTACGCAAGCCCCAAGCAAGTCCGGTGGCAGATTCCCCTGTTGCAGAGACTACGATCCGAAGGTTTCCCTATCGACGGACTCACTTTTGGTGCCGGCGTTCCGTCTGTTGAAGTGGCAAGGGAATACATGGCAATGGGTTTTCGGTATTTGTCTTTCAAACCAGGCTCAGCATTTGATATTGATCAAGTCATTGCCATTGCCCGGCTCGACGAGACCTACCCTATACTGATGCAATGGACAGGCGGTCGAGGAGGGGGCCACCATTCCTTTGAAGATTTCCACGATCCTATTCTGAAGCTATACGGACGAATTAGGCGATGCTCTAATATCATCCTACTAGCTGGGAGCGGGTTTGGAGGAGCTGCGGACACTTATCCATATCTCTCAGGCACTTGGTCGACGTCGTTTGGCCGCCCTCCGATGCCATTTGATGGCATACTTCTCGGAAGCCGCATGATGGTTGCTAAAGAGGCCAAGACTAGTCAAGGCTGCAAAGAAGCCATTGTCGCGGCCCCTGGTGTGAAGGATGAATCGTCCTGGGAACAGAGCTACAACCAGCCAACAGGAGGCATAGTCACTGTCAAGAGTGAGATGGGCCAACCAATTCACAAAATAGCAACCAGAGGTGTCCTATTCTGGAAAGAAATGGACGAGAAAATCTTCAGCATTGCTGACAAGTCCAAGAGACGCGAAAAACTCCAAGAGATGAGGTCATATATTATTCAGAAGCTGAATAATGACTTTCAAAAAGTTTGGTTCGGGCGTGACGACATGGGAAATTGTATAGACCTGGAGGATATGACCTATGCGGAAGTCCTTCGACGGCTGGTGCAGCTGCTCTACGTGGCCAAAGAGTCGCGCTGGATCGATATGAGCTTCATGAGGTTGACGGCAGACTTCACAAGGCGCATGTACAGCCGGCTACTGCCATCTAGTCCCAGTATCGAAACGTATTTCGGCCTACGAGACCCGCAAAAGGCAGTGCCAAATATCATCTCCCAATGCCCGACGGCGGCAACACAGGTCATCAGTTACAGCGATGCGCGGTATCTTGTCCTGCTGTGCAAACTCCCGGGTCAGAAGCCTCCGCCCTTTTTGCTCGACATGGATGACGACTTTGAAGTGTGGTTCAAGAAGGACTCACTGTGGCAGTCGGAGGACTTGGCTGCCGTTGTGGGCGAGGATGCTGGCCGAACATGCATCTTGCAAGGACCAGTAGCAGCCAAGTACTCAACACGCGTCGACGAACCTGTCGGTGAAATCTTGGACTCAATCAACCGCGGCCTAATTTCGAATATCATGAAGGACCGCTATAGTGACAACGTGGCGTGCGTTCCCCAGTCACAGGCGAGTTCGACCGTGCCGTGGACTGCTCCATTCACACCTCGCCATTGCTTCGTTCAATATGAAGGCAAGAAGACTCGCTATCATCTTGCAAAGTCAATCGAGAGCGAGCAGTTGCCTGACACTGAAAAATGGCTGCAAATGATTGCCGGATGTTCCGGAACTTGGCTACACACATTCCTCACTTCAAGCGTCGTCTCGCAAGGGTCCAAAATTGTTGCCAATCCAATCCGCAGGGCACTTTCACCAATCAAGGGTATGCTTGTAGAAGTCACAGAAACCGGTTCCCCCGAGGAGGCGGCAATAGCTGTCTTTGACTTGAAGTCAGAAACTTCATTGTCATCCTTTTCGAGGCCCTCTTTAGTAATTCGAAAAGAGAAGGATATCCTTGCGACATTTTATACCCATGAGACCGTCGACCGGGCCACTGTCTCTGTGACATTCAAATTCACATATCATCCGGAAATGCCACTGCACCCAATACATGAGATTATGGAAGGTCGAAACGAGAGACTTCGCTCTCTCTACTACCAGCTATGGTTTGGCGCCGATGTGGTTGATCGCTTTCCATCCCCGCGTGGCAAGAAGCGACCATCAATTTCACACGTTCAACCATGCGACTCCATCCCAGAGAATAGCGAGCCCGAAATGCCGCAGTCTATTCAAGCAGGCTTTCCATTCCAGCTTGATCGCATAGAAAGGAACACATTTTCGGAGCTGAGTGATGAGTCGCTCGGTGTGGCCTCCTTGGAAAATTTTATTTTCAACAATCGTGGCTTGACTATTTCTTCTTCTGGGATACAAGCTTTTCTTAACAATGTTGGACATGAGGGACATATGACTTCACCGCGTGGATCGGATGAGAAAACGGCACCTCTTGATTTTGCCATTGTGGTAGCTTGGCAGGCCATGATCAAAGCCATCTTTCCCACCGCCATTAATGGAGATTTTATGAAGTTGGTTCATCTTTCGAACGAGTTCAAGATGCTCGGTGATGGCGCCCCGTTGAGAAGCCATGACCGTGTCAGCACCCATGCGGAGATTCTGGCAATCCGCAATGAACCAGCCGGTCGTGTGGTCGAGGTTGGCGCAATCATAGAAAGGGACTCCATACCAGTCTTAGAGGTGATATCCCAATTTCTTTTCCGAGGCAGCTACACTGATCTCGGTGTCTGCTTCGAGAAGAAGGTCCAGCCTAAGACGTATATCCTTTTGGACACTCCGGCCAAGGTCACCGTGTTGAAGAGTAAGCAGTGGTTTCAATTAGTCGACTCAGAAATGGATTTGTTAGGCGAAACCGTCATCTTCGAGTTGAAAAGCCTAACCCGCCCCGGCCAAGACTCCAATTACCTCAATGTCCAAACAGTCGGGCAAGTCTACCGTCAGCATGCGGTTACCAAGACGCGCCACGTTATTGCCAATGTACACTACCAATGCGAAAAGACCATCGGCAACCCAGTCATCGACTATCTTCAGCGCCATGGGTCTTCTGTTGATGTGGTAAAACAGAAAGATGCCCCTCAGCCGCTTGGAGATCAGGAGTCGCTACGCTTCACCTCCCCAGCAACTAATCACGGTTATGCCTCTGCGTCTGGAGACTTTAACCCTATCCATGTCTCGGAGCCCTTTTCCAAATATGCAAACTTACCCGGCACAATCACACACGGCATGTTTACAAGCGCGGCTGTCCGACAACTAGTTGACAAGGCGGCTGGCATTAATAAGAATGTTCGCATGCGGTCGTACAAGTGCAATTTTGTTGATATGGTTCTTCCAGGTACTCAACTAGAAGTAAAAGTCAACCATACGGCCACTAAGCACGGCCTACGAGTACTCTCGTTTCACGCGACTAATATAATAACCGGGAACAAGGTCCTCATAGGTGAAGCTGAGGTTGATCAGCAGCCTTCAGCATACATATTCACTGGACAAGGCAGCCAGACACCTGGAATGGGCATGGATCTATACACCACATCGGAGGTCGCCAAAGAAGTCTGGGACTCCGCGGACAGGTTCTTCTTCGAAACTTATGGTAAGTCGCGGCCTACTTCCCCTACTATCTGGCTCGCTTGTATGCTAATCAAGCCATAGGTTTTATGATTAGCGATATCGTGAAACGTAACCCAAAGCGGTTGACCATTCACTTTGGCGGCCGGCGCGGGCGGAAGATTCGACAGAACTACATGGACATGACAACAGATTGCAACGGCCAGCCGCGGCCAGTATTCAAATCCATCACTGCAACCACAACGAAATACACCTTTCAACACAGCGCTGGGCTACTTTACAGCACCGAATTCGCTCAGCCGGCTCTCACCATCTTGGGAAATGCGCAGTTTCTCCACCTCAAATCCCATGGCCTCGTCGACCCCAATGCCCTCTTTGCCGGCCATTCTCTTGGAGAGTACACAGCGCTCAGCGCGATTGGTGCCATTATGCCTTTTGAGCAGATTCTCTCCGTCGTCTTCTATCGCGGCCTGGTGATGCAGTCCAGCGTCACTCGCGACGCCAACGGATGCTCCCACTTCTCGTTAATGGCCATTAACCCGTCGCGCATCAGAAAAGGTTTGACCACGGAGACTCTACAGACCCTGGTTTCTGCCATCGCTGCTGCTACCGGTAATCTGCTAGAATTGGTCAACTTTAATGTAGCAGGGCAGCAGTATGTGGCTGCCGGGACACTCCCAGCGCTCGATTGCCTGACATATGTGGCGAATTACATGACTACACATCCAACCGAGTTGGAGCCCTCTCACTTGGCCAAGGGCACCAAGCTCCCAGCCGTGATAGAAATGTGGGCGGAACAGGCTTCCAAGAAGCCAGAGCCTACGCAGTTGAAGCGCGGTCTCGCCACTATCCCTCTGGACGGCATTGACGTGCCTTTCCACAGCTCGTTTCTGAGATCAGAGATTGATGCGTTTCGGAGTGTGCTGCATAGTTATATCAAGCCAGATGCTATCGATGCTCGACGACTTGTGGGCAAGTATATAAGTAATGTGACTGGGAAACCATTTGACATTTCCTACCGTGCAGTACGGGAGGTGTACGAGCAGACAGGTAGTGAGATATTGAGGAGTTTATTAACTAGATTATGCACACTGCAATATGAAGGATAACAGATATTTGCAAAAATAGAAAAATGAGAAGGGGTTTATATAGATCGGTTTAACATACTTCAATCTCGATGGATCGTGTATATCTATCGTTTACAAGTCCCTGAAGCCTTGGGCTTTTTTTTCTATAGAACTAGCACCTTTCCCTTTTTCTTTCACCGAATACTATGCAGTACGCAAAGAAAATATTACTTACCTGAGTTGCGGCGGTGAGGCATTCGCTGAACTTCCTTCCTGGAATAGCTACATAGCTACCTACGTAGTAATGCTATGGCTAGAGAACATCAGACGTGACATTGCGATGTCTCTGAGGCGTCGGCTCTCACTGCGACGACGCCAATATCATCGCCAACCCTATTCGCACTACGATTCCCACTTTTCTTCTCGCTGTTCACATCCTCCGCATCTTCCTCGAGAGCCTGTCACTAGAATCCGAGCCCCTATGTCCAAGAGAAGGGTTCTCTCACAGTTTCCAACAGCTCCGGATACGTATTTCACTGTATATGCCGTAATGGGCATTCCGGAGGGAGAGATGGGGGAGATTATTATGTTCCTGGCACGTCAAAATGGTTTAGATCTGATCGATGAAGATGCGGCAGCTGTCATTTACGAGGTCAATATGGTCCTCAAAGCTTGCAAGACATACCAGCGCCCTGCCAGAGGTGCTTCGCGTCGGAATTGGTGGGACGACTCCGACTCGACGCTCTTCAGTCATCGTCTTAGTCGGCAAGAAAAAGCATTCTTCGAGTGCTGGAGAAGCTACCCCACCCGAACGTTGGCGAGGTCATCGATATAGACAAGGATGAGGGTATATATTTCCGAAGACACCTCCCCTGTCGCAGATTGAACTCCCTGCTCAACAGGGTCGTATTGTGTGGCATCAGGATCTTCCCGTCAGCTTCATCATCTTCACGTCGTCATCCCTGTGCCCTGCTCTGCGACTTTAGTATGGCAAGCTGTCAGTCGCGCATGTAAGAGGTCAAGCTGCTTGAACGGCGGCTGTGCCGCCCATCACCAACTCTCTCACCGCGTTGATTCTGGAACCTTCTTTGCAGGCAAAGTATCTAGATATAATGCGCTATTACTACATGTATGTATAATTCTTTCTTCGTCATCGTGATAATCAACAGTATCGGGACTAGTTTGTTGAGTCAACGCGCTACAGGCCTTTCCCTGCAGGCAATCTCGTCGCGTTCTCTCGCTGCCACTCCATGATGTCAACATGGGCTTGACGCGGTTTTGTTACATCGTCAGAGGAAGACATGCTTAGCCCATTAGACTTCCAGCTGCTGGACTCTGTCTCCTTATCTTTTCGCAATATATACTTGTCCACCAAGGGCTTGACCCCCGGGACTGACACGGCAATGATTGTGGCGCTGACCTCGGCTACCTCAAGACATAGCAGCTTGAGGAACGAAAATTGAAACTCGATCTTTTGATCCGATTCCCCTTTACATGTTTGTCAGTAAAAATATTTCGCCCCAACTAGGACAAGCTGTTACTCACAACCGTAGTTAATAACTAGCACAACCCGCGAGGCAGAGAGACCGATAACGCTGCAATCATGTCGTCAGAATACTGTCCACTGTGCCCAAGATTCATGAATGATGAATAGTATCAGTAACTCACAGTATACCCGGCAATAAAATACAAGCTAGTTGAAGCTTTTGTTTCCGCGCCAGCTGTAAGCCCTTGAGCATTACGGCTGGAATCCCAAATAATAAAAAGTCAGAGGCAAGCGAAATGCTAGATATGATGGAGTACACCTGAAACCAATGCATGCATGTGTGCCTTTCGTACTCTTCCTTGGTATAAAATACCCATACCATACTGACAGGCAGACAGTGGAAGATGAGAAGACAAATTTGCGCCACGTATCCTGCTAGAATAATGGCGGCAATACCCTTAATAGCCAGGAGGAACTTTTTATCCATGTAGCAAAGCCGCCAATAAAATGCGATACCAGATATTCGACAAAGCACCAACGCCGTGCTGTATATCAAGTGCGCGATGGTATCAAGGGCCTGAATTTGCGTGTAGGTTTCGTCGTCCATCATAAAGTATATCCACATGGGGTTTTGCCCAGCGCCCATTACAATGAGTCGTATACATAATGCCGTAAAGGGAATGAATACCACCTAAATTAAAAGATGAAAAGTATTCTGTGTTAATATCTTGGCCTAGAGCAGATTTAAACTTGGGGGCCCAGCTTACCAGCGACGCGAGTACAACTCCGTCATCAAAGCCGAATCCATAGCCCTTGATAATAAACTTGCGCGAATAGAGTCGACACACGACTACCAACGTGGCCAGAAAAGTGACGGAGGCGATGCTCGCGATGCCCGGTATGTTTTGATTGTTTCTCAGAAGTTTCATATCGACGTCCGGAGGAATCCGGCCATCCCGGATGGCTTCATCAATACCGTCGCTCATTTCGTTGGACCGTGTCGAACGCGTCGAGTCACTAGACGTCGTCCAGAGCGAGAGCAATAGGTTCGGGGATATTATAATATTATGATCAGGGTTGGGAAAATAAACTGTGGAGTGTTCATGGGCATGGGCTGCTTACAATCAATTTATTACAATCTTCGATCTGTATTCATGCGATCTAGCCGGGCAACCATCATGACTCGCATTTCAGCGGCATTTACAAAGCCATGTCGGAGGAGAAAGTTTCTTTGCAGATTCCTGCTGGCTTTTTGACAGTTCAAGTTTCGCCGTGTGCCTAGAACCTGGCCACTTCGAGGGGTTGAGCGGCAGACCTGCTGATCTGATTGCTTGTAGTCGTTTCAGGTCTGCCGCACTAACAAACGCCATCAATGCGTGGCGCGGAAGGATGTTCGGAACTTGACGGCAGTCCCCACAGGTATTGGTGTTAGCATGTGCTGTTGAAGTGCTAATGTCTCGCAATGGTTTGAAATGAAATTGGACTGCAAAGTTTGCGCACAAGTTACGTACGGTCTGGTGGATTATTAGTACTCCAACTGCGGACTTTGCAGAGGGCCAAAGCACAAGTGGCACACATGCCGCAAACCGCAAGACTATCAGGAATTCACGCGCCGAGACTTTGAGGCTTGTTTTTGGGGCATTTAACCCTACATCGATTGAATCTTGGCGCCTGTTGATGAGGGTTCATCGGCTGTGTTGGTGATGCCGACTGTGCGATTTCTGGCCATCGCGCGTGATAACGAATTCTACCAAGCTAGCCTGTCGGGTTCAGATGTGTTATATTAAGCTCTTGAAAAGAACCAGATTATGATTGTGATGATCATGTCTTGGCGATTGCCCACGTTGCGCTACCGTAGCGAGTCTTGTTGGACCTGCAATCTTTCATGACGCACGCCATCATTTGTCGCCTCACTGCTGCGTATAAATGTGTCATTGTTGACAGATTAGTCAGATGGTGCATTCGTATTGCTAAGGCGACTGCGCGCGTAACAGAAAGAGTCAGCTATTTGATGGCATAATCCTTTACGACTCCGGTTAGCAGGCTTGATATTATTGTTCCGTGCTGGATACCAATGTTTAGCATCAATTCTTCATACAAGAAATATAGGATTATACTACCAAAATTAACATGGTATTGTATTTATTTTACCGTTGATGTATTGTTGGGTGTGGCAAGATTAGGCAGACAAGCCAAGCTTGAAACATGATTCCACATGACGGATACAGGGCCCGCATCATGGAAGTCAGAATATCACAATGGAATGTTATGTCAAGCAGCGCCGAGGCAATATTAAGGAAACAGACTTAGGGTTACGACATGTGTCGTAGGCGACACTCGAGTCTGCAGACCCGTCCAATGTGTGTAAATTGCAAATGCAAGATTAAAAAGATGGATTACATGAACTCGAATATGATTTTGTGTATGTGAAGGAGGAACTAGGGTAAATTGTAAAAGAGGATTATATTTTACAATTTATTTTTTTCTTGGAGGGGGAAGTGGGAAGGGGAGATATATTAAGATATAGGCTGGAAGTAAATGTCATAATCGTTAAACTCGAAGACGACGGGCACTTTAAATCCGTGGCGAGTCTCGTTAATGTAATTCCCTTTGATGTTAATTGGTCAGCACATGCTACACTGATTCATTCATTCGGAGATGGGTGTCTTATCATTTATGCTAGTTACACGAGACTTTCAAGCAGAAGCCGGCTTTCTCGGCGTGCAAAGAAGGTCCATTGAGAAGTCGTATTCATGTGTACTTGGCTACGCCATTATCAGACGTCCAGTCAGCCTTGCTTCATCCAAGGTTTCAGCATACCTTGAGCATTACCTCTTCACGCGCCTGCTCATATATCGTGATTTATACCTACGGTCGACGCCATCTTCCGTTGATCAGCTTGGTAGATGTTATCTGTGCAGGCAAGGCCTATGCAGCGAAGTTTTGGACTGTTCGGAGTTGAGAGCATTGGGACAATTGCTGTCCGGTAGGAAGCTAATGCTCTGGCACAAGCAACGCCCTCCTAACCAACAATTTCGTCTTGTGTCGTTACCTTTGTTATTACCTTGGTGGATATTCATGCCCCAGCTATTGCACGGTCTTTATATTCTATTATTCTAGCGGCCGGGGAGGCTCCGTGATTACCGGACGGATTAGCTGTTACACACACAATGTTGGTCATATGGACGCCTGGCTAGACACATAATTTTCGCGGTTAACGCTATCGTCCTAGCGTTCCCGTGACGTCCTCAAGAAATCTTTAGGTCGTCATAAACATCCCGATGGCAAGTTGGTTCCTTGTCCGCTACATGAAGATTGCGTCAAGCTGTCATTGGATACGCCTGCTGTTATGGACCAGAAGCTGATAGATCAGGGCATTGACGTGGCTGAGTTGCCCGAGGGGTTGTACGTCACAATATTACACTACACACGTGGTTCGAATCGGTGTCACTTGGCTGCTTCTTTTTTAATAATAGTCTGGTAGTTTGGCAAATCGTTGGGATGTCAGATAGCCTGTGCTGCTTTCAAAAATGGGCGCTACCCTGTAAAATAATCGCATGGGCAATATTGAACCTATAGGAGCTTGAGTTGACAAACCTCACCACAACACGTGGACCAATTAGGCCAGGTTCAGTTGATGTCCATAAAGACTGGTAGTGGAGTCTCGTCGCTCGGTCTACATGCCAGCATGTAACTATTGACATGGAGCAGTCACTTTATTCCCACAGCGCCATTTCTCATGTCCACGTAAACAACATTGCGCTTCTGTCAGACCATTGAAGGCATACTCTTTTTAAAACAACCCCCTGATTCCTAAAACTAGTAAACTCGCTAGTGCAACCACCACCTCTTTTTTTTCCCCTTCAGAGGCCGTTAAGCTCGCCTCCGCCGCCGCATTATGTCTGGCTCCGGGAACTCGCCCTCGGTCAGCTCCTCATCGAAGGAGAGCGCGGCCGATAAGGCTTGCAAGCTGGCCAATAGAGTGATACTCGCGCAGATTCAGACCAAGCTCAAGAGGAATCCTACGACAAACCTATCTCCATTCCTTCGGCAGCAGTCAGAGTCCTACGACGAATTTGTCGCAAATCTAGCCGCCGCGCAAAACGCCGAGAGTGACAGTGAAGATGAGGATTGCCCCGATCTCTCCAATGAGCTGTGTGGACTCGTACTTGGTGGCTCACCTGAAATTATACATGCCCTCCACGACAGGGTCTTGAAATTGTCTTCGGGAGGTGTGACGACGTTCAATCTCGATAACTCAAAAAACCTGCCCATGGATATCGTGGCGGGGCTCAATGAGGCCATCCAAGGAGGAGAAGTTTTGTGGCGATTGCACGACACGTTTGTCATCGGCCTTGGGTCTTCTGAAGTCGTCAAAATCAGCACCTCGCTCGACCTTGACGAAATTAGTAACTTGGAGTACCTCAACAGTCTCTCTCTTGGGATTCCAATACCGTTGTGTCTCGGCGCCTTACGATCAGGCCGAAGGGTTTACTTGTTCATGTCTCGTGCGTCCGGTCAGCCGCTTGAGATGGTGTGGCCGCAACTAACGCCCCTCCACAAAACATCCATCCAACAGCAGTTGATACAGATGTTTACCACTCTACGATCTATTCACCCAAGCACAGCCAGGGAAGAAATGAAAATTGGCAGTTTCGCGTCAGGCATATGTAAGGACATCAGAAGGTGTCAGCGAGTGAGCATTAAACCCATTTATAATGAGATTGACTTTAATGACTTTCTCTGTCACGAAGAAAAAAGGACATAGACCGCTTGGATTAAAATGATTCGATCCGCAATGAGGGCGGATCATGACCTGGTTGCTACTCATGCAGACCTTCATCCCCGGAATATCATGGTTGAATGGGACACCGAGGAAGGCGGTACCTTGCATATTACCGCAATCATTGACTGGGAGCTAGCTGGATGGTATCCTGAATATTGGGAGTTCGTGAAAGCTCTGCACACGGTCGATATCAAGGGTGCCTTGGCGGATTGGTACGAATACCTCCCCACAGCGGCGATTGGGTCTTGGCCTACCGAGTTTTCGCTTGATTTGCTTATTGGACGCTGGCTTGGGTAAACTCACTTCCTCAACTGTCCAGTATAAGTGAGATTTTCTTGCTAGACTCTATAATACGCACCATATCTTTATTATTCCCTAGGCCTTTCTTGCGACTTCACAGGAACGAATTGCTGGCTTCCCCACTACGTCTCACGATTTCACTCTCCAATGGCCCCTGCGGGTATTTCACGGAGTCGTTGATACCGCCGATCTCGACATCTTGTCTGGCGGTAATGCCAGTCGACGAGTGTGCCTCAAACCAGGCCGGGGTGGACGCATTTTAAAGTTTTTGCGATAAAGGGAAATCCTGATGCAGACCGGATAACTTTTGATTCAGCTGTAGTTTTTTCTGCGTAAGTGCAGTGCCATAATAATTCCCGTGCATGTAAGCGACTTTCCCTTCTTTCTTGGGAGTGGCGCAATCGGATTCGTAAGTGACTCAATTAAATGGGCCAGCGGAAACCTTCTTCTTCTTTCAGTTTACAACTGAATCAGGCAAGACCTTCCTCCTGCTCTCGCGGGTGAATCGGATAAGATATGTGGGCTTCGGTCAACTCGGACAGTTCGGAACCTCGGAGGTCAACTGGATACTTATTTAGCTCGTCCGAGATTTGTTAGTATGTAGGTCCGATCCCGAGAGTAAGCTGTGGAGAATAGTTGCCATTTAATTTACTGGGTACAAATTGACGATAACCTTAGAATAGCTTACTGTGCTTTACTAAAGTTCTCACTTCTATGACGTCGAGATATTCTAGAGTTGGCACGGCATGTCGACTCAAGCTAATTAAGAAGAAGTGTAACCACTAGACCCTGAATCTATTGTATTCAAGATTCGGGAAGTCTCACAATTTGTTACCGAGGCTCCCGAAGCTCCGAGCCTTTAGGCCTAAAATTGCTGCAATGCCACCTTGCACAAGAATG